TTTTTTATGGATGATAATTGAGCGATGACGATGTAATGATATGCGCAGTGGGAAAACAGTGAAGATTAAAAGAATGAGCCTGAAATACTCCTAACTTACTAGGAATATCCTAATTACTGTCAATGCTCTCTCTTCCCCTAGTATTTAGGTTAAGCATAACATTTTCTTTCTGTGCAAGTAGGTATATATCGTAAATCGACAATAAAATATGTACGCATAGGCCGCTGATATACAGTCAGTTAGGGATCAGTTTTCCCGAATACGGCTAAGGTTCTGATGATGATTCAGATTGGCGCATCTCCGAGAGATCAGAGTATACCAACTAAATGCGAACTAATTGGCCAATGGTATATTTTGAATAAACTCAGTCTATTTGAAGATATTTTATACGATTGTGACTCTATTAATATTGGTAAGGTTTTTATTAAATCAGAATGTGTTAACGATGTCTCTCATATAGATATTATATCGTACAATTTCGTGACCATAGTTTATCAAATGGTTGGAGCAAAAAAAAACCTATTTGCTAACACTCACCAATGAGACTCTACGTGACGTTTTTATACACAAACACACTGGGTACTTATTCATGTAATACATGGGTGCGCCGTAGGTTACGAGTCTTGAAGGCGTATTACTGTGTACCCAACATTATAAATGTCTACAACATCTTCAATGTTAACCTTATAGGTATTCGCTTTTGTGTAACGCCTTTTACGGGGCGCAGTTTACGGCTCTTAGTTAATTTTACGAGTACTGATTTTAATTCAGGTTAGCAACAGTATTTTCCCTATTTCTATTGTTCGTAGCATTTAAGTATATCGAGGTAAGCCTCTGTCTCGAACACAAAGTTTAAAGCTTAGTGTTGTAGTTAACATTTGCAATTTAGAGTTAATTTTCCACTTTCCTGAGCTCAAGGATTGGTATAACCTCCCAATCATTAAGTAGATAGGTTTATACTGAGATTGTCATCCGCATCTTAATATTATAAATGGGAATATACGTTTGTTTGTTACACTTAATTTACATATGTTGATAAATCTTCTGTTATGCCTATTTTTACTCCATTATAAAACACGTAGTTATTATAGAAACAAAATATGAAGCAGTTTATTTATATGGAACTGTATTTTAGTTCCCTTTATAAGCGTGTCTGATCATATTAAGTAAATAAATAAAAACCACAAATAAATAAATAATGTATTACTGAATTGTTTCTTAAAATTGACCAACATTTGGTATGAATACTCTGAAGGGCACACGTCACTGAAATTACAAGATACCCAAGCATACCACTATTAGTTTATCATCACCGTTTATTTTAATTTTCATGGTCGTAAGTAGGTATAGGAGAAGGAAACCGTTTTCCGTCTGGTATTTTTTATTAGCAGAAAGAAGTCATAACAGTAATGAAAATATTATAAGTGTGTAACTTGTAGAAATGAAGTAGAAAGACACCTCCAAACCTACCTAACAAAAGTCTAAAGCAAAGTGTAACGTGAGTTTATCCGGGTTTAGCTGTCTTCTTGCTAATAAAAAGAGATTATGTTTTCAATATTGGCAAGGGAGTAAAGAATCTAATCTGCAAGGAATAGGGGAATATAGGTGAGATTAGCAATACATATGAGTATTGATAAAATTGTTACTACTTCCATTCAAGTCGCTAAAACAGATGTAGACAGCACAGACAGATATGTTTATTTGAGATGGTAGATATCTCACAATTTATGAGATTTAATTATAATACCAAGGTTGATTGTTAAAAGTTGTTTGTGGGTACCTCAGTCTATCTTATTTCAGCTGCCTGGTAGTTAGCTTTGTAAAATATATTTTGGTTCTAGGGCGACGGTTATCATAGCATTTACCATCAGATTGGTCTTGTTTGTCATTTCATTATAGTGATAATAATAACAATAATACTAATCTCAGGACAATTCACACAGCGCCATCTAGACCCAAGTTAAGCTAGCTGAAGCTTGTGTTATGAGTACAAGACAACTGATATAAATACATATTTTTTTTTTCGTAAATAGGTACATACATATTATACTAAAAATACCCAGATAGATACAAATAATCATACTCATAAATACAAATGCTTGTACCGTGCGGGAAATCGAACCTGCAACCATCGGAAGTAAGTCGGTGTGCTAAACCGCAAGACCACCGTGGTCGACATATTACAATATATACCAAGTGATAAATATTTGAATCCAATTATTTACGTCTACGTGAAGAAAAACATATTCGATCTGGCTGTCACATTAGCTAAATATCATTATAATTCAGAGCGGTTTGGGATCCGATCCAATTTATTATGTCATCAATGTGCGATGACGGACAACACCCTTTAGTTAAAAGGGATGAAATCTTTCTGACAGGACAGCGTATAGATTTATGTCCTGTTATTGGCATGGCCTGATTGATAGCTGCTTATAAAACCTTTGTTTTTTTCAGACCACTCACCCGTTATAGGACTCATATATTATTCTTTCACTAAACTTTTTGAGATCATTTATCCAGTCTAGTTTTTGTTGCTATTTACAACGAAAGAATAAGATTAGAGAAAATTTGTTTAAATTTTGCTGATATAAAAAAAATACCCATTTGTAATTACAGTATACACATAGTGGCATAAAGTGGAAATAATTACTTTTTTGTCGCTTACGCATTTTAATATTTTCATCATTACCGTTACTGCACAAGGAACTGAATTGGTACATTTTAGTTTTTAATGGTTATGGTTGAATTTTGTTAAGACCAAATAATAAGTTGACTCCCTAAAGTGTAGTAATGTAATATATGTTATAAATAAATAATCGATTCATTTTAAAAACCCTTATTTTATAGGATAGTTTTCTTAATTATGGCAAAAGCCGTCCGCTACTGCACTGTACCAAAGTGTACTAGTTATACGCAGTGAGATTTACGACTGCGTAAATGAGACAGGCTTTTGTTTAGCTAAGTCGGGTGCTCGAGACTTGCTCATAACTTTCTACGTACGTCAGGGTTGCCAATCTTAAAACACTTAATCTTGTAAGAAATAAAAATCTGATAAAATATAGCTCAACTTGGCTTTCCAATTAACCACATCAAGTCAACATAGTACCTACGTTGACCGATTTACCTTCGTCGACATGTTGTGAAATCTTATATGAGGGTAAAAATCTCGTTTTTGTACGATGGTCCTTGATACTTGGCATCCCTATATTTTAGTTTACTTCAGAAAAATGTTCATAGTGCCCCACCGGTTTAGGAATCGATGGGAACTGCGGGATTATTACTAACTAAAACCTGCGAGGCATGTACTCATCGAAAGGTCCTCACATCTAGGTGTGCAGGGAATACGCTCTGCACGTCACCCCCTGCCCCCAAAGTGTCCCTGGTGAACTTTGGTTAACCCTACACATCGTTTACCGATGCACACGCTGATTTAACTCAGGTGTCCGGCGATTCCCCCCTCTCCCTCCCTCAGACAGTCTGCGCATAAACGCGGGACGGTTGGCATCCCTGACGTAGGTACCCGAAGCGTTGCTCCACGTTATGAACTCCTGGATATTAGTATGCAGCTAAAGGTAGCAAGACTGCTTTGGCTCTCATTAATAAGTTTTGCTGTTTCATTACTTAGTTTAGGAGTTAGACCTTGAAATTGAACAATATCTGCACAAATATGACGGAAATATGTCCCTCTTTGAATGAGAATAATGTTGTATACATTATACGCATTCAAAAAAGAGGAGAACAAGACTATAACTCTATTTCAAGAATACATCAGAGCAGTCTTTCTTCATACGTTTCTTCCACACACGGTAATTTAGGTGTAGCTGACTGTTATTTTTAATTGGTTACCTTTTTATTCATTCACCATTCCATATTTAAATAATTAAACTAAGCGCCAGTCAGTGTTAACGGGCGAATGCTTTCGGGGTAGCAATGGCGGATGATATTCCTACCATCCTGCGCTGGTGCGCATTCAAACGTGAAGTCAAGTATTCTCTCGTGGCGAATTAGCCAGGCTTTAACCACAGTGGTTTACAAAGGAGGAGATCGACTAACATTATACATAATAACTGACACATTACTGACAATCCCCCCACCAATGACTCTTAGGTTGGATTTACTTTTTATATTATAATTAGTAAAATGTATTTAAAATATATTCGTTCTTTTTAATCGAAATAAAGGCGATACTCTATTAGAAAAAAAAGAGCCCCAAATATTCATTTTATATATAAATTTACATACTTGATATATTTATATACTAGTGTACACGTGCGTAACATTTAGGTAACAGCTATTTTCAACATTTCAGTACTATTAATTAAGGTGAAGTCTCTGAACCAAGGACATGATAGTTATAACGAGGGAACCGGTGACTTCCGTATTGTAAATGGAAAGTAGAGCACACGGTAATTTGAAGTCGTCACCCTAGCTATCTACGTAGTAAAATATAATTACGTCTATTACCTACTTTTACACAACCCCACGGAATAACGTACTATTTCTGATATATTACACTAACTATCAGGTAGTTTACGTAAGTACGTACGTAGGTACGTAGTTTATATCATTGATCTTTGGCGAGGTTTGATATCGTAAGGTGTATGCTAATCAAGGCAGGTACTATGCAACATTTCTGTTATTTATATCCCCGTTTTATCACCAAAACTTAAACTTTGATTTGCGATTTTAATAAATCAAGAATCATATTCTCAAGAGACAGACAAACGACAAAAAATACGGATACAATATCCTTGTCCTCCAAAATAGAAACGCATGATGAACATCATGGGCGCTTAATAGGCCACTTGCCACTTACCATTGGCCGTTAGCTGTTTTCCTTTCCAGTTACAAAAAACCGTACTAACGACTTGTTATTTTAGCACTTTAATTTCGAAATATACGAAATTTAATGCAGATTCAAAATTCTGTACAAGTAGACAATGCCAATCTTATCCAAGTAGTACATATTGTAATTTATTGAATAACATTTTTCTCAGGATGGTTTCGTTCTCGTGGGCTCTGTAGCTGGTCAGCGATACTGGTCATCGATGTTATCTCTGGACGCACGTATCACCTGCGGCTGTTGGACTCCAGATGACAACCAAGTATACCTCGGCACCGCCTCCGCACAACTGGTGGTGATGGACGTTCATGGCGCGATGGTTTCGCAGGTAACATTGTCAAAGAATTGTTATCTCTTATAGGACGTAGTTATGTGATTTAATGATATCTTCAAAACCTATATTATTATTATATCGGCTCATTGGGTATTATATCGGAGATATTTACTTTGTTTCATAAACGCAAGAAATCTTGTAACATTTAATGTAAATATCTTTAATATTATGAAAATTATTTATATATTCTGTATCCACCCTCGGCAACGTGACAATAAGTAAGATTCCTAGGGATACAGCAGATTTTTAGGCTTCCGGTCGACCTGTACCTACGACCGTTATAATTCTAAAGTCTATTTTAATCTGCTTATTCCAGCGCTCCCCTGTAGGTATTTCAGATTAATTTTGTAGAGGCCAGACTGACAATAAATCTTCTCCGTTAATGATAGACAGATTATCCTGAACTTTCAGACGTTCAATTAAAGTACGGTATAACTAACCCGGTTATCTGATTCATAAATAATTGTTAAACTCTCCAAATCTTTAAGCGACGATGCCCCGACGATGGCAAAGTTTTAATACTTACAATTCGATTGATGGATTTACAATCGATCAGGTAGTCTTCATATAATCTATAGGAATCTATAGGAACTAGGTGAAGTATTTTAGAGTATGGAAAGTCGTCTGCGTGAATCCGCCAACATATTGTGTATCATCAAACAATGAAGTCCACCTATTGTCTTTACTTATAGACTAACACATTATAGCAGGCAGTTCACGAGTTTACCATGCTAATCGTATAAAAAAGTACTTTATTTATGTGACTATTTATTCGTTTGCAATCATTACAATATAACTTTATGGGGCTCCATAAATTAACAGGTGCAACTTGTTGCCGAGGGCGGCATTACATCAATGGCGTGGTCATGCGAAAAGTTCAAGATGGAAGAAGGCGAGGAAATCACTGACACCAATGGAGGACACGTTTTGGCCGTCGCCTTAGGGAATGGGGAAATCGTACTCTTACGAGGACACGACGACGTCAGTCCAATACGGGTGCATACTGGCTTAAGAGGGAACACACTAGCCATGGAATGGGCAAATTCGCGGGAACTTCTAGCTGTTGCTGGCACCTTAGTACCTGGTGAGTGAGAATGAAGAAAATCAATTTATTAAAAATACGGAAATCAATTTATTAAAAATCTGAATGATGACAATTGTGAATGGTGATGATGATATAATTATGACTATTTATTATTCGGTTTCCACTCCAGTAATACTTATCATTATTAATAATCTTTTGCAATCGAAACGACATATTCCTGATAGGCGCCATACTAATTTTATCACGATTAAAATTTGAGGCCACAAGTTTCTAATCTACTTGTAGGTACCTTCTTTCAATTTTCAGGTTTCTTTGCACACTTATTGTAACACAATTTCTATATATAACATTGTGGTACCTAAGGACATATTGCAGTCATTAAAACTCTATTATACCTTGTTCAAAATCCCACACTTCCAGTCTCTGAATAGGAAGAGTACGAATAGGTAAATAGATAATCCTTTTATCATTATGAGACAGGTTTCGTATAAGTGCTTTCTTTGAAAAGTGTGGAAAATAGATACAATGGGAGTTTCTATTACAATGCTTGATAAACGACATGCAGGCGACGTTTCCTTTTCAATCCGTCGAGGAATTTACGACCTATGAAAGTTTATAGTTTCAGGACATCAGCGTCGCGGCGGCTCCCTGCCGAATGTAAAACAGCTACGTTACAATAGTGTTTTATATAGCTCGTGCTGGCTTTTATACGAGACCCTTGGCTCATAAAACTTGCAGCATTCACGTGTTTTGTTTATATTGATGCCTATCTTAGGAATACCTTTCTTCGCAAGTTAATAAATGCTGTATAATCCTCCACAGCATTGCACGTACCACTGTAAACGGAGACGGTTAAATTCAATTTGAAAGTTATCGTTATAAATTAATCGACAATTTCAGTTATATAAGATGATCTGTCAATACTGAATACTGATGACTACAAAATCTATTATTTTCATTAGAAATTTCCTTATAAAATAAGTGTCTACTAACTAAACTACTTCGTCGAGTCAATGAATTCACTATATTTTTCACAATGTATTCTGAGATAACATTGGAACTTAATATCATAAAAATATATTTGATTTGTTTTAAAAAATAATTATAAATGTAATACAGTTCAACGATATTTTTTTTTACAGTGAAGCTCCCCAGATGTAAATAATGCTATGATTTTTCAAACAATGTGTACTGATGGTTCTACCGTCAGATATTCATCTCTCTTTTTATGATTGTAACAAGGTCGCTATGTGATGAATGTATTGTGTATTGATCATCATGACTTGTTACTTGTTCAATACTACTACGACTAAACAATGCGTCACATACATATTTTTAGACGAAGTTGCTTTAAACCTTATCTATACACGCTGGAATACATTCGAACATGTGGTAGCTTCTACCATACCATATCATAATGCATTCTGAAAAAGATTCTTCAAAAATGTTGAAAAAACGAAGATACTTGTCCCTACTTAAAATAGCAAATATTATTGTATTATATTTAAATAGGAAGCTAAAAACTATATATACTACAATTGTCATTACGTCAAGTCTGAAAAACTACTAGTTTCAATGTAGACATTGTATTTTATCTACCATATTGATAATCATAAATTCGTGTGTTTTAACAGAAGGAGAAGAGTTTCCTGATTCGCCTCCATACAAGAACGTCGTCAAATTCTACTCGGACACCGGAGTTCTTATTTACACTGTGCCAATACCATACACACAGGTCAGTATTAATAATATGAGAACGTAATTTTAAGAGAAGATTTATGAAAGTAATCAGTACCTAGACCCGCGAGTCCTTCATTGTATTCGATTAGTAAACGTTTTGGATTAAAGTAATTTTATTGACCTAGGCTATTGCGTCAAAATTTTATCCTTGATTTGTTAGAAGTTAGACCTTGACGGGTGTAGAGCGCATCGTCCAGTGTAATCACTGGACGATGTGATCGGGGTTATCGTCTACGCCGGCGAGGATGGTGTCGTGTGTTTGTGAAAGACTTGTGTCGTGTTCAGGCACGCGTGTCAGCGCTGACGTGGGGGCATGCGGCGCGGCGGCTGTTCGTGGGCGTGGGCGGCGCGGTGTGCACGGCGCGCGTGTGGCGCGTGGTGGCGCCGCTACAGCTGTTGGCGCGGGTGCGGGCCGCACAGGCGTTGCGAGAGCCGCGCCTCGCTGCGTTGCTGCCGCTCCCGCCGCGCTTGCAGCCTGCGCTCGCCAATCTCTTCGCTCACACTATACGGGTACCCCATTATGTTATCAATGTTATCTTATTTAAAAATATAAACCCGAAAGTTTGTAAGTATGGATGGATGTTTGTTACTCTTTCACGCAAAGACTACTGAACGCATTGTGATGAAACTATATATCATTCAAATATAAAATAATTGTCATGTAAGTGTGACGCAGATGAAATTGCGCGGGCCAGCTAGTATAGTAATGTTCAATTAGTAATACACGGCCTAGATGAGGTAATATCAAAATGCATCCATAATTTACTCGTAACATTACTATTTTCATCTATATGAAAAATAATATTTGTACAACAGAAATAAATGCATACACATTAAATAAAAACTAACTATAAATCACTGGTTTTCAATTACTCCCGTTCCGTTACGGGTAACAGTAAATATAAGAAAATTCGATATATCTTCAGGAGATTGCACGACTTGAACGTAAGTACGTTGTATATAGTATGTGACTAGTAACGTAACTAAGCGTTTATTAACTTGATAGCATATACTCGTATTTAATAATTTTGAGCAATTATATTATACTAGTTGTCCCGGAAAACGTTGTTGTTCATTAAAATAAAAAAAAAATTCAGGGGTGGACTACCCCTAACATTTAGGGGGATGAAAAATAGATGTTGGCCGATTCTCAGACCTACTCAATACGCTCACAAAATTTCATGAGAATCGGTCAAGCCGTTTCGGAGGAGTATGGAAACGAAAACTGTGACACGAGAATTTTATATATAAGATAAATAAAATAATAGAAAACCAAATTTAAAAGTTACTGTAGATTATTAAAAGGTTTAAAAAATATCTGTATATGTCTGAACAGTGCACAGTGCCGGAGAGTAGTGAACTGCGGCGGTTCGTATCCAGACCTCCAGCAGCGGGAGGTCGCCTGCACTGCACTATGTTGCGCCATGACGACGAGGAGGCCGGCGCCTACACGCTCTACCTTGAGCATCTCGGCGGTCTAGTCCCTCTCCTCAAGGGCCGCCGCACCAGCAAGATCAGGCCCGAGTTCGTTATATTCGACCCCCAAGCCGAAGGTAACTAGTAGATAAGAGACAGCAAGGAAAGTAAGTAATTTTGCTAGTAGCAAAGGTCCTCGACTTGAATGTAAATTGCAGCGAGTTAACGAATGCAACTAATAACTAGGCTACTGTCGTAAATTGTACAGCAACTACGCACAAAGTGTCTATAAAAATAATATAGTCAATCTTAAAAAAAATTTGAGTAAGATAGTTTATTCATCTCCACCTCGGAACATTTGTAATCCGTTATACACAGCCGTAGCAAAAGAGAGATAGCATAGATAACTGTTACAGACTTCATTTCCAATATAAACGTTACGGAAATACGCTATATATGATTACGAGATGTTTATTATTATTGTCAAATGATCTATAGAGGAGCTTCAGATACATATATTCTCTTAAACTTACACAATGATGCCTACTTTATGTAACATAGAGGGAGTAAGCAAGCTGGTGGTCCGCGAGAGCAGCAGCGGCAGTAGCAGCAGTGGCGCCGCCAGCAGCAGCAGTAGCAGCGCGGGCGTCGCCGCCTCACCACGTGCCGCTCGCCGAGCCCCGCGCCCGCCACCCGCGCACTCCTCGTCTTCCGATACCGACAGGGAGGAGGGTGAGTTAAACACTACCAGCAGGTTCGACAATCCCCTCCCATCCGATTCAAACGGGGATTGAAATTACAACGACCTGAGCCGAGGTTCGAACCCCTAGCGGTGTCCTCAGACTAAATTCGTATCCATCAGGCGGGAGTAGGCCTTCAACCGCTTCGTAAATCCTTTCTTGACTATGGTGAAGCTGTAAAGGCCAGCTGCGGCCAAAAACATTAGAGTAGGTAGTCCGAAAAAGACAATGACACCTTAAGGGAAAAGTAGTGTTAGTGTTGAGGAATAATGGTACGATTACTGGTAATATACCAGGTCAAATCGATTCACCGTAATCCATTAGCACCGGCGGGTGCACCGTTCCATTATCATCCTAAGATTTACTAGTTTCTCAAACTACATACATGTGTATTCGTGCGTATTTCGACTGTATTGTTGTATTGGTTAAGTTGGTTTGAAAGTATAAAGGATTCTTTTTATTAAATTAAAATCTGGCTATTATTGTTTATCTACCATAATTTGGTACGGGCGGGTCGGGCCGTTCATCCCACTATTCATATCGCGTATGATCGCTCTTTTTAATTTAATAGATACCTAACATAGCCGACGAATAGCTAATTTATACATAGACAAGACTTGAGTCCAGGTGTTTTAGGCTTTATTTGTGTACTTATCGTGTACATTGCGCTCATAATTACTTCGAACATCGACATAATCTTGTTTATTCATTCCAGGTTGTTCTGGATCACCGAGGTTGCAGCGACGTAGACGTGCCCGAGAGAGGAGAAAGGTACGAAATTCGAGCGAAAAGGATGACACGCCCGACGAACTGGCTTATATTGACTCATTGCCAGAGGTATGCACCTTTTACGATTCGTAAAAACAATTCCACATAATTATACGAAAAATAATTCTCCAAACTCCAGCTTTAAATATTCACACTGATATTTATTAGCAGAGAATTTATTACAGATATTGTGTTTATATAATATGAAGGTATCCACAGAATACTAGGATCATGACACTTCGTCACGGCATACGTGACCTTTTCGATAATAACCATTAGCTCCAACTGTGTTTATATTTATTTTGTGTTATTATTATTGCTTACTGTTACGTGTATCGATTAAACATGTTTTCTTATTCGTTCTTTCTCACCTTTCATCAATGGCTTTCATTATAGTATATGTATTATTATATTTTGCTTACTTTGTTCTATGTTTATTATCGTTACAAATTAATCCTTCATAATAACAATTGTTTTACAGGATGTGCGCTTAGTAGAAGTTACCTCAAATATTTGGGGCACTAAATTTAAAATGCATGGCCTCGCTAAAAATGTGCCAGCTAATTTGGGCCAAGTTACGTACAAAACATCATTACTTCACCTCCAGCCGCGACAGATGACTCTCATGATCACTGAGCTTCGTGATGATTATCCAGTCGGACCCGATCCCAATTTTAATCCAAACATATTTTCTGAAGATGAAGAGGAAGTATTCCATTCTAATGACTCTAATAGTTCTCCGTCACACACCAATAATAATATTCGAAGAAAGGTAACACTCAATGAGAGAATAAATAATTCTAATAACATTATAAATCAAAATGACACGTACTCATCTAACAATAACAATACAAACAGTCCCTCCTTAGCGAGGGCTGAGTCTTATGACGAGTTCCCTTACATTGATACTAGCGACACAATGAATAACGTTCCCGAGAACGTTTACTCGACGCCCGTGCGGCACACAACGCAGGCGGCTGATCGTAGGATGAACAACGCCAGCGTGCCCAACCGACACGCCATTTCCCCGCTTAGGTGCGAGAGCTCTGTTCCCACTTTGCAGTCGCCGAAGAACGCAGTGGCTCCAACTGACATAATCTTTGAAAGGCCTTCCCCGCAAACGGTTACGTGCGGTGGCCGTGGCGACTTTTGTGGAGGCAGGGCCGACTACGGTGTCCGAGGAGACAACGTGTCTCTTAAAGGGAATCTCTCCAACATAGAGCAGCAGTCGTTTAGTTTAAATTTAAGTTTAGAACCGAGTAGACAAGTCACCATAAAGAAATGCGATTCCCATGTCACGGACAATTGTCTATCGAAGTTACGGAAAAACATATGTAGCAGAGGTGAATCCGTATCTTACGATATGAACACTAGAATATTAAAGTCACTATGTACTAAAAACTACGAACACGAAGTGCATCCGGACGCGATGACCAGAAGAACAGAAACATTAAAGAATCTTCAAAAGGGAGAGGATCTAAAGTTTATAGATGAGGAGACCCCTGTAGATACGACAATTACTAACATAACCGAAAGAAGTAAAGAAGTGAGAGTGCAAAGAACGACCACGGTGGTGCCAATCAGTCCAGTTTGTGCCAACCTGCCAGTGTACGATACTATGACGCGAAGTTGTAGCGTTGGGTATTTAGATTTAGTCGATCCTCAAGTTCTGCACGCTCAGGTCAGCCTGACCGCATTGAGAGGCGAGCCGCCTCGCCGTCTCATTCTAGTCAATAACAAGCGGCAACGCCGGCCTAGACGACACCATCGAACGACAGATATAAAACAGGTCGAGAATACGAGAACCCCGAGCCTAAAGAAGTGCGGGAAGTCAAAAAGTCTCGACTCCACCGAAATGTCGGCTGCCGCGGAGAAGAGCACCAAACATCTGAAAGCCGAGTCGACTAGCCAGAGGGAGGCAACGTCGGTGAATTCGAGCAGCCGTTGTACGAGCACAGGGGGCGAGGACAACGGCGGCGTGAGTACCGAGGAGGGCGGGCGCCGCGAGCCGGGCGGAGCGTGCGGGCCGCGCGCCGGCCCTGCGCCCGAGCCTGCCTCGCGTCGCGCCGCCGACACCGACTCCGACTACAGCAAGTATTATAGTTAGTACTATGAGTAGATGCTTCGCTCTCGCCTGCGACTCGTTCTGGCGTACTTCGCCGACGACGCAGTACCCGACTTCGATCTTTGCTCGATGCGATTCTATGACTTCGCCGAGTGAAGGTATGTGCTGTAGAGTCAGCTCGAGAGTTGGTAGATAGAATTCGCACGCTACCCGCATGACCCGCAAGCGATGACTTCCACGACGTATGCAGGTACAATACACGATTTGCACTTATCCTATTTTTAGCAGATCTATTGGTTTAGTACATAAAATATAGGTATTGTCAACTAAATAGGAAATATATATATACCATTGTTCAATTTAAGATCCAAAACATCATAGAAAGCATGAGTTCTCATTATATTATGGATTTTCTATTATTTTTTTTCAAAATTATTCTTGATATGGAGTTCGGTATTTATTAAGTATATTAAAGTTTATTTAGTTGACCACATCTATATTTAATTCGAATGCTGTTACTATTCACGAGGCACTGGACATAAATATTAGTGTCGCCTAGGACTTGCCACGTCACTCAAATTTTTGATAAACCCCTGCAATTCCAAACACGCCTAAGCGCTTCGAATAAATACATATAATAAAACCTTGCATGAAGTAAACACATAAATACTATAGTTCATATAAATCGTCCGTGGTGATTTTGTGGGTCTATAGATATAGATCACCTAGGTCCCTCTACTCGTCCCTTTAGTTTCATATCTATAGAGGTAGAGAGGGGTGTATGTACGATCTCACTAACGAACGATTTTAATGGATATATCCGCCAAGTATATCGTAGACTCTAATGACAATGTAGGCATGAAATAGGTATAGGTACTCACGCGTCTCACAGATTGCGTAAGACGGATGTTGTCGCTGCACAGGTTCGCTGGAGCAGCTGGCGCTGCGGCTGCTGGCGTCGCGGTCGTCGCGGCGCGGGGCGAGGGCGGCGGAGGCGCGGGGTGCGCGGGGCGCGGCAGACGCGCGGGAGAGCAGCTCTGCGCCGGCGTCGCCTCGTCCCGCACGCAGTGCTGCTCCTGTACCGACACCCGCCACGCCACGCCGCACCAGATACTCCTCCGCCTCCCCTATACGGTAAACTCAGTTTCCCTTTATTGATACTTATCTAGATACTCGCCCCGGCTTTACACGGGTGTATATGTATCATATATATAAGTTTTCATCTTCAATCCTTTGTCTGTTGCTAAAAACTGCATTAAAATGCGTTGCGTAGTTTAAAATACGCATTCTAAGCGATCAGACAGAGCAAGCGTAAACTTTATATAGTATAAAACTTCGTTTTATACTATATAAAGTTTACTAATTATAGTGCATCTAATATGACGGCCTTGTTGGTTTAGCGGTTTAGCACACCGCCTTACATCCAATGGTCGTAGGTTTGATTCCTCGCACGACATATACATTCGTATTCATGAATATAATTGTTTGTATCGGTCTAGGTGTTTTCTGTAATCTTACCTCTATATTCCACCATTTGGAGAATTTTGGTTGGAAGAAGCATTCCTGGTGTTCACGACTCACAGCCTTGAGGAATCGACAAAGAAGACACTCCACGCATTGTTAAAGGTTTTTTTTACTATAATTCACACAGCGCCATCTAGTCCAAGCTAAGCAGAGCTGGTATTATGGGTAATAGAAAACTGTTAAAATACTTCAATACATTTCATTTTTGTAAACACAAACATAATATAGATACGTAGAAAACACCAAACCAATAAATATGCAACAAAATATGAGCTCTATTACAATTCGTTTCAGCCAACTGCTCAACTCGCCACTATTAAATCGTAGAAGGAACAAGAAACCATCGGAAAGCTCCGACGACGAATACTCGAATGGCAGTGGATACAACGAAGTTAATAGCAAAAATTATAGAGACCTGGAGAGTTTCCAGAAGGCTCAACTTAGAAATAAGGTATGATATAATAATTATTTTAATATGTAAATGCAATTAAGGTGCGGAACTATGTAGACATTCTACCCTGTAATTTACTACAGTTACATTGCATTCCTTCATTTTGCACCTATTTATATTTTTGAATTGTATACAGTGATGTTTAGTATTAGGTACGTGAGTTAAGTTAGGACATTTAAGATTACATTTAAAATAATAATACAAAAATAAATGCCAGAATAGACCTATAGGCAGAAATATTTAAAAAAAATGATATGTGTAAATAACTCATAGTTAGTTCGTTTTATATTTCGCTTATGTCGTACTACACTTTGGTATAAATATTTTGAATTAACAGCGAACATTTATCCAAATTAAGCGTACATGTACGGTTAAACTCTTATAATTGACTGCCACGTACCAGTGTATTTTTGCCCTATAAATTCTTCTAAATGAATAGAGTATAAGATCCTCAAGCTGGGAGTATGGTTGCAGTTAAAACGCGCGGGGACAACAGGGGTGACGGTGACGGGGGCGGCGGCGGGCGCGGGCGCCGGCGACGGCCGCAGCAGCCCGCACTCGCGGCGGCAACTCGTCATGCACAACAAAGCGCCCATGTGGAACGAGAACAGCCAAGTGTACCAACTTGATTTCGGTGGTCGGGTCACGCAGGAATCCGCCAAGAACTTCCAAATAGAATATCATGGTAAACAGGTAAATATCAAGGTCCTATAAGCAGCAAGTCAATTTACCTATAATCGTACTACATTTTATTTCTGAAAATATTTATATTACTAATCTTTTTATGTAAAAAAAAACAAGTTGGAAACATTATTAACTTCCGACATTGTTGTGAACGTAAAACTTGAAATGACACATTTCGCACGACATATTAATTCATGATGGCAGCAGCGGCTGTAGTAGCTTCTCTGTGTTATCATCCGTGGAGTCAGTCAGAAATATAAATTGTCACATAATATTTTTTTTATCAGTCAGATTTCAATTTTTGTCGGCCTTTCGATGAATTCCAGAACCTTAACTACATATGAATGTACCTGCAGAAGTAAATAATGTATATAAAATATCTTTTTTTTAAAATAGTACATTCGTTTAAGTTGAGTTTTTTGCTAGTTCTTCTCAATTGAATCTGTATACTGAACTGGACGGTAGGGAAAAAATTATATTACAAAAAAATTTACGTTCATAACCGGCTAAATAGTTCTACATGAGTAAACGCTTTGATTTAATTTAATATAATTATATTTTTAGGTGATGCAGTTCGGGCGTATCGATGGGAACGCTTACACTCTTGACTTCCAGTATCCATTCTCGGCGTTGCAGGCCTTCGCCGTCGCTCTAGCTAATGTGACGCAGAGACTCAAATGAGCACCATCCTTCTAGCTCATAGTCGACAATAGCGTGCGGTTCTTGTAGGCGATGCGAGCCAGTCGGAAAATATCATTTTTCTATTTGAATATCGACTTTTGATTATATCCGAGGTACCGCCTCGATCTAGGTCTAATTCTTTAAATAGTTACGGTTCATTATAGTCGGTTTTGATATTTTCAGACTGCTTGCTGGCAATAGTAAATTCCTGTAACACATGCCTACACTGTAATATATAAGCTTGACAAGTACCGTTATAGTGATTGGGTTTTGACCAACTGGCTGGCACGAAGCTAGATTGTAGACAATTAAGTTAGATTCCTGTAGCAACCTATAGATGTGGATAGATTCCGGGTATATATTCGTTTAGAATGCAATAGAAAGATGTCCACTTTTGGCAAATGCTTCTTGACGCTCCGTGCAGGTCAGTAGGTTGTAAATCATAATCGTATTGATCAGCGAGCAAACCCATCCATAAAATATTTTTTACACAAGCTTACAATTAGATAGGTAACTATGTAAAGTATCAAATTCATTGTCTCAATGCCGATAGTACGAAATATATTTTCGAAGACATTGGGACCATCAGCACAGATAAAGAAACGTGTCTTATAATGCCCATAGACTAATTTATGCAAAACAATACATTAGGTACAAAATCAAATTTAAATTCTGAATTGAATAGTAAATATTTGTCATGTCTGTGTTAAATTGGTTTCATTGATTATATTTTGACTAAAATCACCATAGATACAACCAACCAATTGAAGAATAATAAAACAATATTTAGTACATTACCGATCCATCTATATAGCTACAGATATTGCAGGCAAATAGGTATCTACATGTATGGCTTATTTTTGTTTTATTGGGTGATTATAGAATAGTGCACCCGCCTGCGCTAACGACATATGCTGGCGGAGCACCATTGGAGGATTGGATGCGTATAGTCAGATCAGTTAGCTCATCGTAGTGAATTTACTAAGAGTTATCGACGGTTTCCAGGGGAACCGCGTGGATATTGAGCTGACATAGTACATTTCTTTCATTGTTAGCAATGCGGCCACTGGTGTCCATTACTGGCAATATCCTCCTACTCCTAAGGCTTAATATTAGATTTTCCGTTTGTACCCAAATATAGTATCCGTCTATTGGCCTATATTTGACGTTGTTTAAAACACTCAGTATTTGTTAATCAGTGTTGAAGTGAAGTGAAATTGTAACATTATGTAAAGGCCACTAGAGTGACTTGTTGTATCTGTTTAGTTTCATCAATTAAATAATTATTAGTTGATCTGTTTATAAATGTTATGCACTGAATTATTCATATACACCATGTTTGTTGTTTTCTCTATTACATATGAATATAAAATGTTTTATTTTGATTATTAAGAAAATATATGTTGTCCCTGTATGAATTAATTTGCTAAATGTCGGCCTATGTTTACGCATACTCTTACTGTATTGGAATGATTTTTATTTTTCTCTACAAATTTTTCTATAGAAATTCAAATTACTATGTGTAAACGTTTTTTATATCATAACAGTCCCTTGCTTACTTTATTACTGTTTAAAATCATAATGTTGTATGTACTATTATCATGCCTGTTGCATAGGACATTTTATTAAATTTTATTCAAAATTATTAAAGTGACTTATTGTAAATACTTAAGGTGCTTACAGATATGCTTGATAAATGTTAAAAGATAGAAATAATATTTGTTTTGTACATATGCAACTGAAAAGTGGATAAAGTTGACATGAATAATATAATCGTTAATTATCTTTAATTATACCAGGATTAACTTAATTTTTAGAAGGTATAAAATAAACATTCGCTTGTTGTATTCTGAATGTTCACTTTATCTTTATATCCAGGTTATGCAGATATGTAAGCACCTTAATATCTTCACTGTTGGAATCACGTAAATTATGCATTATCAAAAACGATACATTTTCAGTATTTATGAAAATAGAACCTGTTAGGCATAACATCACCTCTATATAGCTAATCGCTTTTAATGTATCAATGAAGAAGTGAATATATTACTTATAAAAAACTATTTTTTTGTTAATAATGGCAACATTGCATGATTAACGTTGTAGTTTTTTAATAGTTGATAATAGTGCTTTTGCCGGTTTAACGACGTACGCTGGCAAACCACCAGTGGCTGACAGGATGACCGTGAAGTCAGTTTATTGGTGTCAGCGATTAGGCACAATGGGATTTGTAGGGAGGACCGCGTGGAGTCTCATTTGACGTGATACGTTGATAGCAACAGTCACTATTCCAGTTACTAACAGTCCCGTAACGTTGTAATTATCACCACCAAATCATTTGTGCTCATTCATAAATATTGAAAATAGTCACATAACGCAGAAGTTGCGAGATTTCGATAGCGTTCGTTCTTAAAACACATGACTCTAAAATTGCTGGCAATGTCTTATGAATGTAGGGAGTGTCCTAGATCGCTTACTTGATCTCATGTATAGGCTAGGCGTAATCATTATTATACCTGACGATGTAGAACGCTTCTCACCAATTTCTGATATCGATTCCGATTTTAGAGTCATATGTAGACACTTAAAAACTATTCTTTGTCAGGCAAGGCCTGCATCAATCAATAAAAAGGCTGATTTACATTTGTTTGCCATTGCACATTAATAATTTTGTTTTATTGAAACATACATATCTGTGGTTAATTATTATTATTAAATATATTACTAGATTATTATTTATCAATCATTGATTTAAGACTGCACATTGTAAATATATTTTGTGATAATATATTGGTTATAATGTTTGAGTTATCTTAAGTGACGTGGTAAAAATTGTAAGGTGAGTTTGTTTTGTTTGCTCAGTGTCATAGTTTCCTGTTTTGTTGATTGAATGTTGTAGATGCCGTTGATGCAGAAATTGATGGAAACATTTACTTTTACATAACCATATTAATTTCAAACTAAAAACATCTATAAAATGTAACAAACGAAGTTCAAAAGATAATGCAACCGATTAAACAAGAGACATAAATAATTATATGCATCTTTTTCAAACCAGTTATAAAACATACTTTGGTTGGATGTATCATTATTTATATAGAATTAATTGTAATGTTTCTGTAACAAGACAAAAACTCAATTATAATATTCAACTGACCAGTACCAAGGTTGTGCTTTTTGAAAATATTTTTTTAACATCACAAAATCTCGTTTACATAATCTATTGTATGTACGTGTTTGCACCTAGGCCCTAATTATGTAATGAAGTTGCTTACAATTCTCAATTGTAACAGATAAAAATTGATGGATATGTGCATTCCTACAGATTCAAAAAGGTATCTGCAACTCATATGGTTGAGTTACAGATGCGAGTTAAATTGCAAATGTTTCTCGCAATTGAGTATTGTCTATAAGATCCTTACATAATCTAGACCCTAATCACAATCATTGGTTGAAAGTGTTGAAACTTTAAACTGTAATGTTGGCATAGAGAAAGTTGTTCTTAAATCATAAACATTATCACTAACTTTGAGTAAAATATTCATGTAATCATTATAAAATTTTATTGAAATTCGTTTTATTATCGATTGATTCAATTTTATTGTAGTTATACTTTTTTTACAAGTATTATAATAAGTTATACATATTTGTAAAACAAGTAAGATGTTTGAAGTCTTAATAATTACAAATTTCTTATTTATATTAATTATCCAAATAGTATATCTTTCCAACAATATCTGTACCAATAACTATTATAATAATTACTATTGCTTTTTCATTTATAGTATTTATCACTTGTCAAATGTATATACCTACTGTAATGACAAAGTGTAAATAAAAATAATATTCTCCAGACAAACATGTCTTTTATTGAAAACAATAACTTATAATACTTAAATAGTCCACTATTAAGCCACCAATGTCCTTACATGATATCACTTCACTCTCAATGGGAGCGTAATGCCGTTTGCTAATCACTATCACTGCCACTTTGGCCTGGCACATAATCTTCATCATCTTCATCAGATATTTCTAAGTCATCCAGGTCTTGGAATAGAGATTCGTCAACCTTAACTGCATCACCTGAAATTTATAAAACCAGGGTTTCGAGCATAGTACATTTTGAATTTATATAATTTTATTTTTTTATTTTTGGTCCACTAATTGACGGAATTGAATGATTCACTGTTGAAAATGATAAAAAATAAATTTAAAGTATTAATAAATTTATGCAGCTATATTTTTTTCAATGAATGATAATGGAATGGTGCACTGCCTGCGCGCTAACGGAATTCTATGGCGGACCACCAATGGAGGATGATAAGATGATCATGAGGTCGGGTCAGTTAGCCCAGTGTGGTGAAATTTATCTCCTTTCCAGGGGGAACCACATTTACGAGTAGGTAAATTTGACTAAACGCAATGATGCGAGTAATATACCATACATTACTAGCCATGACATTAGTCCACATTATTAATAGTACCTTTCCCATATTCCTGTTACATGGTGTGAAGCCAATGAGTACTTGAGAATGAATTTATATACATAAATATCCTCAGGACTGTTATGTCAAATTGAATAGTTAGAGATATTATTAATCATTATTGTTGTAGTAAACAGATTATTTGAAAATCTATATTGTACTGAGCATAGTTGAAATGGTAATTATTAGATGGCCAGTCCCGCATCTGTTCTTGCATTCACTTGTTTTATTAACATATATTTCATCACAGGAGAGTAATGAGTAATATAATCCACAATATTTTTATAGTTAGTTTCAATAAGTATGTAAGTAACAAATGGTTGCATAGTGTGAGAAATCAAATCTAAAGACTGAGAATACTTCCATTGGTATCAGGTTTGATTACTCTAGGCAATGTGATAAAACCCTAGACTATTCTAAAATAATTATAATTACCATCATCAAGGAATTGCAAATCTGATTCATTGAGTGTTGTGTCTCTCAAGAATAATTCTTTGCCTGTTAATTTATTCTTATCTTTAGCTTCCTTCTCCCTTTTAGCTGGAATACCCATGTCAATCTCAAATTGCTTTCGCCACGCTAAGAAGGATTCTACTGTGACTCTAGTGCCTTCAAACCTTTTCTGTAATGTGAAACAAATCAGAAATTTTACATTGGGAATTGTTTACAAAATATATGTACACTTTTTACTTACTCTATTTTCTTCACTAATTTCAGCCACCTAGCAGCTTGATTTGTTGATATGTTTCAGTTGAAAAATAGCAGTGACATTAAAGGGTACAGTGTAATGACACATTAGCTCCACTGAATGCAATGCATAAGGGCTACCTTGGCCATCATAACCATGGTACTGTATATATACATGTTTACCACTTACTACTAGGTGGCAGTTTGCTATACTAGTTACATAAATAAAAAAATTAATATAATTTTACTTATATCCAACTCACCAGTTCTGCTTCTTCATCAGCCTTTAATTTTGCAAGCACCTTTTCTTCTCTATCCTTTTTAATGCTATCCCATTTAACATTGAGCCACTCTTGACCAGCTGATACCAGTGTGAATACCATCACCATACCTAGATTCTCTTTGCCCTGGAATTTATAACAATATTAGTATAAGTAACAATACTTTAATTATTAGCATATTATGTAAAACGGAATTGTCTATGGTTCTGTTCATGCATATAGGCTACGGTTATATCGCCACACATACCATCAGGTGAGCGGCAGGCTTGTTTGCCATTTCAGTAATAAAAAAAAAATATTACTCACCTGTTCAGTTAAATGCGCTAGAAGCTCGTTTTTATCAACCACACTATCTAAATTTTCGTCATTGTCTATTTCTATAATAGGTAGCTCATCGGGATACTTCGGTGTATATGTAAACACAAGCTGACAAGACAGGCCTTCTCCTTCATCAAAGGTTTCAGACTTGATAGGTATACTAAATTTGTGAATTGGCTCTATTTCTAAAACTGAAATAACATTATGTTAACAAGATAATATCAAAAAATTTTAACGTCTGTAGTGTCATAAATAAAATATGTTATAAACTTACTCTGCATGTCCCCATAATATATGGAATCCAAGGCTTCTACTTCACTACTCTGTTCGTAGTTATAATCCATTGCTTCGATAAAAAATCGCTTTTCTAAAAATCTAATTACCGTTGCATTTATTTATTTCGACCACTTCGTTGGAACTGTATTTTTTGGTTAGAAATATCATGTAGAAATTGATTATAATATAAATTTCATTTAATTCCTTTTTTATAACAAAAAAAATGTCAATGCGGATTTTCAATCAGTGCGGTATATTTGACAATTCAGTAATATTGACATTGATGTTCAATGTCACAACTGAATGAAATCTGTCAGTCTCACACTGTATAAAATTGATAGGCGAATTATTTGTCACCGTTAGTCTATATATTATATTATATCTATCTTTCTGATCTGTGCTCTCCAGTTTGTCAACCGCTGAAAATATTGAATAATAATATTTTTTTGTTAGATAATTATGTTTTTTATTTTTTGAGTGCGATTACTACTGTATAAATATATATAAAAATACTTAAAATGGACCTGCCAGAGGTCTCGAATACTTCGCAATCAGCTATCCAATCTGACTTGGGGTATGTTTATTGTTGTTCTTTTAATTTATCCTAACTTTCCAATCCTTAAATCAAACATTAACACTTTATTTTACAGGTCTTTACCCTCCAAAAGTACTGATGATTTCACTGATCTACAGCGACAAGTTTTAGCCAATTTTGAGAAGCCGAATGTACCAAATATTAACATACCAGAACGGATTATTATTTGTTTGGATACTTGTTATGATGACAATACTTCTCTGTATAGATTAGCAGATGGGACTACATTCACACCAATTAATATGATGAAACGAATACTCGACTTTTTCATACATTCAAAACATGCTATCAACCATAAAACTGAGTTTGCTTTATTGATTATGAAAGATACAGAACCATGTTGGATACAAAACTTCACTAATAATGTGAAGGATATTATAAATATGATTGATTATATTAATGCAGAGGAAAGTACTACAGAAAATTTTGATTTCAAAAAGATTTTCCAAATATTAAAACAAAAAGTTGATGATATTCCAGAATACAAACAGGATGATTGTATAATACCACCTCCATTTGTATTGCGAATGATTATTTTATATGGACGTTCTAATTGCATACCAGTGATACCTCAAGATGACTCATACTTTATCTTTTTAAAGAAACAGTTGTATTTTTATATTGATATATTATTAACACATGAAGAAGAATGTTCACTTTACAAATGCGCAGAGATATATGATTGTTTGCAAAACCTAGACAATGGATATTCATATGTTTATGAAGTATCAAGGAATGCCACTAAGATCCATGATTGTGCTGCAAAGCTGCTTGCACATCCCTTACAACGAGTTCTGCAGAAACAAACCAATTATAGTTTTGGTCATAGAACTTCATGAAAACAATAATATTATTGAAAGTGTTAGTAAGTTAATTAAGTACCTTAATAATATATGAATAAAACATTATATAGTTTGTTGTATTTATTCAGCTCTCAAAAGGGGTTACGATTGGTACAAAAAAAATCTAATGCTACTATATATATATCAATATATATATTGGTATTTTAATAGTTATAAACAACATATTATGTACTCTCCTGGATTACATTATTCTAGGGCACTGTCACATCTGGCCTATTTATATTGTGAAGGCAGAATATAGTGGTTGTTGTTCCTACCTCAGTGACCCAGTTGGAGGTGTTCAAGTCTATTTATGTCGAAATTTCTATCTATAACAATCCCAATATCTAATATCTTTTAAGAATTAAAATTATAATACAGTATATACTTTCGGCACAGCCAACTTTTGATTCTGTACTTATTAATAGTGATTAATTTTTAAAATAATTTTGTGTCTGTTCTACATTTAGTATATAGGAGTGCTATGAATGATAACATGCAGATTATGAAAAAATAGACATATGTACAACCACAATCCAGACATGTTCCCTAACATTGATAACAAATTGAGCACAATAGTACATTCATAGACCAGAAGCTTCAATACCTAAAACATTCAATTGTCTTGCTCAGCTTATTTTTTTAAAGAAAATTTCATTAATCTTATACACAGAATATAAACAAATACAAAAAATAATAAATGGCTCTAGAACACCAACTAAACATTCTATGAATAGTGTAAAGTTATAAGTTACAGTAAAAACATGGTTTATTCTCAGACAATAAATGATTACTATATAAAAAAGCTGAAATAACTTTAAAGGCCCACACATTTTATATAAAACAAAACTCATCAAGTCATATACTTCATTGATTTAAAAAATGTAAGTAACAATGTAAATAAATTCATATAAATATTATATGTACAGTACAATGATTAGGATTGCATCTAAAATCAATTTGTTTATATCAATAATGTTGAATGTCAAGTAGAATAATTTAAAAATAGCCATTAAATGACGGTGTTAATTATATCCATGCAATAGCTTTGAAAGTAAGCTGCATCCTTTAATGGATTTCAACTATTACTTAATTCAAAAGATTATACAAAACATGTAAGCAAATGATGAAAAATATATAGTTTCTGTATCGACAAAATGTATTAACAAATAAAGTATTCACCATAACATTTCTGAAATCGCATTAAAACTATATGAGCTGCATGCTGTTTGTATAGTACATTACAATTTGCGACTTGTATACACTATATTTGTATTCAATTTTATCACATCCAGTTATTATAATGCAACACTATCACAAATAAGTACAGTTCAAATAAATAAGACTTTATTATTATTATGTAAGCTGTCCAGTTGTCGGTGATCTACAAAAATCAATAATAGCTATACTATGATACTACAACATTTAATGGTGTAAGGACATTTCTTGGTTTCTTATTGCTATTTTTTTATAATTGAAACATGAGGGTATCTAATTAATTAATGTATTGTGTGTAATAATATTGAAGATGAATTTGAACAAAAACTTGTTCGATTTCTTACAACAGCTAAGATCCCAGCACAAAATTCATTGATCATAATCAAATTGAAATATCTAGAAAGATTAACAGCTTTAGTTATATAATATCCAAACGACCATTTGGGCCAACATTCCACGTCATATCTCTGACATACATCTGGCACATTCCCTTTTAGAGCTGTAATTATTACACCTGAGATCCTATTGTAATGAATTATCATTTACTATCGACATCTAATATTTGACACTGGCGGATTTACAAACAAAATAAATAACTTCACTTATATCAGTCTCTTTAAAATGTATTTACAATATTGTAATAATTTAGGTGTTTTCAAACTATATAAAATGAGTCAAAAACTTCCAACGCCACTCTCAACACCTAAACCTAGCCAGCACTCCCTCGCTCGTAATCTAAGAAAATACGGATAAATGGAATGGTAATGATTTTATTACAACATGAAGCCAATGTACGTGATTATAAAAGAGAATAATTAAAGCGTATAATCGCCAGATTGTCCTGGCATCACATTACAGTGACCATGATTCCTTACATACACACATTTTTACATATTTTTTTTAGAATCCATCATCTATCAAAATGCATCTCCATCACAATAGTTTTGATTTTAATAATATCAAATAATGTAAATTCGTTAAAACACCAAGGCCAAGTAAATAATTTTGCAACACGATACAAAACTAAGTAAACTTTTTGAGTATTACAGTATAAGACTCGCATCCCCACACTCCACGAACTTCGCAGTTTGACCACTACAATATATAAAGTATGATGCATTTTCATAATAAAATAGGTAAACTGATGACGTGATCATTGAATATCCATCGGAAATATGTATATCGCAAGGAAGACAAGACTAGATGATTCAATATTAAAATTTTTAATTTTAACACATACCTAATAGTGTCTAATTAGTAAAGCACACCGCCGCCAAATCGCGGAGCTGCCTGAACTCGTGAACATTTCAACTCGAAGGAATGTAACTCGTGTCTCAGCATCGGTCTCGAAGCGACAGCGAAAGACACGCTCGATTTCCGTAGGGACCGCCTCCGATCTTCGCCGGTCTGCACTAAGACTAATTTCCTTATATCTAAAGAAAACTAACGACCTCGCGCGGAGGGATCTATCGTTTCGATGGAACCGAAACTGTTTTTACACTAAATGAAACGTGGAACTCGTCATCGTGTCGGTTTAAAATCGATACGATAAACGCTCCGCAGTCGGTACGGCTCCGACGCCGGCCGAGGGGAACGCGGCGCCCGGCGGTCGTCGAGGATGAACACCGCCTAGACACGGGCGCCGCCTCCTCCGCCACTACCGGGGGCCGGGCGCGGGCGCGCGGGGGCGGCGCAGGCGGAGGCACGGTCACAGGACGCAGGCGGCGAACACCGCCATGGCGCGTCAGGGCGGCGGCGCGGGCCTGTCGGCCACGCGTTCGGGCAGCGCGGGCGCCGCCTCCTCCGCGCCCGCGCCTCCCGCGCGAGCCCGCATCGCGCATGCGTACGTGCGGTACCGCTTCACCTGCGCCAACACACCAATAGATAAAGTTCGACCAAACATTTGAGCACATGTTTGTTGCAAACAAAACGGCACAAGTCGAGACTTGTTTTTTGCTCAAAATACCCACTTTGGGGTGTTTTACGTAATAGGGATGTAAAATAAAAAAAAAATACCGCTCAAAGTACTCGCTGCTAATTTTTGTATAGTTTTTTTTTAAATTGAGTAATTATTTTTTGAGATTACCAATAAATTTATGCATGTCACCATCGATCAGCTATTCAGTTATTATCTTAATTTTAGAAACATTCAAGCTCATTTGTTATCAGTCTTGTATCATCGAGATACATTTTGTAAACCATACTCTATAATTCTCATCTCACTGTATAATTACCGGATATGGAGGCATGGCAAATCCTGTGAAATGCTAATGGAAAGTTACAATTACTCATGTGCTTGGCCGTCCGTCTTGACCTCGCACAACTCGGCCGAATGCGAAATCGATCCGGGGACGTCGACGATTAATCGGCGTGAGTGGAACCCCTAGGAGTTTTAATGGGTAAGAATCCCACAGTAACAATCCGTACCCCTTCAAATAGGCTGGCGGTTTTCTAGGCAGTATTTGAACTCGTAATAAAAAGGGGGCTGACCTCGTGCGCGAGGTAGTGGTCCTTATCCCTGGCTGCGGGCGCAGGGTCTCGTGCATGCCTCAGCGCCGCCAACTCCTCCTCGAGCCGCGCGGCGCGTTCCTCGTGCTCGCTCAACTGGTCGCGCTGCGCACATTTAAATACAACTTGTACAGACTACTCTACACAACTAGTGTAAGGCCAACCTCAGCATAGAGCAAAACTATAGATATGCTTGAAAAAATCTTAAAAAAACTGTAAATATCAAATGAAAAATCAGTAAATGTCATCTCTATGTTCATATATTTTGTTTAAATTAATGATAGTAATAAGTCCGTCTTTCGAATACATTACAGGGAGTGGTGGTACTGGTGGGAAGTGTGGTGCTGTGGCAAAGGCGGTTTATGGCCTAGACAACCTAGCCGCCCGCTTTAGTCTTAGTCCGCCACTGTTGTGGTGTATGGGGTATGGGATGTGGTGTGTGGGATGCGGAGTGAGTCGTGCGTGTACCATGTTGAGCTTGGTGTGTGTGCAGGGCAGTAGCGGACGCTGGAACTTGCGCTGCGAGCCCACCGCGCCGGCCAGCGGCGGCGCCGAGTACGCCGCGCACACGAAGTTGATCGTCTCCACCCACGAGCACAACTCCTTTGAGTCGCTGCACACACACAAACCGACATGCGTTATTTTAAAACCATTCACTTTACGCTGTTAAAAGAGTGTCCAATATACATAATTTGCAAACCCTAAAAAATTGTTAATTATTACATATACACTAGTTGAGTACGCAGTTATATCCGCTACTCGCGTGAAATTTATATGTTATCTGATGTAAAAGTAATATTATTATAGAGTTTCATTAAAATGAATTCTTTAGTTTTCGCGTTATCTATCTACTGCAGAAAAAATATATGAATCTTTTTTATATATTTTTTGGACTTAGTAGATGTTCAATATGTTTAGTATATGTTATATACATACATTAAGATAATTTCACCGTTAATCGAACTTGTTTTATACATTACATATTTGCGCCAATGGATATCCTTACCTTGTTTGAAATAAGTATTCAGCTTGATCAGCAGTTTGCAATCTGAAGACGTGTTGCTTTTTGGTGTAATCAGTCGCTTTAGTTGCTAACGCGTGATGTATTCTGAAAATATATAAAGGTTCTTGGTTAACTCCTTATATCATTGGAGATCAACAACTTGTCATTATAGTTGCTAAGAATTTTGATATTAGTGTTGTATTATTGTACATACTATATAAATAACATAATCTAATGTATCGTAGTTAAATTAAATCACTATCTAATATTAAGCAATCATTCATTGGGTGTAGATATGCGATAGAATGACGGTGACTTAGCCTCAATTTTTCATCTATACTTTACTAATATGATAAATATGAAAATGTTTGTTTGTCTCTTCATTTGTTGCGTTTTCACAACAAAATGGCTGAACAAATTTTATTGAAATTTAACAGGAAGTTCACAAGGGCCTCAAAAATAGCAGATGAAGTCACAATTAACATCTAGTTAAATATATCCTAATAATAATCATTAGGTACAATATATGTGTTTAATTATATTAAGAATATATATTCAATGTATATACGAGTACAAGTATATTACCTTATAGCGTTGTGTAGATTGTCCGACATCTGACTCCGCCTGAACCCGTGCTCGTCCTTGTGTAGGAACAACACCAAGTCTCGTAGCGTGCAGTAGAACATTTTCCAGCCGCGCCGCCCGAATGGTGCTGATGGAGGAGAGGGGACGGTTAGTAATGTGGACTAATAACGCGCTAAAAATAGCCTACGGTCTATTATATATCTCAATTTACCAAATGGTGCTCCCGCCTGCGCTAACGGTTTACGCTGGCGGAGCACCAGCGGAGGATGATAAGATGGGCATGAGGTCAGGTTAGTTTGACCATTGTGATTAAATAACCAGAAATTAACCACGATGGCTTCCAGGAACAACTATGTGGAGGTCGACCTGACATGGTACATTTCTGTCCCTCCGGTTCGGGTAGGTTTGAAAATAGATCGTAGGCTATTGTTTAGGACGTTAGTCCTATCCAGAAATAATGCATTTAGTAAAATAATATATAGGTCAGCCAGTGATCACTATAAAATAGAATGAGAGGTGGTACTGACTCTTCTTGCCGTTGGCGTCGACGCAGCACTTGCGCATGACGTAGCCCTTCTTGTACTCGACGGCGCGGCTCTGGTCGGGCACGTCCAGGAACGGGTTCCCGCCGCGCGCCGCGCCCCCCGCCGCGCCCGCCGGCCCCGCGCCGCCCGCCGCCCCGTCCGGCCCGCCGGATGCGTTCGCCTCCGTGCTCGTGTCCGTGTCGCTGGAACGGCCACGGTATGATCACTTATACAGTGCAGTAGAAAATCATTCATTAAAATAAACATTTTTATAGTCATAGTTTTTTTTCATCTACCACTCATTCGGAAAGCTGTCTCATCGACTCATCACATGAAGAACGAGTGAGAAACTTGCGTGCTGTTCTTTTAAACAAGTGTAAGTCAAGTATAGCGTGCAACTCTCTTATAATACCTATATATTCACAACTTTTTTATCATTTTATATGACGTCCTCACCACACATTATACCAACAATTATCGGCCTCGGCGGTCTAGCGGTTTAGCACACCGCCTTACTTCAGATGGTCGCGGGTTCGATTTCTCGCACGGTATTTGTATTCATAAGTATGATTATTTGTATCGGTCTGAGTGTTTTCTATATATAATAAGTATATATTTACGAAATTCTATGTATTTGTATCAGTTATAGTACCCAGGCTTTAACAAGCTTAACTTGGGATTAGACGGCGCAGTGTGAATTGTCAAAATAAAAAAATGTCACCAAAACATAATCGGTATGTGGTGTAGTGCAGAGTGCGTACTAACAGTGCCCACTGTAGCGGCTGCGTGCGGATGGCTTGGTAGAGGTGTTTGAGGGTGTCCCGCGGGAAGTTGCCGCCGTCGTTGAGGTCCGCGAGGTTGTCGATGAACTCCGCGCAGGCCATCCGCCGGAACGCGCCCGCGCCGCCGCCGTGCAGGTCCGTGTTCAGCAACATGATCGCGCACGTCAACGTATGCACCGCGTCTGTACAACGATACATATTTACATGAAACTAGCTCACCCCGCAAACCTTGCTATGCTATACAAACTAAAATCGCTTTTAAAAAATAGGGGTTGACGGTAGAAGGGTGAAAATTTGGTGTTGCATTTATTTTTAATGCCACATTATAAATAAAATCGCCCAAAAAATAAAAAAATAATGTTAGGGGTGGACGACCCTTATCACTTAGGGGTATGAAGAATAGATAGTAGCCGATTCTCAGACCTACAGAATATACATATAAAATTTCATAAAAATCGGTTAATCCGTTTCGGATGAGTATGGTAACGATCATTGTGACACGATTTTAAATATAAGAGGAAACCATTATTTAAAATAAAAAACTGAGCATATTGTACGGGAGGTACCTTGCGAGCGGAAGGAGCCCGGGTTGCACTCGAGGTACCGCCGCGAGAAGTGCACGAGCACGCGCTCGCGCTCCTGCGTCTCGCCGCTGAGCGCGAACTTGGCCAGAAACGCGCGCAGCGCCGCGTCCAGCGTCGCGCCCCCGAACGAGAAGTGACGCACGTACTCCTCCGCCACCGCGCGGCTGAACTCGTTGCTGACGAACACCACCGCACACGTCTTATTATATATATAATACCAGCTGTGACCGCGGTTTCACCCGCCTTCAATTTCAATAAAAAATATAGCTTCAACAAAATCCGTTCAGTAATTTCTGCGTGAAATAGTAACAAACATCCCTACTCACAAACATTCGTATTTATAATATTAATAAGATAAGACTATCTGACCCCGCAAACGTTGTTTTGCCTTATAAATTAAAATCGCTATTAAAAAATTAGGGTTGAATTCCAATTATAGCTATAATATTTATATTGGAATTGAATACTATTATATATTAATATCTTATTTAACTGCAAAATTAACAATGTAACGAACTGTATAAAACTATACTATATCTATTGAATAAAACTGAGAATAGATAAAAAACATCTTCAGATGGGATATCTATGGTATAAATTAACCGGGCAATACTATTATGAAATGAAAATTAAACTCACTTTTTACTCAAATGTCTGGAAACATCTGACTTCTTGAAGCCGTCGAGGTGGTAAAGACGTTTTGCAAGTCGCTCAGCGGAAGGAATGTCCACAGCCTTCGGACTGTAGTGGAACGAGTGTAGGGAGTCACCATCGGAACCCTCGTCCGAGCCGCCGTCTGAGCCGCTATTCAGCTCCTGCCCATAGGAAGCAGATATTTTTTACATTACTTTAGCAAATATTATTGACATTAACGTCAATTCTATTTGTTATGTAAAAAATAGAATTAATTAAATTAGGAGCATGTATAAATATACTACACACACAGACACACCTGCGTAATAAAACAAATGGATTGTAAGTAATGTAATTAACAACCCTGTTGCTACCAACGTACTGTCAGGTTGACATCCACGCGGAAAACTATCATGTTAAATTTGTCATGATGGGAAAAGTAACCTAACCTCATATACTCATCTTATCTTATCATCCTCCACTGGTGCCATCAGCGAAGGCAGATGCACCAATGCATTAACAAAAAAAGCTCCTGTTACAATAAAGTTTGTCTGTGTGCGTCTCACCTATTTCTGCCGTCATGCAGCATCTCTATTACATAGTTAGGCAGCAAAATTATAGGATACGGAGGCTTGACATACAAAAAGAAAGGATAATGTCGAAGTAACTTTGATATGTAATATCGGTCAACACCAACCTGTTGAATGGAATGAAATCATACAATTGAAAATGTTTTGTAAGATTTTACAAACAATTGTCCATCTACATACTTCATATACTAGAATTAGTCCACGAAATTTATATTTAAATAACTATCAATAGTGTGAAACAAGCACACAAAATGTTGAAACTATCTTTGACTCATCGCTCCAATTAGGCTATATTATGCAATCCTAATTAAGGGTCATCATTAAATTGAATAGTAGTAAAAAACATACACATACATATTACAAATGCAGTACTTAAATAAAGGAACTGACCTGGTATCCTTGATTCTCTGGTGAATTATGGCCATTCTCCTTTCCATTCTGTGTATAATTATTATTATTATTATTTACATTTTCATTAGCATTGGCGTTCTGTTTGTCCGGTCCTTTCACTTGTATTACTATTCTATAGTCGGTGTTGTGGTCACCGTTCAACGTGACATCACTTCCGTGCTCATTCGAATACGAAGAGTTGGATTTCACTCGTTTGTGACAAGGTTCTGAGACTAGGATAGTTGAGTCTGAGTCTGAAGGGTCTGAGAGCTCCATGCGGGGACAGTCTCGACCAGTCTCGAACATGTCGTCTTGGTCTTGATAGTCTGGACTAGATATGTTGGATACAGCTTCTGAAAGGCTCATGTCTCCTGTAAGATGATGTGTTTTATTAATACATAGAGAAAAATATTATAAAGGTATAAATATAGAAATATTAATAAATAATACAACATAAAAAAACTATTACTGTACTTGTATGAAAAACATGTTATTTTTAAAATATTGTAATAAGCTCTGCCCGAAAATGTCTAGGCATTTCTACCATAGTCGACAAGCATTGGTTTATAGCACATATATTTGATAGATGTACACTCGCTCAGTATAAAATTCTGTATAAGCGAAACACGCTATATAGATCTATCTATGTACATGCTGCTAGAACACAGGGTAGTATGTAAGATGAATTAAGTGCAACACGCAAGTTACTCATTCTTCTAGTGATGAGACTGCGTTCGGAATCAATAATATGTGACAATTAAAAAGTGCTTCTATCTGACAAAGATTATTTATATTTCTATGATCTATAAAACCGAGATAAATCGGGAATAGCTTGTTCCAGCTCTGAACACAAGGGTGATGGTTATAATTAGTAAGTAGTATCTGACCATTAAGGGGTCGGTGGGGGTGCGGCGGCGGGCGGTGGGGCGGCGTGGCGCGGGACGACATCACCGACGACGACATCGACGTCGGCGACGCGGGCGACGACGACCTGCATTAAAAAAAATTAGTTGTCTGTGCACGACACATTCTTTCAGTTTGGTTTTTGTCGGATTACTGTGATACTGTTATCCTTTACAGCTTAACCGGAACATAGGGGGCGAGTACAGATGACACTCCAAGCCGGGGGGAAGGGAATTGTTAGTAATGTGGACCTCATATATAAATCCCCTCCAAACTGTGCAACGACTTCAGGAGCGGCTGAAGGCCAACTCCTAATAGACGGATACGACTAAGTTTTGAGAGCACTACTAGGGGTTTGAACCACGGCTCTGGGCGTTCAAATTTCGACCCCTGTTTAAAACGGGGATCGATCGGAACGTGCAAGAGCGATTTAGTGCGACAGACAGCGAGAACAAACGTGTGTGAATGCCTTTTACTATTTTATAGGATCACTTCGGATTCCATAAAATCTAGTAGTCATTTTAATAACTTATTTTTTATTCTACAGAATTCTCCCTAATTACACTACATGTACATGACTTATATATAAATATAAAAACATGCCTTTGCGATATGCCGTCTGATATAGAGGTGGAGTTGGAAGTAGGGGCGGAACCGTTGCAGGCCCGTTCTGCTGAAGACGACACGGGTGCGTTGTACGTCCACACAATCCTGCGACATTTGCTATATTAAATAAATAAATAACTATTTACAAGGTACACAGCGATATCAGATATTTATTATTATCTCATATGTGTCTTAGTCTATAAGGTATTTAAAATATGGGCAATTAGTAGCCTGAATTAAATAAATATCTAGTCCCAAACCACGCAGAGCTTGTACGATGCGCAAATACATAATTTTTTTACATAATTACATAACATAACAACAAAATACCATTACAACTGTGGTCTTAAATAGACTTAAAATTTATTTACATCCCTGGTACTTAAACTAAGTATAAACCTGTGTTATTGGTACCAGTTCCTTATATAATTTACAATTATTGAAATTAAAATCAAACTTGTAGAAAGAAATTTCGCAACTGTAATTGTATTTCTTTACACACTCGATGAAGTATGGAAATAAATATTAATGTATACTAAGGGAAATATGTGTAGGTATAAGATGAACACGCGAACAATATTACATACCTGTCTCGCTCAGTTTCAGATTCTGACCGAGGGGCGGGCGTGGCAGAATCCGGCCGCGCGTCTAGTAACGTGTTTAGCGATGACGTCACATCCTCTTCCATCTCCACTGCAACTGCACTTAACGAGGACTCCTTCTGAAACTTTCTTGGCTCATATAGCTGCTGTGACAAACAACAGTTCAGGTGTTAGATTGAATTATACAAGAAAAAAGTGTATATAATTTATATCAAATATATTTTTTTAAATGTCTCACTGTTATGTAATTTTTATTAAATGTGTTACATTCAGAGGTATTCAACTGTTTAATACAAAGACATACACCAAAAATGTATAATCAAAGTGACAGGTGAAATCATTAGAAAGGTTTACAATACCTTGTATGACTTACGATTAAACCCGTCAGCCGTACAAATATTTATAATAATTATCCTTCATTTCGAAGGTAACATTTGAACTCGATATCTGATAATGTATATCTCCTATATGACACATAAGTAATGAATACAAGTACCTGTAAATGATCTTCAGATCGCGAGGTACGTACAGTGTGCGACGGCCGTCCCGAAGACGATATCTCGCCTGAGGATGCTGTCCCGCCACCGGCTGGAGACGCTGGCTGAGATATAAACCTGAAAAAATATTGACATGTGTCTACATGTACAATCAGCGGGGATTCGTTTCTACTCAGGAAAGCGGTGTTCAGGGCAGAGCCGCGCTATTCTGCCTCACTTGCATTCTACAATACACTTAAGTGACGGGCTATTGTAATGCATTTAGAAGTACGTCGTAATACAAGGCTCTACATGCCATGACGGTGTTCGGACCTTTAGGGTCTCTGAGTCCGCGCAACATGGACGATAATCTTAAATCATAGCACCAAGAAATTTCACTAATTAAAGCAGAATACAGCATGCACTATATTAGACAGAGCATGCATTAGACAGGTTTCTGGTCGGATATAAGCAACGACAAAACTAAAGTGCTAGCAATAGTCATAGAAGGTATAACATATTCGTCACATAGAGGTGTCATCCGTTTTGTTTTGTTTCGTATATATATTTTGTTAAAACTAAAGCATTTATTTTTTGCATAAATAAGTAAAATAAAAATGTGCATTTATAACTTAAAATAACTCCCAAACGATTTTTATTGTTCAAAAGCTGACGTGCAATAAAGATTTAATAAGGCCATCTAAGACGAAGGTCTATTGTACGTATTATATATTTTTAAGAATTATTATTATTGTAAATATCTCGTTTATATGATATGTGTAATTGTAAACGACTATGAAAAAAAAAATTTAAAAGAAGAGATTTAACTTTATTTGATTTAATTTTTAGTATAATCGAAATAAAATTTGAATTTCGTGAGAGTCTATAAAAAAATTTCACTTTTCTTAGTCTTCTAATTTACTGACTTAAATTAGAAATGGCAAGACAATTTACAATTGAAAATTGTCATGATAAACGTATATAAGCACATGCTAATGCCTATACATATAGGTAAGTGAGCGTACATCTTAGCGGCGTGTTCGCCGACGAGGCCGGTGTCTGGCGAGGAGTTGTGCCGCTGAGCAAGCTCGGCTCGCCCGCACGCGCGGCCATCACTCGGCGAAGCCGGAGTCGAGTTGTATCTACGCATACGTTACTATCCACTAAGGGTCGACCCACACGGACCACACCACGTGGCAAGAGAAAGGGCAAGGGCAAGAGAATTGTTAGTAATGTAGATTAATAACCCCATTGCTAGCAATGTACCATGTCAGCTTTAGCTCCACGCGGTTCCTCCTGGAAACCATCATGTCAAATTTCTGGTGAATTTGACACGAAGAGCTAACTGACCTGATCTCAAAGTCATCATCCTCCACTGGTGCTCCGCCAGCGTATACCGTTAGAGCAGGCGAGTGCACCATTCTATTATTATCCTTTGAAAAAAAGAACCACACCACGTGATCGGGCGTATATTTTGTATTGAAAATGAATAGAACTATTCACACATACCTCATTTTGCAGTCGTTATAGAGATGACACTGTATGCATTGTCTAGGGATATTATAATATTAAATACAATATATGTCTTTTAATTGTGTATACGTAAGTAACGCGTCATATTTATTTTAGATACAAAGGAATTACATTATGTTTATGTATATGAATTATATTTATCATCTGGATGACACCTATTTAAATTTTCATTAGTCATGAAAAATTGAAACCTCCATAAACAATATTTATTATACAGATTAGTGGCGAATTTAAAAACTACTGAAATCATTAAAACCGTAGACTTAAAAAGCACAGAATAGACCAAGGACAGGTTGGGTTGAGACTGAAAGAAACCATACCAATTCGGTCCAAATGGACACTCAATAAAGATTGGGAGACTAAGGAAAGAAGGAGCAATTAAATTGTTGTAACCGAACCAAATCTTTTGTATCTAGTTGGAATACCAAAATATAAATATATTGGATATTGGTGCCATACAAACAGTTTTAGCAGATCCTTCAGATAGTGCGGCTAAGGAAATTTGTTCACTGGTGAGGTAATGGAGTAATTAGTTTTATGGTACAATGGTACTGGCATGTATTTTTAGATAGTATAAAGGTCCCTTAATTTAAAAAAAATTCTAACATGAACTGCAAACAAGCTGGTGTTATATCTGATCGAAATTGGCAACCGCCGCCTATAATATAAATAGCACCCCTAATAGCATTATTTGACGTCTGTGGTACCGCTTTTGCTTACTATTTGACGACTAAGGCATTATGATGATCATAATATTCTATAATTACACAAAAGTTATAACACGAAATACAGCTTAGAATAAGTTAGTGTTATGATGATCATCATACTCTATAATTTCACTGTTATAACAGGAAACACAGCTTAGATAGAGTTAGTACTTCTGGGAAGTAACTAAGACGTAATGTCTCCCGTGTCCTGCTATTCCACAATGGTGTGACGGCCTCGGTGCGGTTCGGCACACCGCTTTAATGGTCGCGGGTCCGATTCCAAACTGGTTCGGTACAAACATTTGTATTAAAGAATTTTATTGTTTGCAGTGGTTTGGGTGATTATTATGTATTATGTATGTAGTTACAAAAAAAAAAGTTTTATGTTTTGAAATTAGTTGTCTACTGACCATAATAAAAGCTCTGCATAGCTTGGGACTAGATGGCGCTGTGTGAATGTACTTATCTTACTAATATTATAAACTTGAATGTTTGTGAGTATGGATGGATGGATTGATGGTTAGATGGATGTTTGTTACTCTTTCACGCAAAAACTACTAAACGGTTTTTAATGAAACTTTACAATACATATAAGCTATATTCATCAGAATAGTACATAGGCTATAATGTAAAAAGATTGTAAATTGGGCAAAATATAATTAAACATGTTAAGTAAGTGTGATGCAGACGAAGCTGCGCGGGTAAGCTAGTTATTATTATTTCACACTTCAAAAATAGCATAACATCTTACAAATAAAAATGATCAGTCATTACCTGTGATAATGTGTACGGTGTGTAGGCGCATGATGATTGTGGTGCGGGTGTTCGATACGTGACAGGTTGAGCATGAGGTCCCCGGTCATCATGTAGGCCTCGAACTTAGGCTGGACGATGCGGGGCCGCCGCGGCGTCCGTTCCTCAGTCAGTAGCGCCTCGCAGCTGTCGCCGGACTGAACGCCCGATCCGTTGCTTGACGAGTTGCTCGACGAGTTACTGTTGCTGTTGCTGTTGCTGTTGGAGTTACTCGATGGCGGTGAACTAGATCTGTTGAATTAAAATAATATGCATTAATACATTTATGTACTAGCTGAAGCCGATTTCGTATCTGTGATATCACACAAATAGACAGATAAACAGGCAATTAATAATAATAATTTCTCAGGACAATCATACGGCGCCATCTAGTCCCAAGTTAAGGTACCTAGAGCATGCTTTGGGTACTAGACAACTGATATGAATACATAGATATTTTCTTTTGTAAAGACATACATATTATATATAGAAAACACCCAGACTGATATGAAGAATCATACTCATGAATACAAATGTTTGTACCGTGGGAGGAAACGAACTCGCGATCATAGGAAGTAAGGGGGTGTGCTAAACCGCTAGACCACCGATGCCGTCTAATTATTGTAACAATAATTCATTTGAGTATTATTTTGTTAAAACAGTCTCCTAATAATAGTGTTTGGCATATTGTGCATGTACAGACAGCGATCAGTTACATTTTTATTATATACATTTATAGATATATAAGTAAAAAGTTTCCTACGCGTCACCACATTACTATCAATATCTAATATATAAAATTGCGGTATACAATTTTCCTGTACAATTATTATTTACAAGTGTACAACTTATGCTCAATACATACAAATAGAGCTATAAAGTTTTGCAACAAAGATTCTATTTAAGCAGTTGTATTAAATTAATTAATGAACTCTATGTATGCAATTTGTTAGAATAGAACATAATACAAATAATTTTTCTTTAAATAATGTTAATATAAGCACTTTGAATAGACATTTTTTTTCAACTTCTTATTCGAAACGCATATTCATCACAAGAATAATGAGTATCAAAATTGCGCTTATGCTCTCTTGAATAAATATTATTTTTAATAAATAAACATTAAGTAGGGGGCATGCGACAATGAACATAGAAATCCATGCACTCATTCTTTGTGCACACAGATAATATTGTCAGCATTATATATTTTTTACAAGAATTAATCATGTAATGTCGTTAGTTTTAAAGTGCTTCCGAATTCGGGGACCGCTATAGTACTCGAGTACTCCACTGGACACCCTTCATTATGCACAATATATTTATAATTGTAAACTACTGAATACCTCTATGCTAGCAATTCTAATTACATTAACCAATTAACCCCCGTGTCTTCAATTTGTTCATGTAAATTTTTAAATTATAACATGTTACATATATCTACTCAAAATCTTTTACAAATAAAATTTTTATACCAGTATCGCCAGTGGTCGAAATTCGAACATAACAAATCAGTAAGACTATAGCCAAATAATATTGATTTATTCTTAATTAACAAATTTAACCACAGAGTTTTTGGTAAACTCTGTGGTCAAATTAGTTAATTAAGAATAACAAAACAAAAGAGTATATACCTATATGCATGTGTGTCAAACACATACTACCTTGTGTAATTGTGAAAAATTACACAAACACATATTCTTTGGTCTTTGTCTATATAAACTAAGTGTGTAAAATTTCGTACCCCTCCGTCGGCGCAATTTTCGCAAAAAGGGTATAAAGTTTGTGTTTTACATATCAATATACAGATTGTTATTATTATTAAATTGTAATAAAATGACCACCACAATCATCACTGTACGCACACGAGAAGTAGAACTATCAACGTGTTTATATAAGCAACGCCCCTGATAAAGATGAAATATACGCCTACATTTTAATATAGAATATCAGAATGTTCTCGGTATCTAGCAATAAAACAACCGCGGCTGGTTTAATGCACATCACTAATTACGTCGGGCAACCCCCTGCCAGTTGCGTGTTAGAAAAGTACGGGGGTGCCGCTAGCCCCAGACGGGACACATATGGTTTTGGTGAACTGTTATCGCTGCCGGAAATCAGCTGTCAAGCAGCCGAGGGTTAGCTTCCTATTGCATATGAACAACGAGTTATAATTAAACATGCTGCACAGAATCAGATAGTTTAATTCAAATTCAAAATATCTTCATTCATGTAGGTATATTACAGACTCTTATGATATGTCAAATCTACCGTCAATTTTGAGACAAGAAACTCAGCTCGTATTCTTTTCAAATAAATGTTGTATATGTTTACAATAATACAGATTTCTTTTTAAATTCAAATTTGGGAGAATAGAGTGACTGAAAAAAAAAATGCTGGTACATTTTTTTTTTTAAAGCAAATAGTCTAATCAGTGTTCGTAACCCGAATAGTACTGTTAACTTTTATTACAAAATAATGTATCGACGGAAACTTCACAAATTTGTCAGCCAGGAAAGCGGAAAGGGATGTAGGGGAAATGAGCATTTTATTGACGAGTTGTCGTTACTCGAGGGCCGTACGGTATTTACATAGAAATATCAGAGCGATTCATTGGTAAACACTAGCTGTGGTTTAAATTGAAAAGGGGTTGTTCGACACAATGAATCGATTAATTAATACTTTATAACGCGCCGAGTAATTTTATACAGTTCTGTGTAAGCACTGGTGACAAAGTACTTGTAAAGGTTTTGTAAACAATTATTACATTCAAGTGTAGATAAGATATTCAATGGCTAACTAAACAGAGCTGGGGGGAGGGGATTGTTAGTAATGGGAACAACAAGCCGTGTAGTTGGCAACGTCCTAAACACATGGACGTCGTGGCTAATTTGTCGTGAGTTCGCTATGATCTGATTACGTCATCTTTTTTATCTTCTTATTTTTTAATGAGGGAGACCTGTGCCCAGCAGTGGAAAAATGTAGGTTAATAATAATACTCACTTGTCGTGGTTGACACGTGGTAGACTGGTCCGTCGCTCCGCCGCTGCTGAGAGGTACCGCCGTATGCTCGCTTTTATTTGTGGGTCTGAAACATTAACACAATACTATTCATCTCAATAAAGTTATGTATTTATTAGAAAATATTTTAACTAAGTTTGGACAGTACGTAGCCGTTGTAACTTACACGGGGTCAATTTCTACACGTTACATTGCGGGAGATTAGATTATTAAAGGAACAAAGCCACTGTGAACGAGGGTTATCCTAACCCAGATCCCGAGAGTCACCTATAAAATTACCGCGCGTATAGCAATTCTTATTTGTGGCGGCTTACTTCGCAAACTCGACCAAATCACTCGGGGATAAACGAATTTTATTACTTGCAGCCGCCACGCCACATTCCAACCCCTGAATGTACTGGTACAGTTCAACTGAATAACTGACGTGTGGCCATATCTCAAAAAGATATTTTTAAATAGAACTCACCCTTTTTCAGTCTTAAAGTGACAGGATCCGATGACAGTCGTAAGCATTTTAAAACTGGAACAATCAATCATAATAATTGATAACATAACTATTTTCTTATGTAAACAGAATGTACATAATCTGGCAATTGTCATGGTAAGCGGTAACCGTCGCTTATGTCAAGAACCACGGATACGTATGCGTTTGAGTTCCGGTAGACTAACGTATTATGATATTATGATGATATTATCCATATCGTGTAATTTCACTGTCATATTTGCACCCTTTAACCAAAACACAGCTTATAAATCAAGCTGCTTGGCGTTTGAAATAGGTAAGACTGACCTAAGTCTTACCTTTTCATTCTACGTGGGTACTTACCCACGCAGACGATTTTTTACAAAGTCTGCATAGGTAAAACAAATATTAAATAAGTATAATAAACTATAGCTATTCCTATGTTAAACATTTTTATCGACTACAACTAACAAAACAGCGAAGGATTGCTACAGTAGCGAATCATTTGTATATTTACTTTGAAGATAGCATCTTGATTACACGTTGTCGGAAATCAATTTTGGCATCGACAATAAAGAGGTTATTTTCTGATTGTAAAGCAGTAAGCAGACTTGTACTAGCATCAAAAATGAATTGCGAGGTTGCGTGTCGGCAAGCTACATTTCTACTCAGGGATGTCAACCGTACGAGGAGCCTTGTACAAATACGAGATTTTGACATTCGTTACGAGGATATTTTCACCCTCGTACAAGTTCGTACGAGTCAAAATCTTTTGACCAACGAAAACCGGTCAAAAATACTATGATTTACATCAGAGTAGTTATATTTAAGTTAATATACGAGATTTTGTTATTTAATTTATTTCATCGTATGAGACTAAATGTTTAATGATTGGCAACCCTGTTTCTACTTCTACGTGTCGGTGTTGGGGCGGCTATAACGCGATCATTGAATTAGTGTTAATAACGTCACAGTTAACGGCCGCGTTTGATGTTTTCATAATCGAATACAATTCTAATATAGTTAAAGCGAGTAACCAATTCATGAACATGCATATCATTATTATTGTCACAGTGGCCCTTCATTAAAAAATTAGGTGACCTACTTCACAAATGGTAGCACAGTTACACAGTACCCGATTCTTTTCATTCTTAAGAATACAGAGTTCCAACCAGCAATTTCCTTTAAATTTAAGGTAAAACCTATTTAGTAGCGATTTTTCGGATGTGAGTTTAAGTGATAGATGTATTACTATAAGATATAAATAGTGCAAAAATAAATTCAACCAAAAATAATTTACATTCAAGACCTTATACTTGTTAAATCTAAACCGATATTATAAAGCTGAAGACTTTGTTCATTTTGTTTAACGGGTAATATCAAGATTACTGATTCGAATTTATAAAAATATTTAGTGTTGGATAGCCCAATTATCTAGGAAAGCTTTATAAATAAGGCTGGCTGCACTCGCGACTTCGTCTGCGTAGAATTTACCTTGTCTAAAATAAAGGAGTTTTTGTAAAATAAAAGTAGCCAAGTTACTCCTTATTACATCAGCTATCTGCCAATAAAAGTCCCGTCAAAATCGGAACAAACAGACAGACAAATAATGTAAGAAATGTTATTTTGGTGTATGCACCGTATTTATATTCTTATGCAAGTAGGAAAAAATGGTTATTTCAATATTACAAGCAGACACTTCAATTTTATTTATATGTATAGATCATAACATAACAAGCCATATAACATCACGTGACAATTATTTCACTTGCAAAAAAACATATATGTAGTATGCAATATGTGAGATAAATCAAGGGATTCGGTGTAAACTAAAATAACCTGGTAACACTGAGCACAATCAGAACAATACGAAAACAGCTAAACAGAAGCCAGGAGGTGTTTGATAGCACATAAAAATGTGTGCGTTTAAGTACATCATTTTATTGTATAATAAAAGCATTGTAGATAAATAAGTAGCATGTGGGTGATAAATAGCAAATTCTTTACCTTCTCGGGTAGTGAACCGGTTTACATCAGTCCCATTGACCTTGAGCAATACGTCTCCCGCCTCAACCTGCAATTGACCACCGTATAATAATAATAGGTATATTGTTAATCAATGTGTGATTGAATACGCTATTATGAACATAAATACAAATCTTAGACTATATGTAGGTAAGATTATCACATCCGAACGCTTGCACCTATTTGGTTAATTCTTATTTTGTCTGTGTAAATGAAAATATTAAAAAAATTTGGATTTAAAACCTCAAAATCGCGTGACAGTTTTCTATATTAGTGCACCCGTGTGATACTAGTAGGCAATATGGATCAACATTTATGCAAAACTATAATTTTATTCATACATACTAAAACTCTCTTTATACGTTATTCGAGACTATACATATACTGACTGATTCTAAGTTAATTTCAATGACTTTAGCAGTATTTTTAAGTATGAATTTATCATAATCGAATGAAGTACAAAAGTAAAGTGAATTTATTATATATTTATTTAATAGAGAAGAACATACCAAAACTCAAATATTACTGTTTTCAAATAAAAGTATATATATCGCGATAAAACAAAAATTGTAAAAGGGGAAAGAGAGGCATGACGGCGTGTCGTAATTCACCATTACGACTTGTAAACAGTTCAGAAATTCACTCTACAAAAGTTACATGCTGCTCACGTCTTTTAGTGACACTTTTGGCAAACTTTTACGTGATTCTTGCGGTCTTAAACATCAATTTAGGGTGTAGAATTGATGTTTAAGACCACAAGAATCACATAAAATACACTACTAGATTCCTTTAAAAATTACAAATAAAATTGATAAAATACATTTATATACCAGTATTCATAATGTAATCAGTTAAATGGACAACGTTGTAATTATCATAAGTTAAGGAAAAACTTTGTATTTAATACATACGCATTATGTGGTATTTGATTTTAAATCAGTATTAAAACATCATATAGAACATGGTAAATTAATATCATTTTTAATATTATTTAAATTTATATATTATACCTAACAAAGTCGTAAGGGTCAGAAACAATGTTTCCAGAAACATTGATATTTTGTGTTTAAAACACAATTATTCACGATTCGATTTGTCATTACTACGTTTATTAGGATCAATCATATTCTATTAAAGACACTCCCATCTAGTGTGTAAAGTCCACCAAATATAAACACTTTAAATTTTTAATTGAACGAATGTTTGCCGTACATTTGCCGTGCCTTTGGTCGTGTCAAAATATTATACACCACTGTTGCTTTCTGCAAAGTAGCCGCTCGCTGATCACAATAATATTAGAGATACCACTAGCTAATCAGAATCACTACATCCTCGCGCTGCAGCCTATGATTCACTGAGGCACGTTATAGATAACTGGTTTTTGAAAAATATCAGAGTAAACTCGTTACTACGTACTTCTTGACAACGGTCACTTGTGTAACGAGTACACACGTGTATTCTGTGGGAATCCACAAATGTATATGTTGTAAATATTATATGACTGCGTCCAAACGCGACACAATTCAATAGAAATGTCGCTTTATTTACACAAAGTATTGTAAACTGTTGGTGAACTGTAAACGAGTGCGGTGGAGACGAGCGACCGCCTGCTACTGTCAACTTGTTATCACAGGACAGAAGCCGGAGGGACCGCTAATGGATTGAGCTTAGGAGATAAATTAGATCAAACCCCGACAGAAGGGCGCAGCGGAAATATGAATTAGTTCGTTACGGTTACGACCCACTTATTGACGTATAGGTTTATTATTTTTAGACTACGACTAATGATTGAAAAATCTTTGTAGACAGAAACAAAATAGATATTATAATTACTTAATCAACAATCACTTCACTCAATGAACTTATTATAAACACATACAACTATTTTTTAAATATACAAGAAAATGTACTACTTTTATAAATTTATTTTTAATTTTTACTACTATAATAAGTTGGCAATTCGTGTAGAATTTCTGTTATAAAGTGTATAATGATCTATTTATTTATTCTCTATCACACAGCGACATTAATAAAAACACCGCCCATACTTAACAGACTGAAAAATTGCACCAACCGAGAATGAAACCCGGGGTTATATTTACTATGGGAAGTACTTATAGCTCTTTACCACTGTGTTACAGCGGCAGTCGTAATAAAAATACTCTACATAGATTTTACAATGGTTGTCTTCTTGTTTCACCATTAGGCAATAACAAGATTTATAGCATTATCAAATAAGCATAGTGTACTGTACTAGTGTGATACTTATTAGAACAAATTGATTTAAACGCACGTAAGCCTTTTCGTCGACATTTTACACCTTAGTTACAACCCCAACGATTAACCCTTATACATTTTATGTTGGTCGTAAGTGTCACATTATGATTCATAACTTTAGATATTAACCGCGCATATCGTACGAGAGTATAGCTACTGCTTGTAGCTCCTTGTGTTATATTGTAAAATTATGTAAACGGCTGTATGTAGCAGTAGAAGATTTTTCCACGTGATTGAACATACATTGTAGTTATATACTCATCAGTTACATGACAGTTCGAGATGTATTGCGATGGAATATAATTATGATAAAACAACATACCGTCACGACAGTTAGGACCATCCTACGTTGTACATTTTACGTCACAATAATTTCTAATAATTACTCTAAATAATTATTCCCTTGTCACATTTTACATAGCATTTTTAGAGTACATTTTAATAATTAAAATTTCGTATTCTGTTACTACTCGTAACATTTAAATGTGATGTCGCAAAATCTAAAATTTCATCGACGAGGGTGGGAAGAGCCTAGATTTCATGCTTTTTATACGAAGTATGTGACTTTTCAACCACTGCTATACGATGTCACACTGTCGAGACCTTGTCACGTTGTGATTGATGTCACACTGCCCCTCCCCTCCCTTCTTCTCCGTAATGTACGTAATATATAGATAGTCCATCAGATGAGGTAATCAGAGGTATTGTGTGAGTTGTGGTGAATGGAACACTTGTACCTATGCGTACATTTTGTTGAATTAGGCAGGGGGCGAACCGCCAATATCAGAGTTTTTAGTTTGATATAGGTGTTTACTACACCTGAGGTCAGTCAGAAATATAAAGTGACACACAAACCTTTTTTTTTGTGTCGGTTTGCTTTTAACTCACTTCTTGAGTGTAAGTCAGGGTAGTCAACCACCATGCTACGACGTTCTCAATTATAATTACCATAAATCTCATAATATAAACTTAACTAGAAGTTCATATTCATATACTTAGTGTGGACATAATAATCTAATAAACTGTATAGGGCGCCTCACTTTCTTAATTGCAATTAACTAAATTGAAGAAATAGGTTTAGCGATTGGGCCTGATACATAAATAACGGGCGCCATGGTCGGGTGTGTTACTTTGTAAATATCTAGTGATCATAGCATGCTATATACCTAATAGTCCACATACCACATATACTTGTACCTACCCTCACGACTGTTATCCCAGATGGGGTCGGCAGAGATGACCTGAACTATCGACGTCGAGATGAACGCAAACACATTGTCATTTTCGCCGTGTCTATTTGAATCCAATGTGGCAGGTGCAGCCTACCGCTATTTCTCGGAGTAGTTTGGTTTGTTATTGGTGTTTCCATCAGTCGGATATATATATTGAAACATTTTTTTTTATTTCGTTCAGATTTCATATCACAACCATTTTGGTGTAAGAAAGGCCACTAGTCCTTTCTTAGACCATATCGCTCTCAATATCTAATAGGTAGATGGACATAAACAGCGATTTCAATGTATGCAACTTGATTTGTTATCAAAAACATAATGCGGTTGGTGAGAAAATAGAAATATAACTATCATCAAATCAGCTCTAGGGTAATATTTTGTTAGTTTTTATTACCGAAAGGTTCAAAGCTGACTAACGAAACAAAAGTAGTTATTTTTCTTTAGAATAATGCATGAGGCGCCATTGCTGTGGTGCGAAGGCGCCAGCCAGTCACACCGTGTCCACCCACAGCGTGCCACCTACACGTTTTTAGTCTACTTTCTTCTTCGCTTAGATTTATTTCAGGATCACAACCAAGGTCGACATCTTCATTATTTGTTTATCGCAGTGCATTAAGAATTTACGACCAACGTACTTCGATGAAGCGTAATCGATGTATATCAAATTATTATTTGCAAGGATTTTTTTTCACACATTCTATACAAATATTGTTGCATCAAGCAGTGTACCTAATGGTTCTGCTGAACCATCATTATTATTTTTAATCCATATATTTACATAGTATTCGCTTAGATCTTTTAAACTATGCAAAGTATTTTAATACAGTTTTTAGCAATAGATAAGAGTGATTCACGATAAAAGTTTATATATATAATACATGTACATCCGTGCGAAGCCGTGGCGTAGCTACTAGCTAATAAAACAGTACAAAAGGCGGATTTAATGCACCAGAATTGCGGCTTATTATCAAATAATTATTATTTACAAAAAAAAAAATCGCAACTAGCATGAAACCTACAAATGGATAGGTACCCCTTTTTTCCTATTTCAGTTGGCAAGCAGCTTGTTTGGTTTCGATATGTTGTAGGGTGCAATGAGTCAGTGAAAATAAAGGATAAGTAAGAGGCGTGACGACTTACTAATACGGGTATTAAAGGGTATCGTATAGTAATGCGATGTCTAGTTCATTACCGGTTACACTTCATCAGGTGAGTCGTTAGGTTGTTTCCAATTACATAAAAAAAGCTCATCAACGCATGCAACAATACAAGCGTTACTCACACCTTACCGACCTGTCGCAAAGTCACAGCACTCAGCATTATCACCTGCTTTGATATTCACTCTCACTCATTTTTCATAACGCAGCATACGGCATTGTTGCCTTGCACGGTAGTATTAAACAGTTTTTTTGTAGACTAAAGTTACAGTAAAATATTAACAGTAAATGTTAATTCTTTGTTTGTCAGAGAATGATTTATACTTCCAAATAGACCTAACAAAAAAAATTCTACGAAATCAAAAGAAATTCAAATATGTATCATTCCTATTAGTAATATACGCAAAAACATAAATATAGGTGTCTAATATGATATATAATCTAATATAGTATCTGTTTTCTAAAAATATATTAAAATAGGCTAAATCGTATATAACAACCGAACTGGATGAAAAATTGAGGATACCAGTCATAATAGTGAATTATTTTATACGTTCTTTAGGAACAGGAAAATAGTTGTAGTTTCTAATAAGCTGCCTTCATTAATTACAAAGGAATTTATACCCAAATATTTGTACGGGCACAGTACAGTACTTGTTACATGCAATAACAGCCGTCAATTGTACGACAAGTGACTCATAAATTACAATTACCACGAGGTAATATTCATTTTGCAGTTTAAAATAAAGGTGACGTAAAAGTACGAAAGTCCATTAAAATGAATCGACATTTATCAAAAAACACGACTGAATGCATACACAATGTAGATTTGTATTATCTGGAGTCATTCTCCTTGAAAACAATGTTTTGTTTCTAGTAAATCATAACAAATAGTATATTGAACAGTAATTTTGAAATCTTGAGAGTTTGGATTTGTTTAAGGACTAGCGAAATCTGTAAGCGAATTGTAACTAAGATAATAATGGGGTTTAATCAGCAACCGGTGTATGTATTATGGTGGGATACTGCCGGTCGGTTATCAAATAGCCGGAATGCAACTAACATCCCGATTGGGACATCTCTGGAGAGGACAGAAAGAAGCAACCAAGTGTACATCACTTCATTATAACTATATATATAGCTTTAGACTAGACATTAAATGAGTAGACTAACAATGTTAGTGTACGGAAAAATTACTTCGGATTTAGTTTAAACCAGTTCTTGCAAGAATCGAACCCGCGCCCATTGGAAGAACTTGCAGTACGTAACCAGGACACCACCAAGGCCGTCTTCTTAACCGTACCAACCTGGGGGGAAGGGGATTGCCAGTAATGTGGATTGATAACCCCATTGCTAGCAATGTACCATGTCAGGTCGACCTCCACGCGGTTCCCCCTGGAAACCATCGTGTTAAATTCCTGACGAATTTGCACGATGGGCTAACTGACCTGACCTCATGCTCATCTTATCATCCTCCACTGGTGCCCCGCCAGCGTAAACCGTTAGCGCAGGCGGGTGCACCATTCCATTATCATCCCTCAAAAAAAAAACCGTACCAACCTACTGACTTACTAAGTACATGTAGAAGAGTTCATGGTTAATATGTGAACTAACATGTTATGTAAACGTTATACATACAAACAAACATCGAATATGTAATGAGATGTATCGTTTGAAATACACCGTCATCTACATAGCATTCATTGTAAGTTGCGTGGTGATGCGGGGCGACATGTAGACTGAACATGATGTAAGTGCATTCAGCTGATATACAGCGAAAGTGGGTGCTTACATAGCGATCATTCTCAGATTCGAGTCTTGAAGATTGTTTGAATTTAGACTAAGTGGTCGCAGTTAATTATTTAGTACAAACATGCGAATTCTATTCATTGTACAATAATCAGAGTGTTTCTGACGCTTTCTATTTATTATATTCTTGAGTTCAGTGAATTAAAAGTTAAATAAAAAAGTATATATGTGAAGAAAATATATGTTACGCAATATCATAAACGGGCATAAGTTAAACAGGTTAAATATATTTTTATTATGCACACAATCATATGATAAACAAGATGATCCCGACTTTGTAGCCGAATATATTTTGTCTACTGGAATTAAATTATTACAAATTTTTAAGAGAACTTACAGTTCAAATCTGTATTAGTAAGAGATTTCCGAGATTAGTGCGTAAAATGCACCGACTAATATTCTAAAAATCATTGTCTTCGGTTCAATTACATTGATAAAATCTCTCTATGATAGTCTTTTTCCCATATCTCATATATATCTATGATCATTATTTTTTTTTTATGTACCTATATGTAATTGTATGGCTTTAGATGTTGATGATACTTTTTTTCGTCTAAAATCCACATACGCTTTAAATACACGGGTAATTAAGGGTAATAACTATTTGTAATTGTGTTATATACTCGTTCTCAGTCAAAGCCGTGATGTGACCGGCGTCTTTATAAAAAACATGTAGTAAATACGCGTTCCTAAGTTAAAAATATCATTATAGGGTAATTCAGCTTATCTTAGGATTACTTAATGTTTACCGTAAGTATTAGGTAGTAAGACCGAAGATAAATTTACTAACGAGCATGGTTTTCAACGTGAATCATTGACAAACGTGAGTGTCATTGAATTTTATAATCCTTTATAATGAATAGTAGATAACATCTAGGTATACGTTGTGAAGAAATTGATGCCATAGTTTCATAGACGCGACGGGCGATCATCGCTTGAATGAATCCATGAATATGCGTGGAGCGAAAGTGACTACTGAAATAAAGGCAAGCCATAACACATAAGCGTGTATAAATATATATTATGGACAGAATTAATAATTAGGACATTATTAAAATAAACATCAGGTTGATGAAATAATAAGTTCACAAATAATATGCTAACTAAACATATAACAGTCTTATTAGGACTTCTGTAAGTTTGATAATATATCACTGTGGTCAGTAAATTTGAGGCCAACACTAATAATCTCTAGTTCCGATATACAATGAAGCAATCCCAATAATTTTAAGAACATTCTATAATTTGGCTGCTTGGCTGGCAGCTTTAATAAACTAATTCTTAAATTTCTCTGCCATTCTGTACCATAATATACATATTTATACATGTTAACTTTCTTTTTGAATCACTCTGTATGTATTGCTGAAAACTGAATTAAAATCTGTTGCATAATTTAAAAGATCGAAGTGTGTAGACAGCAGCATTTACTTTGTTTTATACTGTAAGGATAAACTCCAAGTGCAATTAATAGATACAGGACGAAATAGTCTGTGGTTACAATAAGTGATATGAAAAACTCGATCAGCATGAGCAATAATATTCAAGACATTAATTTAACCTATATCAGATCATAAAACTCAGGCATTTTTAGTATTTCAATTGTATTATATTATTTTTACACATATTTTAATAGCATGAGAATTGCGAGTGATCTTAATTTGTCACATAATCCCTAACAAATACATAATTAAATATGAAAATGAAAACCCTGCAATTGAAAATATATTTGTCTTCAAGAATACCACTTTTGTAAGAATAATACTGAAGTATACATTCTCTGTTACTTTCCAGAATATAATAATTATGAATGTAGTTAATTAAAAAATATTCTTATAAAAACTACTGCAGATATTTTCTTATTATTATAATAATGCACATTGCTTAAATTAAATGTTTCAATTTCCTTCATATGTTTCACAGATGACAAAATTTATATAATCCATATTCAATGACACTTTGTATATATATTCCATATCGCTTGTTAAAACATAATTTTGTAGAGAACAGATATTAAGAAACATTTTTTTACAAATATCAAAACATATGTACTTATGAAAACATAGTTCTGTGATTGACTAAAAAAGTGGTAATTTCACATAAATAAATAATATATATAGAAACGTGACTTTAATTGCATTATTGATGATTGTATTTATAAACAATTAGACAGATCTTTTATAAAATTTATATGGGACTACACGAGAAGCATCACAAATAAAAAAAATATAAATAAATTGTTTAACATTTAGAAAAGGTCTTAGGTAACACACATAAAACATATATAAAAATTAAAAATAAAGTCAAATTGACAGCTGAAACAACTTTAAAAAAAACATTAAATTCATATTTAAAATTGTGTATTGCCCCATGTAAACTAGGTCCAGTAAACAATCTTAGAATGTTTTTATAGCTGAATGTTTTTAAACAAATATTAGTATATAAATATGCTAACTATAAATTAATAGAAAAGTGTGAGAAGTTATACTTAAATTGTCATAAATTAATAATAAACATACAAACTATATGTCATAAGAAACAGTTTGCCTGATTATAAACTTAAGGAATATTATCAATATAAAAGATTCTATATTACTTTAAACTTTAAATTTTCTCAATATAATCTTTGTTTGGGTTACTGCTATATTTCAATAACATAATAAAACATATTTAAGCTATTTGGATATATTAATACTGCCTATTATATTTTAAATTTATTTATTAGCAATATTTTATTTAATATAATTAAATTTACATATAAAAAATATAATTTTAACAATAAACTACTGTCTAATACGACAGTAGCACAGTAGTACCATTAAAATAAATAGTGCACTTATAACATTCAAAGGGAAGTCTAAAACCCTGAAGGTATGTCTAATTTGTTTATATTTTAAACAGCTAATAATATGTAAGGATATAGTCAAATCCAGCTTACCTCGCCACTACGAGCTGCCGGAGAGTTTTCTTCGATTTCGTATATAATGTGTGGCAAACCGGCTTCACCCAGCAAAGAGAATCCGAATCCCAAATTGTCACTACGTTTTAAGACCACTAGTCTTTCGTCAGCCATATTCAGAGAACAGCAGCATTGATTAGGAACTTCTGAAGGATTTCATTAGAAACACGTCTATGAAAATTCGCGGAAGGATTACAGTGAATAATAGTTACTATAAAAAACGAAAAGATTCTTAATAGGAATGCACGAAAAAAAAGTCAGCATATTCAACCAAAAGCGAAACGAATTCGCCGATGTCCATGATTAATAAAATTAAGAGAAAAGAAGGTAAAGAAAGGTAGCTATAGTACTCTGTGACCAATCTGTTAAACCTTAGAGGCGCACCTGTCATCAGTGTCACGACAATTTGAATGTATGGAAATTTGTTCGGTTACAAGTTACAATGGTTAATAATAGAAATTTAAAGCTTAATCGTAAATGATAAAGTATATTTTCACTTATCTAACAATTTGTCAAATCGTAAGTTCATGTGAAATCTAAGCTCGAAGTGATTCTGTTCCTTTCACACACAATATTATTTTAATATAGAAATTAAGCAATTTGAATTGCATTAGTATCAAGTCTACAGTATGTCTAAGTGTGTTTTGTATAGGTGTATTCAATAACTAATCAAATAATACCGTAAAAATGTTCGTTTTAATAGTAGGTATCAAATAATATAGTTATGAAAGCAATATAATTTGGATACCTTTTGCTTCAAATAACTGTTACAATTAAAATTGTGTTATGATAAGGATAATATTGTGATAGTGTAATAAGCCTTTTCGCCTGATAAAATGCAACATTCAAAAATATCTGAATTTAGCATATAATTCAGTAATTGCGCTTAATCACAGGTGTAATTCTGGTCACACTGATTTATCTGTTCTTAATTTTGTCTATTCCTACTTTTCCTTAGTTTGTGGTACTGTCTTAAAAGGCTGCTACGTATTATCTTTTAAACTTATTTTTATAAGTTACTCTGTCTACTTTTATTTACTTGTAATTTTTATTTTTTATAAGTGAAAATGTATATAATATCCAACTTAGTAAAAAATACTATTCCCAATTATTTATCTAGTTTACCCATCCCTGATACTTTTGGAGGCTGGTTCCAATTGGGAGGTATGAACTGCATTAAATACACCAACCACCTTGTAGATGAATTCTCACAAATATACTTTTATATAATCTTTATGACTACTATACGCAACTGTTGATGGTGAAATGTCCAATAGTAATTTTAGCATGTTAGGTAGTTTATTGTAAAATAGCCTTGAATTTATAGTGGCACACTTTCCTGTAACAATTTTGTCCTCTTCGTGCAATGTAAAAAGGTAGTTAAGTGTCGGAATAAACAATTGTATTATTGATTACTTTAACAAATATACTACCAAATGGTTGTCTATCTTTTCTGTTCTTTACTATTTATAAATCTCACTATTCTTATTTATTTTTGAATATGTAACTTTCTTATTCTTGGCTATGTTATTGTTAACTACATTTATATTCAATGAATATAAAACATGTCTGTTGTTTCTCCTCAGGAAATGCCCAAGAAATTTGTATGGTGGCATTTCCAAATTTATTTATGTATGCTCAAATCCTTAATTTACCATTGCTTTTAAATACAAATTCTTTTTTTGTGAAGGTTGTGTAACAAAGAGTTTAGAATAAATAATATGTTTCACTGGCTTCTGCAATGAAAGCATACAAATTTGTGATCTTACTACAGTATAGTATTCTTACCTTATCAATAAATATTGTAAACATATTATATTTAGATGTAGATATATTATTGAAAGATTACATAAATTATTAAACAAAGTTTACATCTAGAAATTGATTTATGCTATATCATTTCTAAATGTTTTTTCAAAATAAATATTAATAGTCTGATGCCATCAGTGAGTTTTGCTGTCTAAGATGTTTTATTTTAATTTTAGGAGTGAAACATATATGTATAGGAACATAGTATTATGTAGGTTTTTATACTCCATTTATAAATATTAAGCACCATATAAATTTATGTCACATGATTATGATAATTTTACTGGTTGATAAGTATCATTAATGATAATTGTCAGCGTCATGTAGTAAGGTAACAGTAATAATAATTTCTAACTTATTTACAGTGCGTGACTGGATTGCTTTGCTGCCTCCTACAATTGCAGTTGGTGGCATTTCATATGTCTCATATCAGACTATAAAGAAATCGAGGGAAGCTGGTCAGATCAACCCAAGTATTAGAAAGGATATCAATAAAGTGGTTGATTTTATTGACATTGAAGATATCACAGAAAAAGCTGTACTTTGCAGATGTTGGAGGAGTAAAAATGTATGTATTTTTTTATAACTGTCATAATGAAATTTTTATTTATTTATTAAGTATGTGTCATTATCACAATATTATTTAATAAACTAATTACAATAAACATAATGATTCCTTCTTATCATAATTATGAAATAACATTATTTTTGATAATCTGTTTTGATTAATTTAGATATTCCAAAAGATTTCAATTTTTGTTTTTATTCAACAAACTAAGTTTTGTGTTGGATTTTGTTCAATTATATAATATTATACTTATCACCACATCAGAAATAAAATACTGTTTGTAAGATAAATGATAACACTAAAACCAAATAGTGATAACAAACATGAGTTAGCATGTTATGAAAAATTATGTAGGCAACAAATTGTCATACAGTAGTTTCTAAATTTAATTATTTAAAAAGCAAAATAAAAATTACAGTATTCTTGAATGATGATGATGATGAATACTAATAACTTTTGTATATATATATAAGAAGAGCATGACATAAATTACATAAAAAACTGCATAAATTGTATGTTATTTGTCTCTAATATAGACTACATGGTTTAGAAACCTAAAATAGAAATCTCTAAACTTAGAGGTGAACAACAATATATAAAACACAACAGGGGAAACAAGAAAATATTACGAAACTTGTGACCCACATTGCACCAATATATGACTCTTATTAAAATTAAGTTTTGGTTTACTGGCATATTTATGGTCTGTATATTTGGAAATATATTTATTATTTTTTATGGCCAATATAAATCTTATTTTTAAAATATAAAATAATATAGGAATATTATTATATTATGCAATTAATTACATAATGTATTGCTGCACTTATGATTTCGCCAATATTGCCAACCACAAGGAATACTTTCAGATTTGGTTTCATGAACCCTGTTACATTGCGAAACTAGTTTTGTAGTATAAATTAGTCTATAATAAAATGCAATGTTACTATAACAAATCTGTAGGTATTATTTAATTTAATATATTTGTGATATCTGTTTGTCACAAATACCGGTGACATTACAAATACTACATACATGCCTAAGTTAATTACTATAACTAAACTCTGAAATAACAATGATGAAAAATTAATGAATTGATAGATAAAAACTTTTTTTGTTTTAAAGGGCATACACACAAGGTACATTATTAAAGCAAAATATAGGTACCAAAATGTACAAATAGTGTTTGTGCATCACCTATATGCAAAAAAGACTTCTGTATTATTGGCTCAAGCTGTAAAACACTGACTTTCAGGTGTTGCCCAGGTACATATGTGATAAAGAATTGACTAGTTTCATTAAAATTGAATAAATAGTTTGGCAACACATACAAACATTAAAATTTTATTTGTTATTATTTATATATTATTTAACTCAGCCTCGTTTACTGATTGCTTTGTAAATTAGACAATAATATAACAAATACTCTTCAGCAGTTACTTGTGCTTATCTGCATTATTTACATGTAGACACAACCTATATATATACTAATTAAACAGACAATGATGTTAATTTGAGATGTATTTATATTATTATATATTCCATTAACCGCGTTATGGCTTAGCGGTGTATTTAACCAACTTTGAACGAAAGGGCGGGAATTGAATCCGATGAATTACGATAAAACTATTGACTATTTAAGTCTCAACTGATCTTGGCACAGTGATAACTCTGTTGTTATTCCGATCTTTATGAGTATTTCTATATGTATTCTTGTCATCTTTACTGTGTAAATTATGTATGTGTTTATTAAAAAAAATGTGTTTTAGTATTCCATCGGTCGTCTAAACTACAAGCACGGCTTAGGTTGGGACTGGATATACATAGAATTAAAAAAAAGTCGCTACAGCACTCTGTTCGCTTAACTGTAGACTTTTAACTACGCAATGGATTTTAATGAAGTTTTTATCAGACAGAGTGATTCAAGTGGAAGGTTTATATGTATAATACATGAACAGTGAACACCCATGCGAAGCTGTGGCGGATAAAATAAAATGGTTTTGAACATAAGCATACAGTTGTTTAGCGAAAACGTCTAGCACAAGTTTAGCATAGTTTGGGTGATAGATAGATAGATTTGATATTTTTTTGTGTGAATTGTCTAAGTTTTTTATTATTCTTATATGAGTATGTACTAAACGCACTACGTCCCAAACGGGAGGGCAAACGCTGAAAATAGTGTCCAACATAATGTAATGTATGTGTGTATTTTACAGTGGCCTTACTGCGACGGAGCACACGGTCTCCTCAATAAAATCACCGGCGACAACACCGGCCCAGTCGTCGTGCGACACAAGGAGAAAGAGACCAAGTAATCCCATGCCAGTTTCACAGAACAACGACAATAGTGATAACAATGTGATCATACTAATTAGCGTAAATTGTTGGAATATGGTAAAAATATGCATTTTAAATGTTGTTTAAATGTAATGTTACTTTGTAACTTGCAGCAATTGTTTTTTAAGCTCAAGTGTTTGTAAAGTGTGATTTAATATTAATTGTATTATTTCGCGTTATTTTTTTAATGTTATTATGACCTTACAATTTTGTAGTTAAATCAGTGATGAAATAGTATTTGATTTTATTACGTACTTATGCAATAAATTTTTGGATTGTTACCAACATAACTGTTTTCTTTTATATCATGGGATTTCAAATGTTTGTCAAACTCATAACAGTATTAATAGTGTGTACCTATGTTTGTTTGTTGAAAGAATTTTAATGAAATTTAACATACAGATTGTATCACAGAAGACTTTACTTAGACTTAGACTTAAAACTATGTAATATTATCTTATCTATTAACGGTTAACCTGACTAAATAGCGAGTTACTTATATATAAAAAAAGGAATCGTGTCGTTAATACCACTACAATATGGTAAAATGAAAAGGCTTTTATATTACTTATAGATTTATTTACCAAATATTGGTTCCTTATGTTATCACATCACAGACATGTTTGACTTTAAAATATAAATAAATAACATTCAACATGCCAATCAAAATTTACACACAAAAAATATCAATTTAGATTAATAAATTATTAATCTGTAATAAAATGTTATCGGTCTAGTGGCGCCCCTTTATTACAATTAACATTTTTATAACTATTTTTAATAGAACTATAAATTCTACCTCGGCATATATATGTTACGATATAAATATATTTTCTTTCATCGTAGTCTTATAAAATATCATACACAAATCTGTACTCTTAATTTAAATTGATTTTTAGTTATGTACTAAGCAATTAATTGATTCCTTTTAGTATCTACCAAGCAAGCTGTTACTCTAAAGTTTTGTACTCTTTTCAAATGTGATTTTACATCATTATAATAAAAATGTTCAAGTTACGGGGTGAATACAGTGACAAACATAATTTATTGTGACGCCACTATACGATGATACTTAGTTACATGTGATTAACTAATGGCCCTGGCAGTTTGGCTATCTATTATGGCACAACATTTAACTGTGATTCATTTATTTATTATATTTAACACACATTGTACGACTATTATGCTATATTTGTCAGATCGTGAATTAATCATATTTATGAGTGTGTATCACACAAGACTGGTACATTATAATTGAAGGAGTATTTCTTGACAACATTTTTGTTATGAATTTAAACGCTTCCTATTAACTCACTTAATGTTGAAGAACAAATTAAGAATAGATACATAGCAAAACCATAAGACCAAAAACTCAAAACAGCACAGAACCGATCTGAGAACAAACAGAGAAAAAAATATACCACAGAACAAGAACATACAGAGAACGTATAGGGGTGCTTACTAACATCCTTGCAACAGCACGACGTGACCCATTGAACTACAGAAGGCCTAAAGACATCATGCTTGGGATTTTATACACTAAAGCAAAAGAAAAATAGTAAAGTAAAATGAGACAGTTTCCTCACTATAGGTGCAATTCTCTCTCGTCAACAGATTCCTACAACAAATCTGTTAAAGGCTTGATGAGCCGATTGCAAGATACGGACATGAAAAAAAAATACCAAAAACTGATTATTAATTATTACTTGGTGGGGAAAGGGGTTTTTGGTAAATAGTGAACCTATGGACCTCCACGTTCTTTTCATAATTCTATTGTGTAGGAAATCTAATAAATTCAGTCTTTAGTTGGTCGCGCTTGAAACGAAATATAACTTGTTCGTAGACTAATGATTATCATATATCAATCATCTAAAATCATTTATATTAGAATACCACAACAATGACAGCAGAATTTATAAAACAGTCCAAATTATATATCTGGCTGTCACATTATTATCATTGATCAATAATAAACTGTTTTTAAACCTTATTACTAAAATTATAATATAAATATAAAAGTAACGATATTTGTTGCAGAAGTTATATTCTACTTTTTCCAGTTACTCAATAGCTCTCGCTCTTACAGACGGAGTCGCGGGTATATACTAGTATCTACTAATTGCAGTTAGTACTTAAATAATAATTTAAAATAATCTGATTATATTTGTAATGAATGAATATTGTCATTTAATTTACGGATTGGCTGAAGTTTTGTCAGTTTCATCTTGTTTATTAATGATCAATGTAATATAATTTAAAATATACTGAAGTAAATACTTCTGTAGATTTTACGTATTTCACGTAGAACGAAGAGCTATCTCATTCGTGTCCCTTCGTCGAAGTAACCACGTTACTTGAAGCATAACAGGAGCGGCGGAAGTTCTCACAACTGAAATGAAAAATACAAATATGTTATTTGACGGGCTTAGCACATACTACATCTTATCATCTTCCACTGGTGAAGAATGATAAAATGAACAAGTCAGCGTAAACCGTTAGCGTAGACGGTTATAATATTCCATTATCATCTATTTAAATAAAATTCTCTAGTTGTTTCTATGTATATCATGTGTGTATTTAAATAGTTGTATTAGTTGTTTAGTACCCAGTCTAGCTTAGTTAGGGACTAGATGGCACTGTGTGAACTATCCTGGTTTAATATTATTATGTCCTTTGTCAAGCGGTCAGTGTCAGTTTGGGATATTTATAGTGCGTACCACAAAAACATATAGGTAGGTACAGAAAGTAATACTGAATGCGATAAGACCTAACTAGTCTTGAACATAATAGTTCGCAAGTGGGATTGCTCAATTTAGTTCGCAACTCTAGAACAAGTCGTTTGCTACAAATTTTAGTCAAAGAAAGTCAGTAGCTTATTGTACCAAGATTAGGATTATGAGTATTATTTCAAACTGGTTTGCGTACCACATCTCTAGCAGCACTCTTTCAAAACATTAGTTCGCGAACTACACAATCCTAGTCTAAACATTATTATTATGATGATATTTCTTCACGGTACTTCGTAACTTCATGATATTTCGTAACTACTTAACCAATTTCCAATGAAATTCGACTGTGTCCAATTTGTTCCATTACCTGCTAAAGAAAATTTTACTTTACGTGCTTACTTCAATTCGTGTTTCAGCAATGTTTTCTTCATTTCTGAGCAATTCATGCTTGAGTCCATTTCTTTTTCTGAAACAGGATTAATTCGAAATTATATAGGTTAATATTATTAATACACAAATTAGTGTAGGTACCTAATAAAATAAATAAATAAATTTCTGACTTATTACTGACCTTAATCAAAAATACTCTAGATATTTAATACTAATTCATGATATTATTAATAACCCATTTGAGTCAAATTATTCCAATAAACAAACATGTACACTATTAGGCCCTATCGTAAAAAGATGGTAGTTTAACTTTGTTTATGTTTGTGTGGGTCTATTGGAAGTGATATATCTACAAAATTAACAAAAGTTGAGTTCCCTAAACATATATGCCGTTAATTCTTTGTTCCGCTCAGTGCAAGTTCTCCGACGTAAATTCATTATACATTAGGCGCAGTTTCCGTGACAGCTGACCGCTTCCTACGCAGCGGTCCCCTGGAGCGCATATATCAGGTTACCCAACACAATGAGGGCTTCACAATAAACTTGGAAGCCATAATGCTTTATTTCGAGTTTACTACATTATGAGACGCACTCGTGGCCCGTCTATTTACAAGTTGTTTATGAGCCTTCGAGTCGGATAAAATCATATTTTTCATTCATGTGCTTAGTACACACGAATAAAATATTATGAAGAGGAAAGATTTTATTTTTTATGTTGTGTCTAATATTATAAAGTATAAAATAACAATTTAAATATTCTTTCATTTACATTACAATTACATAAAGAAAATTACATTGTCAGCTAATAACAGGATGTGTACAACGCGGGCAGCGGGATTCGGATAGTAGTCAGTAGGATTTTAATATTTTCTATTTTAATTTCATGTACCTACAAATCAAAGACATGAATTAATAGAGCATAGCAGAGAGGGTGGATAAAGCAAGCTAGCTAAAAAAAAAGATACGACAACAAACTCTGCCCTCATACTAATTAGTATGTAAGTGTACATGATTAAAAAAATACAGTTTAATACAGCGATAACAAATACAAATCAATTAAACTAAATTAGGGAAAATGTGACTACCAGCATATATATGCATATAAATTGATACTTCGGATAGTGTTTGTAATTTAGTACAGATGGGGTTAATTTGTATTAGTTCATAATCTACTTACAGATATATTCTCCTCCAAACTATTAGGCCTGTGTATCCGAGGCATACGATACTGCACGTGATCACAACCATGATCCCTGCAGCTTTACCGAAAGGCTCACCTCTCCATGCCGTGTATCGAGCCCCCATTGAGTCTTTGCGAACTGTTGCCGCATCAGCTGGAAGCAAATACAACGATATGTATACAAGTTTGGCATAATAATAAGTCAGTGCTAGTATTTACGAATGAAGAACAAATTTAATACAACTTTCTAAAAGAAACTAATTGCAAAACTGAAAATGTATTTGAAAATCTTCAAACTGCGCAGTCACGTGATTCATTACTGTTGGATTTCCACTTTGTTTCTTGGTGAAAATTATCCAGTTCAATCACCTTCGACTATTCTTGTATCGAAATGGTTGCCTACCCCAAATTAAAAGAAAACAGTATATAAAGTTAAAAAAACAGCACGCTTTAATAGAGTTGAAATATTTATAATAAAATGTAGGGAAAATAGCCGAAATGAAATTCAAGTAATAATCGTATTTGAATAAAATTATACGGGATACTAGAATTCAAAAGTGCCGCGTAAATACTAAAATTTAAAAATCCAGGAAGTTCTTTAATATCTTCAAATTCAAGACGTCCTAGTGCCTATAGATACACTACAAAAACAAGGATACGTCCTGGGAAAACAGGGAACACAAACTACATTTACAAAACTGTCACCTTTGAAATAAGAAATCTATAAATGAATCTTTCAGAATTTACGATATACTTGGAAATAACAAAAGAACAATTATTTTTACCTTGTAAAAGTTCAACCTGAGAATCGGGTCTTACAGATACATCTGCTCTTGACTCTTCATTGTCTTCTGGAAATACAGGCAGGTCTATGTGATCCTGGTTTTCATCTCGGGAATGTAGCATATCGAATACTTCCGACCTGACGAAAATTATAATAATGATCGTTACTTTTAGAGATTATAATTTATTTATTTATCAGTAGGACTACCCAATTTTCAGTATATTAGAATTGTACTATGTTATTGTGGTTTAAATTTGATGGTAAAGAAATTAAATATATAGAATTTTATTTACAGAATAAAGAAAAGTAGAAACCTAGTATTCAATATCCCATATTGCATACGATATTAATAAAGACCGATATAGTATACAACGCACATTGTGGGATTATTTATTAAAAATATTACAAATTACATTTTTATAAATTAACTATTCTAATCAGAATTTTCCTTGTGACAGAATGCAACGTCGTCATTCATTATAGTACCTGTGTAGTTACGTTAAAAAGTAAGATAATAGAAACAAAGTGTAGGTACTTTGTTGAATAGAAATAAATGTAAAATTATGCACTGATTTACCTCAAATTATAGTTTCGTTGTATATGTAAAAATATACTATATAACAAACTTCTTGTCTCTGCAAAGCTTCTTAAAGTAAACGTTTAAGAAGCTTCCATCAAGCTCATTAAAACCTGTTTCGTAATATAAAATCAATATTCATACTTGCTAACTCCTTGTTTGTCGTTTACAAGAAGCTTCCAAAGCGTGGCGTTCGCTTCGAGTGTTTTGTATCGGCTGTTGTCTTCTATTTCTTTCCCCAGACTGGGAAGAGTGTTCTCTTCTAATCTTGTAGTATCCAGTGTGTCTGTGCTCTGGCTGTGGCATAGTCCAATACCTGTAACAGTAAACAACTTAGGAGTATTTCTGGTATATTATGTAATTTGTATTATGATCTTGATGTTTGGATTTTAGATTGTATCCTTTTTTTATGTTACAAAATGTGATACCTAATACCTATTGGTAATGTTATAGTCATTAGAATGTATGGTGTCTACATAAAGGTAAAAAATATACTTTCAGTTTCCACATTCAAGTTATTTATCTATTACGTACTAACGAAGACAAATAAAATTACTAAAATAGACAATAATATATGTGGGCCTGGAATTTGGCACTATCACCACGTATTCGTAGCAGATATTCTTGGAATTTAATTGAAATAAAATTAAAAATAAACATGAGCGCGGTCGATGATCTGAGAATGATATTTTTGCTGATGTAATAATGTAAGTAGGTATATATTAAACTAATAAGTATTTATTAGTTGGACGTATGTCCATTTCGATAAGTTATTTATTACATTTGAAACGAGACTAGGTCCATTAAATTATAACATTACTATCCTAAAATTAATAATCCATAATCCAAGATTCTGATCACGAAATGCCAGACCGTTTGGTCGACTAAACTAAAGAACTAAGCTGACCTTATGTTTGTAATAGTAGCAATTTATATTTTTTTGTAACCGGAATTTCAACCTGTCGCTGACGGATAACCTGGTGGTAAGTTGTAACAATTACAACTGTTGCCTATATACATATACTTTCTCATTTTTTTTATTACAAAAGTCTACGGAATATTATATATCTGACTCAACATAAAGACAGAAACAAAAAGACAAAAGAGAGTGCGTAACCCAAAGACAATAGATATTTTATATTTATTTAATTTAAATACACATAAACATGAAGAGCACCAGTAACATCTCAATCATTGCTATTCCGGAGTACTAAGATATTATGCCACCGTGATAATAATATCCTCAACCAAAATAAAGCTTAGAAACAAGCAGTTTTTGCAGCTGCCTGAAATGGCAGGATAAAGGTACACATAAAACACTAGAATAATTGCATATCTGTAAAGCAAAAAGTGAGAACGAGATAACTTCAATAATTATCTATTAAATATTACCATCTTCTATATGTACTTTTATGACAAAAATAAATAAATTAAAAATTAGCGTACCTCTCGTAGATTACTATTAATGGAGTTGTGTTAATTATACCAGTACCTATGTACAAAAATTTACACCTGTTTACTAATACTTACTGATATGTACCTTACATACATACATAAACAGACTAGGTCTTTCGTGTTCGTTACATAAAATTATGTAGCTATTCTATAATATTTAGATTAGAGTAATAAATTAAATACATTTGAATCTGAAAATCAGTGTTTTGTTCCCGATGAAGAATCACACTGATTCTGAGCTTAGAACCTTTTCGTTCCGGCTCGAAGGACCAATTTTCGGTTTGTATCGAAACTATAAAAATATACTAATAAGTAATAATAATAAAGATAGTAATAATTAAAACTGATATTAAAATGTAAAATGAGTACGCACAGCGTTCTTCATTACTAAATGTGAACTGACTTTTGGTCAAATATGAAATGTAAATGAGAAATAGTACAATTCTAGCGCGTACACATTTATTGTTTACATTTATATAAATGTAATTGCGTGTGATTTGTAAGAATTCGATTTAACATCATATCTATCTATACGGAACATACTAACACCCAATAACAGTTAAGTGTTTGGAAAAAACAAATTGCTTTTTTATTTTAATAGTTTCTCATTGTTGTAGACATGGAAATCATATTTTACTTATGCAAATAGGTACAGTATGGGTATACAAAATTGTTCTGAATGTCATATGCATAAACTATAATGAATAAACGCTTAAAATATTCTCACTGTGACATAATATAATGTATGGTTTAACGGCACCGTGCGTGGGCTATTGAAAAGCCGTTATCACCCAGCCCAATTTTTATATTTACCAACTATTAACATGTAGGCTTCGAACTGCAGCAGCTTAAGAACTTATCGAAATGCAAACATTATCGTCGGTCTGCGTTAACACACTTCAATTAGTGGGTCAGGCGTAACTTTAAGCTAATATATGCTTAACTGTTTAAAACCAGTTCTCAGATGAACGAATACAAACCGAAGTTGATTTTGTAGTTATATGAATATGCTTGGAGGCGAATGAGTCATTTTTCGTACTCATTGATTGGCATGGAGATAGCCTGCTAGCCTCATAATTTCCAGTGAAAGTTGTGGCAAGATAAATTATTAATTAGAGGAAGTTTTTATTCATTTCAAATAGTAATTTGAATATTAATATATTTAAAAAATAAACTAATTTGATATTGACAGTCTGCAACGTATAAAACAAAATGAACAGCAAAACTTAAGTTTGCACCTGGCTGGGGCGCATATGATACGTAGGCTCTTTTCCTGCGTATCCGGTTTACGAAAAGGAACAAAATTACTAATAAAAAACATTTTACCAATAGTTGGCGACATTATCAGTGAGTAAGCAACATAGACTGGTATATTCATAGCATTCCACTGTTTATATTGTGAGATGCAGTTGCTAGTATTTACCTCATTAAATATCTCTTAACATTATTGTTTATACCTATACCTATACCTGTACCTATACCTAGACATATTTTACGGTTTCGGTGGTCTAGCGGTTTAGCACAACGCTTTGCATCCGATGGTTGCGGGTTCGATTCCTCGCACGGTGCAAACATTTGTATTCACGAGTATAATTGTGTGTCAGCTTGGGTATTTTCTATGTAATTACGTATATATTTATAAAAGAAAAATTAGGTATTGATATTTGTTGTCTAGTACCCACAACACATGCTCTGCTTACTGTGGGACTAGATGGCGCTGTGTTAATTGTCCAGGGTTATTTATAGATATATTTAATAAACGCGGTTTAAAAAGTAAAAGTATTATTTATTTATAAAGTACTTGCTCTTGGCGAGTATTACAGGTACAATGCACCCACCAAGGAATAAAAATTACCAGCATCCTGTACGAGTAGTAATTACATATAATACAGTGGATTTACATAAACACAAGAAAGATGAAATTGTCTTCTGTATGTAATAGATTCATTATTTGTATATGTATAGGCACTATATAACAGTGAGATCATGATTCTCAGAGCGACGCTACTCATTAGTGCTATCTAATTGGTCGCCAAGCACTCAGAATAGGCATGGTATCAGTAATGGCCGTAAACATTACTAAACAATGTCAGGTATTTTCCGTGGTGTTGTATTCTTCAACATTGAATTATCTCTTATTTACTTAGAGCAGGGAATTTATGTCGATTTATAGAGGCGATGGCTGCAGGGATGCCACCCGTCCTTCTAGTACAACACGATATTCATGCGAGGTTATTTTAACTCTCATATCATCTTTGATCAAAATCGTAAACACTCCGATTTTGATCTACGAAAATCAGTCAAATACTGTATTTAAGAATAAGTATGAGGTTTAAAAGCTAAATTGAGATTTCATTAGATTTTTAGAAGTGATATAAAGTTGGTAACCCTGGTTGGCTGCTACGATACCGGAAGAGTTCTGCCTGCAGGGTTTCCGTGTTCAATCAGTTTATAGAGTTGCTTCAGAGCCTTGTACTGTTTATTTGATGTATTTATAGGTTCATTGTATTTGTTTGTCAAAGTACAGTGCTTATAGGTAGTTTGTAGTACTTACTAATAATCATTCAGTATAACTATGTCATATTCCCTTATCAGTGGCACAATAAAATATGTTAGACATATACTCATACATTATCTAAATAACATATAATATTTAAAGATTGTACAAAACTGACTACTAAAATAATAATAACATAAAAAAATGCACCAGTTAAGTTTCTTGCCAGTTCTTCTCACGGTTAACGCATATAACTAAACGCAGCTAGCAGAACTAGATGGTAGGGATAGTAATAAAAATATGACGTATACAAGACGCCGAATGGTGCTATGTTAATAAATAAACTTAAGTTTGAGTTTGACTTCATTATATCAGGCACGGGGTGTATCCTGTGGCCGTGCTCGTGTGAAATAGCCTATGTTTTTTAATGAAGGATCATGGAACGGTGCTCCTGCATCAATGGTGGCACCAGTGGTGAATAATAAGATGAGCATGAGGTCACGTCAGTTTGCTCATTGTGGTACATTACTTATTCCTATATTTTAATAGTTTACAATCTGTGTGCCACAGGGGTATAAGAAATGTTACCTTGGGTATCTAGGTAACTGTAGAACAGCCAGTTTTTCGGTTAGGTTAGGTTAGGTTAGGTACTACAGTAAGAGCAGTGGTACGAATTTAACAAATATCATTATTCTCAAGGTTAGATGCTTTGGAGAATTATCAGATGCTGTATACTATCTTGTAACCGGTATTTTTACTTCACTTTAGGAATTAATACTATTCTGATAAATGTGTACAAAGAGATTATTTTTTAATTTCTACAGATAGCGCAACTCTAAATAATCTAAGATAATGCAAACGCTGTTATGATTGGTGCAATGTGGCATTTGAAGACATCTATTTTCCTTTTTTTATCTAATTCCTATTTTATAGAATTGAGCATAGGCTCAATTCTATAAAATTATAAAAAGATATTTATAATTTTATAGAATTGAGCATAGGATAAAAAAAATTGTCTACGGAATGTCTATACATATAAAGTGATATGTCGATATACGTAGTCCAGTCACATTGGGACGACCAGTATTAAAAAGATAACAAGGCACTTAACCAATTTGGAACAAGTCGGGCGCTATGAATATACCACACTTGTCGTGGATAATGTAGCTTTTAAAAGTGAAATAATAACCAGTAAATAATAGTTGCGAGTCAGACTAGTACCTACACCTGTAGTTTTTATTTACTTTTATTGTCTAATTAAATCGAATTAAATTACATTACTTCAGAACAGATATGATGTATAGGTTTTAAAAACTAATAAGTTCCTATTTCTATAGGTAAATATGTGTTTGACTTTTTGAAGTTTCTATAATAGGCACCTTCGTACTAAATACAATTTTGTGTTCTGGATCTTAAGTCCTGATATAATAAAAATATGTTAGATAAACAAATCACAAAGTTTCAGAATTAATTATGTAACTGAACAATGCCGAGTTTGTTTTTTTGTTGAAAATCGGAGCGTATCGGATAGTCCGTTTTATATCTCTCTTTTATAATTGGTAATAACTTTACAATACAATAACATTAGAATGATCGTTTTTACATCAATATTTTAGATATGTTAAAAAATATTGACCTCTAAACTTATGACCTCATGCACGTTTCTATAAAAAAGTTCCCATCACATTACACGATTTAATCACTTCATCCTTCTCTGTTATGTATATTTTTTAGTTTTTTTGCATTCGTTTCTGTTTCTTGGTATTTTTATTGAGTCAGAACTTGGCTATTAGCTGCGGGTACAGTTATTTGACAAAAAAATGCTTAAGTTTCGGAATCGACTGACTCACAGTCGATTAAAGTTTCGTAATTTATCCGCTTGTTGTTTATATATAAAATTTATTTACAGTTGCATCCGCGCAAAAAGTTCACTCAGTTAATTAGCAAAAGGTTTTAGAAATAATATGTACCTAACAAAAATATTGCATTTCCAATCTCTAAATTAGGAATTTATTTCCTTTGTGGGTGGATAAATGTTAGCCAGAGAGTGCAGTAATTGGATGCAGGGACTGTATTTGGTATTACTGTTCACTGAAAAGGAGAGATAGATAGTCTTGCCTTATTCTGACAACGAAGTTTGACCCGACCCTTTCCTCTATAGCTACTATCATGTAGAATTAATTGTATACCTATTTAAATTTTTAGCTATTATATTTGCACGAATTGACAACTTTTCATTAATATTTTATTTATTCCAAGTACTGGCTAAATCATCATCAAATAATTAAACGGTTGAAGTCATAGATATGAACATATATTTTATGTACAGTAGGACACTGAAGATTAATTATCTTAAAGTGTATAAACTTTAGTGAATGTTCGTCTTGAATGAATATTTTTTTAAATTACTCTTTAAGTATCTGTTCTTTAAAGTATTCTCTGTATTTAGTTTATTCTCTTTCAAGAAGAACATTGATTGTAGTTTCTATGACCAAAATTAACTAAATTCACATGGATGATCTATTATTTTAAAAATGAAGTGATGGTCATAATCGACGCTGAGATTTCTGGAAGTAATTTGTTATATATCGATTCTTGATTCACTTATAGAGACAGTATAACTTGTTCCTTGTATAAACATAACTCGCAATATCAAGTTATATTTACACAGTGGGAACGAGTTTATGCGAGGCAAGTCACGTATGAATTGAACTAAGTGTAACATGTTCAGGATTAAGAATTGAAAACTCAAACCATTATGACCTGTTTGACCTATCGGTCTACAATTACATGTTTTTTTTATAATGGATGAGAAGGAAATGGTGTACATACGTTAACAAAAAATAGTCAAGAACTTTTAGGTTGTTCAAGGAACATACAAAAATGATTTTTGATGGTATAGTTCCTACTGATTATTTATATGTATATATTGATTAATTAAAATGAATTAGCACATAATGGTATGATAGATACACTGGCAGAGCACCAGTGAAGATAGTTTGGAGATATTCTAGTATAATTATGTAAACTACGGGAATATTATTTGAATTTATAACTTTCTCTCTTCTCTGAATTCACTTTTTTTCCATTTAACTCTCTTTAGTTCTGTGACTGTCAGACTATTTGGTATATATTTAAGTTTATTGCATATATATGTGTGTATTTGTGTATATAGGTATCATATTTGTATATATTTATGTTATATATTATTGTATGTCTTAAGTATATATATATATTGTATATATATTTATATTTTGTTGCATTTTGTTTATGTTTATAATTTTGCACCGCCAACAATTATTCTCTGCACCACCAATGGTTGACTGGTAGAAAATGCCGCATGGTGTTAAGTCCGCCAAATGTACTATACTATATTTTATATTGTGTGCATTAAAGTTAAATAAATAAATAAATAAATAATTTACCAAGACATAACCACGATATCTTCCGTTGGGCCATTTATACCCATCATGAATAATCTCGTCAATTTCATGGTTGCTGTAGGTACTTCAAAAATGTATGTGTAAAAATATGAAACTACCTAGTATGAAGAAAGATCTCAACAATAAGGTAAATGGGTAAGATTAAATCGTCACTCATTCACGGCCATCGACAAGCCATGAATCATTATGTAAATTTACATTACACTATTCTGTTTACGAATACGACAGACGGTAGAGTCACAGAGGTATAGTTGTTTCACATAAAAGGAATATTACTATATGATTTTTTGTATGAATAAATTTAAATCTTATAGTATTGCTCCGACTGATGTCCGGATGTAAATATACTTATTTTAGTGGAATAACAGTGAATCACGCCCACGTAAGTAGCAGTTCTCAGAAGACGATAATAATGAATTGAGATAATTTGTATTGAACTATCACTATAACCCCTTTGTGTATTCATTATACGTAGAAATCAGGTATTCTGAAAAATATAAACAATCGCTTTTCCAGGGTCTGCGGCTCTACTCTGGAATCTAAACTCAATATAGATTTCAAAATGTAATCAAGACTATATAAATAAAACGATAATAAATATGTGTTAGTTCTTACATTGTACATGTAATATGAAATTAATACCTTAAAAATAATCTAGCACTAAAATTTAAAATAATTTTCGAAATAAGTATAAAATGTGGTGTATGTTATTGAACTTAGTTTCCAGAATAGACCGGCTCAACTCAAGATTACCTACAAACATTTATTTACTTAGAAAATTTTTCAGTTTTGAAGCTACATTTATGATCAAAATCAGTGCCGGATCAGATCAGACAAGATAGTACCTATGCGTACGGCATAATACTATATAGTCACTATTAAACTATTTGAGAAACCCATTTAGTTAATTATGTTCCATACAAACACTAAAAAAATTAGTATTATGTAATAATTTAGATAATATTGTTTTTAACTTACCTAAAACTGTGAGAAATAAACATGACTGGTAGAGCGCCATTTCTGAAGTCTAGTCCTGTAATAAACATCTTACTTATAATTAATTATTCATGGAGAGTCCATTATGTATTTACACTTGTGTTTTCACTAATAATAATATAAGTAATAATAGCATGATTTTATCACGGTCTATAAAACTCGTATGTTCTATAATGTCACCTTATGCTTACGAGTAGATAAGCAATAATAAACAAAAGTATTAAACACTAAATTTAAATGAGTGTAATACAGTAGGTATTACACTCATTTATATTTAGTGTTCAAGCAATATCGATTTTTATACTTGGATATTTTTTATATTATAAATATTAAGAAATTGTTTTCTCTGTCTTTACTGAGAACTACTGTGTTCTCTGACTTTAATAATTGTTAACCAAACATAATTATTAGGACCCAAATGGCAAAGTAAAGATATAATAGAGAAGAGAGATCGTGATTTGTTGCAATCATGGGTCCTAATGAGTAAAACAGTAGCTACGCAATGATGCTCTACCATTAAAGATCTACTGGTGTCTGGACTATAGAATTATATGTCTATAAATAATCAATGTTTCAACCAATTAAAATAATCTAGTATAGAATCGAATATCTAGATATGATATAATGGTCTTATATTGTTGTTAAAAAACAATGAATAATTTGACACAATTGCCTCATTCATATTTTGTCGGAAGCTATGGGAACTATCTATTTATTTAGGATAAAAATTGTATGTTAATTTATCCCAATCAATTATTATTATATTAAAGAAGCCTAGATCAGGCTAATAAAGTAGCACAGATAGGTACTAAACCCTTCTCTGAACCTACTAAATATTAAAAGCGTAAAATACTGTCAAATTATTTGGAAAGAATACTAAGAGTAAGATACAATTATTTTTTTATTTAAAATAACAGCATATGTACAGTTGACCTATACCTTTATATCCTTATCTAAGTAAATGTCACAGCAGCTTGATAAGAAAGCAAAGCATTAACAATCAATTTAGTAATCTAGGCATAAACGGTCATTGACTTATTTATCGCTGATTACGAAAACTTACCTAGTTGCCTAGGCATTGAGTTTCGGTATAGAAAAAATCCATGGTCGGTACTGGGTAATTTCTCACAATTCAATGCAAACATTGTTTTATGTGTTTTATGTCTAGTCGAATCGCATTGTAGTTACCTCAATATAAAACAAATCCTCAGCGATATGATTTTATCTACATCCATAAATCTTTCGAAGCAAATAAATACAGTAAAAAAAAAAAGAATTGTGGACTATAATTGTTAATAAAAAAACATGCCGAAGTAACTGCAGTGCAGTATTTTATAGTATAATAATTCATTAGCTTAACTTAAGAATGATATACCTCTTATAAAATAACTAAGTACATGAATTGGCAACTTAAATACTCATTTTAGAATGTAAATACAGTAGGCATGCTTTCTTGAAACTCAGGTATAACCACTAGGCACGATTCAAACACTTTCGCGATGTAAAACTAGAAAACCAGTTCCCGTGCATTCACAAAAGGCAGTATAAAATACCTGATCCTGAAGTTTTAATCCGGTGGGTGGTTTGCACGTCCAGACACTTAATGTACACTGGTTTTAATAACTTTTTGTTGCGATGTATGTGCGGTGGCCGACTTGAGGTACGCAGCGCTCTCGTGCGGCCAGTGTCGCGACGTGCGGTATTCTGCGCTAGCGCACTCGCGGAGACCGCGACGCTTGACATCGGCGAGCCGCTGACCTCACTGATGCAGGAAGTCCACTGTTGGATGCGGTACTGATGCCGAATCAGGCCCGGTTCACTACTAAATGAAATTCATATTTTGAAGATTGTCAAGTTTATATATTTTTGAACAATATATAGGTACATATCAATATAATAATATAGTAAAGTAAAGTAAAGTAACATATCAATAAAGTAAAGTTGTCCAAAATGAACTGATATTGAAAATGGTCAATACGAAAATTGTTTGTTTGTTATAAGCCAATTTTAAATAATCTTTTAATCTAAAAGACTTTCGGGTTGTTCTCTACCAATTTTGTTACGGTTTTAGTCGTTTTTGTTTGTGAACTAATGGCGTGTCTAACAGGGTATACTATTATGTAGTTATAAAAAAAAATATTGATTATAATAACATGTGAAGTATTCTTTATCATACAACAAAAGAATAATAAAACGGATATATATTTTTTTTTTATTTGAGAAGTATAGAAAACGATAGCTCAATGTCTTTCAAGTCTCAATTTGTTTATGTACATATGTTCTTATTTGTTTCAAATGGTCATCAAAGTAGAATTTATTTTGAAATATCATTTGTTCATACCGACTATTTTTTCTACTTAAGAACGCCATAATTTTTTTATTAATATTAAAAAAAAATATTTTTAACTCTACCATCCAATTCTACCAATACCTACCAATTGTAATTAAACATCACCCTGAACTGATCTTAATACTTTAAAACTTGATATTCCAACTAAGCCTGCTTCTCAAGCACTACACTTAGGGACATTTAGTATGCAGTAATGCACACTGCTAATTTTATTAATTATGTTAAAAGGCAGGCAGATCATTACATTACTAATACATATATGTACTCTTAATGTAATAATACTGTACTGGTGTGTTTTTATTTTAATTGTATACACACAATTAAAATACAAATACCTGAGTACAATAAATGGTAGACATTATCTACTATTTATTGCTCATTTAAAAAAATAACTTTACGATTTTCTATAAATCCATTCAACATTTGCACACCAAATTCAACAGTTTTAACCTGTAATGATCCTTTACAATTCGGAAATTGAGATGATGTAATTAGATATTAGAATTGTTAGCAACATATACCCACGTAACTAGTACTAATTTTATCGAAGTAGACTTTCTATAAAGTAGTCTGGACCACTATCTCACTTATTTTAGGCGCTCAAAGTTTGTTTAAAGGGTGGGATATGATAGCAACATTATTGGGGATGAAAGCATAATACTTAAGTCCTTCGGAATGGCATCCATTGGCGTGGAATGATGTATGATGCCCTTGGTGCTGTTCATTTATATAAGCGACGGTTCCTATTTATCAGATATTTTGAAAATAATAAACTGCGTTATATAATTTTCGGCCTCGGTAGTGTAGTGGTTTAAAACACTGCTTAAGTTCTGATGATCGCGGGTTCGAGTTCTTATACGGTAGAAACATTTTTGAATTCGTGAGTATGATTGTTGTATCAGTCCGGGTATTTTCTATCTATATTATGTATGTAGTTACAAAAAATGTATCTAAGATTTACATCAGTTGTCATACCACAAGCTCTGCTTGTCTTGGGACTTGATTATTAAACTTTGCTTTTATATTCCTTTGTTAATACTGGATCGCTTTTTTTCTTTAGCCTACACCGAGTTATACTTATTTGCTCAGATTCCTTATAATGCCAAACAGACGACAGAATTCTAAATTAATTTACTTTGATATCCAATGCCCTTTCAATAGTCATAGCATTTGCTGTAGTGTCAGTCAGAACCAGTAATGGACTTGTAGTATAGCAATAATCAGTATGCGACAAGATGTAATTAGGGTTTACGGTTCAGGCATTCTAACCCTGTAGGACTAGGACTCAGTGCCGGTGACCTGACCGGAGATGGATGAAAAGCAAGTTGGATGTGGTATTATAGGTAGTACGTCCTATCTATAATTTTTTTATCTATATTTCCCAAAGAACGTAGATAGAAGAATAGAAGTGGGGTCAATAAGTACCGGTAGAATGGTAACGCGACCCGGTAATACCGTCAAAAAGTTCACATATCGCTCGCCCTTGCTGGGTAAGCTGCTGGATCCTAAAGTTAAATACAATTGGTTGATGATATTTCTGGAATATGCATCTTATTTAATATAGACTTCCTACATTCCGTAGTACCTACCGTACTTTTTATTTCAATTAATTTGAAAAACCGCGAATGAATTTGTATTGATTAGGAAAAAGTATTATAACTTTTAAAATCTAGTTTATGGCTGGGGTGGGGTAAGGTATTGTTAAAATTGCTACGAACGTATCAGGTTAGGTTCAATTTCCAATTTCGCGACAACGAACGCCTATGGTACAAACTAATATATTGAACCTATGGCTTTAGTAAATAATGTAGTTATTTATGGTTTGCCTTTTTCTATGGGTGTCAAAAGTAAAATAAAACATGCTTGAAACTCAGATCTTTGTTGTTTCAATAAAATTGTAATGGAATAAAATATGAAAACTAAAAAAAAATTGTAAAATCATAATAAAGGATGTGAAAAAAACATTGTTAGGTAACAATTTACAGGAACTTTGTTATACAGAATCCACATAATAATGTTGAGGTGTTACTTTTCTAAAAACAATTTCAACAATTTGATTCGCAAACTTAATAAATTAACTAGAAAGAAATTTGTTTTGAATCTGAAGGAAAAAGAATTATCTAGAAAGGAGAGGTTACTGAAATGTAAAAATCACAGAGGGAAAGCAGAAGCAGAATTAGCAAGATCAAAAAAGAAATCACTACTTGATGCAGATGAAGAAAGAGATAAAAACAATAAATGCAAAACAAGCAAGTCGTACACTAAAGAAAAAAGGAAAGCATCTACTTGTAAAGATTCTATGTTATCCCTGAAACATCCCCATTTGCATATTAGCGAGCTATTGAAATATCCGTGTACATGTAGTTCAATTAAACCTGGACGAAACCGTGTTCTTAAAAATAAATCAGAGTCATGCTTTAACAGCATATTTCGAGGTCCATGTGGTTGTAAATCTGTCAAAAGACACCCAAATGAGTCACTTTTTAAAATAATGTTCCCAATACATCCTTGTAGATGTCATAAACAGTCAGATATGCGTAGGAGCAAGTTATCTGGGGCGGCCGGCGATTGTTACTTGATGTCGCTTCGAAAGACACCCCAGCCGTGGATCTATCATCGCTGGCCGCAGTTCTACCCTCACTATCTGAGTGCTCTGCATCAATGGAAAAATCTCGGTCATGTGCTATTGTTTCTAACCGGTATATTGTTTTGGATACCGTGTCTATTATGCTTGGAATTATGCAAATGTTTGTGTTGTGTCTGCTTTTCTGATTAGCAATTACAAATAGGTATGTATATTTTAAATATTGTTTTATAGCGGCTTTAACTGTACATAATATATTTTAGTGAAGGCGCACAGGTAAATACGAGAATTATTATTATTCCGTTGGGAACATTGGCCTACGTTTATCTAGGTAATTATGTATGAAGGTAAATGGGTAAGTCAGTTATATTTCTATAAATACCGACTCTCTATTATCTCGAGAACAATTTGTTATCATACCAATAATACGTTTACTATGATTCATAGATTGTTAACATACAATTATATGTTATTGTATTATATTTAAACTCGGTACAAATATATATTGGATGATAACCCCAAGGTAGGTAAGTACCATGTCAGGTTGACCTCTACGCGGTTCCTCTTCGAAACCATCGCGGTAAATTGTCATTGGCTAATATGGGCTAACTGATCTGACTCCATGCTCACTTTATCATCCTCTACTAGTATAGTGCTACGTACTTAGTGTGCTTAGTCTATTAATTTAGCAGTAATGTAAATTACAAAAACTTTATATATATTATACTAAAGACAATTAATTAAATAGAATTTTATTTTAAAAAATCATGACAATAGTTTGGGAGTAATACGGTATTCAGGACTAAATTCTTTCGAACAGGAAGAGGAAAGGAGAATGACAGACTTACTTTTTCTACATAGTCTGTAGAGAACTGTCTATGAGTCTTTGTTTATATCTTTATTTGACATATTATATATTATGTCAATTTCTTATCTTTATTTTTTATATTTATTTATGTACGTTATTTTTAAGTTATTTTTTAACATTATACATATATACTAATGAATAAGACGACCACTTTTATTTACAAAAATTACCTAAAGGTATATATAGAAACAGAATTCATAAATAGAGAACGTTTATCATAACACAGTGCGTGAATACTTCTGGAGAAATGAACACCCATCGATTACGCGTGCTAAAATTTGAAGATACTCAAAATAAAAGTTGTTTAGCAGTTGATGTTAAAACGAATAATATGAGTGTCACTAAGGACAAACCAATATGTTGCGTTGATAAGTTTATTGAAGGGCATGATGATTGCACGTGTGCTAAGCGAGGTGTTGAAAAGCATAAGCTAGGTATATACCAAAAGAAACCGACAGGACGTAACATGATGAGGTTAATGTCAGTTCATAGATATTCAAATAATAAAATTGTAACGAAAGATCAAAACAGAGACGTTGACAACAAAAGAATATCATGCGTTGATAAATTTATTTCAGAGCATAATGATTGTACGTGTACTAAATTGCAAGAAACACAAAAGTCGCTAACAGGTATATATGAGAAACGACCAAGAGGTATCTCGATATGGAACGTCTGGTTACAGTACTATTTCGAATACATTCTTGTCTTTTTTTTCAGGTAAGCCCCTAAAACGTTCCAATAACAAAACAATATTAAAGAAACAATTATGTATTGATAATTTTTCTAAGTTGTGTCTGACTAGAAATAATTATAATAATAAAAAAAGTACACTTCGACCCAAAGTTAAGAAACAACATCAAAAATGTCGAAGGAATAACAACATTAATATTCTCTATTCTCGTCAAACACCGAGTTTAACAATGAAAAATAATAAGCACGAATCGGGCAATGAAACAAAATCACCATGTAGCATATTGAGTTTCCAAAGTAATTTTCGTAAAGTTAATCCAAATCTATTGTGTCAGACTTACAGTAATAACTACCGCTTTACTAAAGTCAGAAGGAAGAAAAAGAAAGCAGACTGCATCAATTGCCACGGTTACAAAAGTTCTCTTTTAGACAAATTAAGAAAAAGTAAGTCTGAAGCTGATATAACATATAATACGTGTAGCAGCCATTATAACTTAGTGGGGTGTCTCCAATCTAATAACAAACAAAAATACAATCAGAATGGTGGAAGACACTCGTGTGTTTGCGAACATTATGAATCTAAAGATCGGCAAGTACTAGAAAAATTAATTCAATCCAATACTAAATGTAACTCATGTGATGCAATCGCAGTTAAAAGTAGCATTTTACTGAATTCCACTCAAATAAATTATCCAAACTTGTACAATACACGTGAAACGAAGTGTTCTTATAGTAAATCTAACATAACACGTTGTTTTTCCACTTCAAAAATAGCATTCAAATATTTAATAATTATTATTACTTTTATAGTATGGTCTCCATGTATTGTCGCTATATTATTGTCTTGGTTGATAAATTATTTAATGAGACCTAATTGCACAACATTAGAAAAAACGGAGTATAAGCAAGACTGTCTGTGTACTCCGAATTTAAAAAAATATGTCGTGCAGTTTCTAAATCAATGTAAAAATAATTATCTAAATGTAGTAATAGACACTGTGGAAAAGAAGGGTCACTCCATTGTTTCTTCGTTAAATAACGGCCAACAGCTCTGTGATGAATATTCGGAGTCAATACATAAATGCAATATTAAAAAGATCATTCCGAAAAAATCGTATTCATGTTCGCGCTTACCATATCAACCGAATTTACGCCCAAATCCAAATAAAAGGTATACTTTGCAATATGAAGATGACAAAGGATGGGTAATAAAACCAATAGTCGGATCAGGCGACCATAACTTCTCATGTCGAACAGAAGTTGTTCAACACGTAAAGAGTTGTCAATGTCCACCTAAGCCCAGAAATAAAAAGTTTGTGAAATTTGATCAATGTACAACTTCAGTTCAGAAGGGACAAAACAACACTAAAATAAGTCGTCAGCAAAGCCTATGTGAGTGTTCACGTACACCTTCATTGCGAAATATTAAACGTAAAACGAAAATTGAACATAAAAAAGAAATTTGTAACATTTCTGGCAAACTGGATGCAAGACCATTACAATTTGATTGTAATGATGAAAATCCTCCCGCTAATACGACTACAGTTGCAGAAACTTCTGTAAAATCATCTACAAATAAAACCACTTCTAAGCGAGAGCTAATTTCTAAACTTGTACCTAAAGAAACTAGCTCTATAAATGCTAAGAAACTCAATCGGTCCAGCAAATGCAATATCATAAAGCCCAATTCAAATTTACATTACCAACCCGTACCATCTTATCGTCGTCCGTATTTTCATAAGAAAACGCAAAAGTCTTTTAATCCTGACGCAGTACGGTATTTACAACACTGCAAAGTTAATAAAAAGAAAAAAGACAAATGCTGTCGACCGTCATTTAGAAGTAGACTATGTTATCTATGCCAGACTTTCGGTCGTGATTTCAAAAAGGCTGTGAGTGATGCAGAAACTGCAGCTTGGGGTGATGGTGTGGAATGTGAGAATTTATACGTACATACCCTTAGACGGCGACCTTGGTTCTGGATATATCGATTATGCCCATCGAAGTACCCATGTTTCTTAAATTGGTATAGGATCTATGAAAATGTTGTCCACTTTTTCATGTTCATGGTCACTATTTGTATTTGGTGTCCAACGATTATTTGTTTTTATATATGCTGTGAATTATTTTGCAAATGTTGTTTGTGAGAATATACTAACCTTTATTAATTATAATATTATTGTAATATGTTTATATATAATGTGTCGTCTGTACCTAAAAGTATAGATACCTAATTAATAATAGCTGTTTGTAAGGGTATATTAAAAGTTATTAACGCACACGTGATACCCTGGGGTTTCGGTGTGTATAACTTGTTTGTTTACCCTCACAAAGGTCATATGCTTGATTGCCACCACTGTGGTACATAAAAACAAAAGAAATAGTACAAGTTTCGAAATTCAACTACGGAACCGACGGTCGTCTAGTACTCGGGACTGAGTCTATTAAGACTCAAAGGCAAAGTCATCTACGTGGGCACATCTGTCTTATCTACTTCTCAGCAGCTTGCCTTTTAAGCTGGTTCTGGTGAAGGATGAGATATGGTAGTGAAATTATAGTGTATAAAGTACTATAGAAGCATGTTAATATTGACTAGTCCAGTCAAGGGCGTAATTTGACCTCTTGATATCCATAGTGTTATTCATGTGTATAGGCCATGGTTGACATTTACCGTCAGTTTGTTTAACATTACAGAAAAACAGTGAATGGAAAGTTTATTACCATTAAATAAATTATGATCCATTAGCCTAAATCTTGATAGGGGATTATTTTATATGAATAGGAACTCTATTAAGTAAGTCTAAGTGATATTTTCTGCTAGATTTGGGATGGTGCGGTGCGTAACTTGATCTGATTTCATTATTATCCTATCATCACCACTGGAACAACTTCATTGCTAGTAGTTTAACAGAATATTGAACATCACTTTATTATATGATACTCGTGACACCACTCATTCATTGCCATTTCAGATAATTAAGATGTCATACCTTTTATCTTGTTGATTCGATTAAATTGAAATTTAACAGAATACAGCTTACGAAGCAAGCCGCTTGGTGGTTGAAATAGAAGAGACTGAGGTACCTACTTAGACGACATTTTACGTCTACCTCTATCTTCCATAGCACCCGGATCGACCTCCACGGGGTCACTTTAAATACTATATGCAAAATGTCCAATTGACATTTGTAAATTCGATATCTTCTTACTAATTAGTAGCTTAATGAGTCAAAATGTGATGTTCACACACACAAAATCAAAATTCCATTTAGATGTAATATTATCTGTGATGTTAGTAATGTTTATATAGATTTTTGTGTAAGAACTCTTCGATGTATTTTAACAGCTGACGTTTGATTTGAATTTGACAGTTGTTCCAAGAAATTTCACTCCCAGTTCTCAACACTAGATAACATTCAATCCGTAGTTCTATAAGTAGTCTGTGAGCATCTGTGAGTCATTCACTCAATTTCATTCTCTTATTATTTATTTATGTCATAAATTATCATATTAGATTCTTCAATATTCTTCATAATAAATTAACAAATACAGATTACAATATTGAATTATCAGAGGACAATATTGAATTATCAGTAAAGATATTCGTATTTTGTGTATTACTAGAAATTACTCTGTTAATTGATCCGAGTGTATATCATTATTATGTCGACTGAGAAAAAAACGAAGCAGACACTAGACCTGGCATCTTTAGAACCTGCTGTGAGAGTAAAGCAATTAGCAAATTATGGAACCATGGTGGATGTTGATCCAAACATTCCTCCAAGAAGGTATAGTAAACATTGTGTAATATAACATACTTCTAACCTTGCATACTAGTGACTCACACAGTTCATTATATTTAGTATATTATTATATTAAGTTGCATTGTATAACGATTTTTATGTTATTCCAATTTCAAACTAGCCTATCACCCACCTAATAGTAAGCGGTAACTGTCGCCTATATACATACACAACACCACAACATCACATCATTGTGTATTACATTATCCGAACCTTCTACCCAAACATTAAAAAAAATTGGTATATGTAATAGTTATTTTAGTTACCGAATTCACAATTCAATGTGGTTACTAACAGTTTTGTCATTGCAAGTTTTTTTAATACTCATAAATGAGAATAAGAATTCAATTACAAAAGCTGTAGTTCTTTGGACATAATATATTTGCTAGTAATGTTGTATTGCTATGTAGCGCTACATGTTAGAATTACTGGTTTGTAAACATAGAAACTTATAAGAATTTAATTTGTGTCACTGTGTTGTTCTGTGATTTTTTGTCTTTATGTACCTTAATGTTTTTCCATGGTTGTAACTAATTGATATGTAATAAATTAATATATCATGTTAGGATTCTAAGGGATTGTATTAATAAATGACTCTATAGTGATTCCTCAATTTTATAGATATTTCCGATCAGGCCTGGAAATGGTGAGAATGGCCAATGTCTACCTCGAAGAAGGGAGTTATGAAAATGCATACATTTTGTATATGAAGTATATGACACTGTTCTTGGAGAAAATCCGCAAGCACCCAGAGTATGGCACTGTACCTGCACAAGTGAAAGCTGTCAATCAAACCATGTTAAAAGAGGTTGTACCAAAAGCAGAGAAACTTAAACAAAAACTATTAAATCACTACACTGCAGAACATGCACAGTATAGAGAAGATGAGGTAAGAACTTTGAAATACATTTTCATTGTTATTAAAATGCAGTGATTATGTACTAGTAATACAGTTATATTCTAAAATTGTAATTGGTATACCAAGCAAAAGTCAAGTAGAATATGAAACTTAATTCCTTTCATAGTGAAATAAAATCAGTTCTAAGAATAGTATTTAAACTGGCTAATCAATAACAAACACCTACGGACACATTACCACCATGTGTCCTAGACTCTGTTCTGTCTCTGTTGTCTCCAAGACTTCTGTTGGAAAAGATTTATACTTGATATATTTTTTTTATGGATTATAATGGAATGATACACATGCTTGCTCTAATAGTTTATGCTGGTGGGGCAACAGTGGAGGAGGGCCTAACTAACCTCACCTCATTCTTATTTTATATAAGAATGAGGTGAGGTTAGTCAGGCCATCTTGGAAAATGGCTATTTACCACTATGGTTTCTGGGGGGACCCGTGTGGAGGTCACTCTGATATTGTACATTGTTAGCAATGAGGTTGTTAGTCCACATACTATACTAATAAATACTTTTAATTCATTGACATTAGTCATATAAATTTTATGTGTCAGGGTAAAAGACGTAAAGCAGAAGAGGAAAGGAGAAAACAGGAACATGATGACGCCAAGTTGGCAGAGCGTCTACAGGCTGATGAGAACAGGCGAGATGGACAACCCAACACACCACATTTATTACATGCGGTATAAACTAACTACCATACTATTCTATTCATGCATATTGCACAAGATGTTTATAATTATAATAATTCAGCATTTCTGTTGCATGCAGTCATCTTTCAGCCGAAAGAGTAACAAACATCCATCCATCCATACTCACAAGATTTCGCGTTTATAATATTAGTAAGATAAATAAATCACTTTCAAGGAGATGTGATAGAATACTGGTTCTGTTATATATAAAATAAAGCAGTATTTTAAAATATTGCAAGAGCCTGCATTTATATATAACTTATTTTAAAAAATCTCTTCCTAACTTTATCAATATCCATATTGTGCAGGAGGAATGGGCAGTAAGTCCCTCTGCGCCCCCGATGGACGGCGTACTATATCCAGACGACTTCGCGGCGGAGCCACCTCGCGCACCATCACACCACTACCGGGCCGTACCACCACTCATACCGCCCAAGACACTTATGTAAACATTTATTTTTATATCAACTCGTATATTTTAGAAATAAGTGGAAAAATGAAACTTTCATTTTGCTTGTTTTTCGCGCCACATTTAATGAAGTGCAATTCTAATAGAAATACTTCTTTAAATAAACTTACAGTTTAAGTATGTATTTTCTCTATAGTCAGGTGGTTTTGCAATATTACTTATTATAAAAAGGCGACAAAGCACTTATAACTGGCGACGCGCGTGGTCTTTCTCGGTTCTCTATGTCTACATACATTCGTTCCTGCGTGAAAGCAGATTCCCGTGAAAGAGCGTACGTGTAAAGGCTATTTATTTTAAATAGTCATATATTTGTTATTCTACCACTCATTCAGAACGCAGTCACATCGCAAAGAATGAGAGTAACCTACTTGTTGTTATAATACATTTACAGGTTTCAGCTTATGTAAAGAGTTTTGTCAAACTTTGTGCAACACTGAAATAGATGTCTCATGAACATATTTAATTCCATTATTGATACATTCATTCATTCATTAGGAATGAATAAGAATATAGAATTAGAGCCATGCTCTTGACGGTGGCGATCTTGCTATTTTCCACGATTTTCCATAATTCTCTTATCTCTATCTCTTGCCATTGCTCATGCGGAGGTAATATTTATTGCTTTTCATGCAGCGAGGGCGGCTTCGGTCCGGAGCCGACACTTCCACCGCTGTCGGCGTCACAACGCATGCGTCCTGTATTGGTGCCAGCGGCGCTGCTTACTCGCTTCCTGCAGCTGGCTTCTGCGAATACAGCGCGTAATGTTGAAACCTGTGGCATACTAGCTGGGAAACTGGTCAGTTCATACTCTATTCATTTAAGCTCGTCGGCTCTAAATACTTTTAACTTGAATTTTTTAAAGATATGACCTATTTGGGAGAAGTTAATGATGTTAACCACATGCCTCCAATAACTTTCTCTGGGTTAAACTTTGATGTTGCCCACTATGGATTTATTTCTTCTTAGGGATTTACAGTTTGTTAAAATGTTTTTTTGGCATACTATAAATTAATTTCTCAATCAAAAAAATGTCATCATCATCATTTTCGACATTATTTGACTCAGAGGCTCCTTTTACTTAATTACACCTTTACAAACATATATTCTCCATGTCAGTGAATGGTTATTACATTGAGTAAGCATCATCATTGCCTTAGTTTTTTGTGGCGTAATGCAATAATACGTAACTAAACCTCCCCATGGTTTGTTCATGTTTTATGTAATTGTTACTGTGTATACATCGATGGATGATGCTTCACTATTATAATTTTAGAGTACAGAATTTATATTACATTTTTAACTGTTACAGGAGCGAGACCAACTGAAGATCACTCATGTTATTGTTCCAAAACAAACAGGCACACCAGATTCTTGTAGCACTAACAATGAAGAAGAGATTTTCCACTATCAGGACCAACATAACCTCATCACTCTAGGTTGGATACATGTAAGTATTAAATATAAAAATTATAATAATAATTATATTTTTAGACAATTCACACAACGCCATCTACCCAAGTCAAAGAAAGTTTGTGTTATGAGTATTCATATAAACAGGTATAGGGAGCGCGCATGCAAAGCTGCTCGCGTCACTGATAATTGTCAACTGTTTGTTTCCTAGAAAATTAAACTATATATATGTTTGCTTTGCAATTTTATTGAATAAATACATAAATATAATCCTGGTACAGCCCATAGATACTAGAGAACTGATAGAATTACATTAAAACTTAACATTGTACCTTAACGATCAAGGCAGGCAATGATGTGACGTGTCAATTCCTTTAATGTACCTAATTAAAAATAAACCTTTTGACTTTTTGTCAGTTCTTTTAAACTGAATAAGCTATCAAAACTGTATGGCAGATATAGTTTTATAAAATATCGTATTGGAGTAAATGAAATTAATTTTAGAAACATTATTAATGTGAATATATTTTTATCTTTATGTGCAGACTCACCCAACTCAGACCGCTTTCCTTTCATCGGTGGACCTCCACACACAGTGTTCATATCAGCTTATGATGCCCGAAGCAATTGCAATTGTGTGCGCACCAAAGTATAATGAGTATGTATGAATATTTAATATTTCATTAAAATTCTAAATATTTATGAATTTTAAAGATGTTTTTACTCAATTGCGGTTTAATATTATATAATTTCGTGTACTAAATTACATTATGAACATTATATCTTGCATTAAATCATAAGATATTATTTATCCTGATATACACGCGCCAAACCTGTGGGATTGGATAGAATAATGTGTGAAAGGGATAGAGAGAGAGACAGAGATAGAATGTAAGCGAGAAAGATAAAGGAAGTAAAATATTAAACAATAGACTCATGATTAAAAAAGAGTTATTGAATTTGTTAGATGATATTTTAATTATTAATCATAAATCTATGGGTGAATAATTTAAATTTGTTTTCTTTTATTTTTCAGAACTGGCTATTTCGCGCTGACACCCGACTATGGGATGGACTTTATATCGAACTGTAGGCAAACTGGCTTCCACCCACATCCCAACGACCCGCCGTTGTTTTATGTAAATATAACATTATATATTGTTGTTTAATTTTTATAAAAGCAACACAAACATTATATATTTTTGTTTCAAATTAAATAAAAATTCATTTATTCATGTAGGACATTTTAGGCGTTTACGAACGTAAAATATTTTTGTATTATAATTTTTTCCCTACATTCCAATTCAGTATACAGATTCAATTGAGAAGAACTGGCAAGAAAGTAAATTGAACATCTTTTTTGAAAAAAAAATCCTATTGATTTACATTGTTGTTTACTTATGTTGGAACAACTGTTGCCATGCACGTTCGTCTTTCAAGTAATCTTTTAGTGAGCTTTGCTCAGTAAATATGATTTAACAGATGTTTTGATTTTATTTAAAAGTAATTCCAGTGTATGCTTTGGTATAAAAGTATATTATTATAACCATAAAAGTAATTTCATACAAAAACGACTAGATTATGTATTATGTTATTAAAATCAATTTTAATAAAAGAGTGATTGTGAATTTTTTAAGTTATCACTGATGTAAATTGCAAGAAAACAATACTGTAGTGATTTTTACGGTTTGTCATAGCTAGTCTATTCGTATAGACTATATCTAGGCTGTATAAGTAGGTGACCGTTGTAATAATTTATGTATTGTATTACAGGATGTTAAACATATACGCTTGGAAAACTCAGCATCCGTGGAAATGGTGGATCTCAGGAGGTGAACCCAAAATAACAATTTTAGTTGGTATACATCACACTGCAGCGCTTATTATGAATATATCTACTCATATTTCATTTCGTATTTCACTTCGTGAATTTCTACTTAATATCGTGTTTGGGAGACAAATTAGTTTTAGTTGAATAATTCTATCATAAATTTGTATGCATATTTTTAGGTTTTGTACAACGGTAGCAAAATTAATACAAGTCATTTTTTAGTCAAGACACCAAATTGATTTTTTAGGACTTCGCAATTTTTTAATAACAATTTTTGATAACAACAGAATTATTTCTTACTCATGAATGTCACCTTGTTTGCTATTCTAATTACATGAAAAAGTATATTTTTTGTTATATTACATATTTTGGTGTAATTATTTTAAATGAGCTACAAAGCCATAGGTATAACTTTTGAAAATACATAATTTTGAAAAACCATATATACGAATTCATAAGGTATTAGTACAACTGATATCGATTTAACATCTGTAATCTGAAGTTAAGAAAACACTGTTTTTTTATATAATTGGAATAGTAATAATATTGTTGTTCCACTTGAAAGTAAGTGGTAAGCATCGTCTATATAATATATATATATATATATATATAACGGGTGTTTGTAACCCGTATTACAACTTATGCGTTGCTAAAATATAATATCATTTCTGATCCTATAATTTTATCCTTTGTATTAATTTTGTTAAACGTTGTATAAGAAAGAAAAATTGGTTTATGTACTTGTTAAATCTTGTAATTAGATGTTTGAATTATTGCACGTATAAATACGTAGGCAGACCTGTTCCGATTGGCGCATTTCCAAAGAGGGCGAAGCATAACGATCAAATAGGCCAATCGAACGAGAGTTAATACACTGACAAATCGAATAATATGTGACCGTATAGAATGATGATTACACTATCAGGTTTAGCCCCAACAAGCCATGACAACGCCGTTTAAATACATACATATATGATAGTATATCTCTTATGGATATATTGCCTCTGTAGACTGAATCAACATTCATATTACCTACTTCGTTTACAACCACAACCACTTTATACGTTAAGGTCTTATATACTGCAAAAAGCACACTGCTTATATGTATTTGTGAAAATTATGTATGGAAATATATATATGTTAGAGATATAAGGATATATGTGTGATATGATGTATTTACTGTGAATCACAGCCGAAGACTGATGCTTTAATATAACTGTTGTTCGAATATTGTAATTTTATTAAAGTTTTGTTTGCTTGAGGTAAGGTCAGTGTTGTAAACGCGAAAATGTAGTACCATGCTATTGGTATGTCTTGATATTTTCTACATTAGGAGATGAAATTTGTGTGTATGTAGCGATCTCTAGATGATTAGGATGACAGCAGTTTCGGGAATGCCAAGCTGGTTTTTGTTTTCTAATAGGTATTACGTAATTATATGTATTTAGTAAAAACAATTTGTAAATTTTGAATTGCACGGTCTTTATTTATGTATTATTACATAGTTCCATACGTTATGGATGATGCAAAATTTTCTTCTGTCTTTGTAAATTCAATGGAATTATAATTAAAATAATTATAATATCTGTTAATTATTCAATTTCGTTTAACGAACATAACATATTTTATAACATAAATAATTTGTTGCAATTGTAAAAGTTTTAGCTTATACACATGTTATATGATAATATTATATTTATTTGTAATGTAATTATGGAGACAACAAGAATGATTTCTGCGTTGACTGTTTAGTCGTTAGAATATTTACAATGTGTTTTTGTTATCGTGAGTAGACCGATTATGGTTTTTAAAGACATATGGAAAGTTATCGGTCAATTGGTAAAAAAAATATATATTTTAACATCCTTAACACATGCTAGCTGTAACAACTTTTTAATAATTAAAGAGTCTTCAGCCTAATAAATAAAGTAACAGAAAATCAATCAAAACGCATGTATGTACCAAACAATAATACAAATTAACATCTTAGGTAGACATATATGTGAAAAATCCTTTAAACTGTCTGTTCTAAATTAAAAGATTTGGTTGTCTTTGATAAAACCATGGCAAACATAATAAGACATTAATAAAACATCCAAGTAAAAGGAATGTTCTTATAAAAAGATTTTTTAATGTAATTTTTAACTGTCATACTTAAAATGAATGTAAATTTTATTCATCACACCTAATGCTTTGCTTTTTTGCACGGGTATTTGCACACTGATATTATAAATACAAGAAACATTTATGTGCCATTTGTGTAGTAAATAATAATTATGTTGTTTAATTATTATAATATATGATTTGTTATTCCTTTTATAAATAGAAGATGGTACGTATAGTTTTCACATGTGAATTTTAGGCTGGGGATTAAAAATGACCATTTTGTGATTTGTCATCTTGATATAGATATTTTATATGAGATATTAACAGATTGGGATCATTTCATCGGCAGATTATATGAAATGATTTAGTAGAACTTGCACATTCATGTATCATCTAAATGCCACTCTCTAGATGTTGAATTGCAAAATTAACTCTATAGGATATTTCTATAAGTACATTGTTAAATTCAATTTTACTAAACAGGTTTTCGTAAGTTTTTATAAATTAAAGTTTTGCAAGTACCAGGAACCATTCTGTTATGGTGGATACATCGTGGTTATTTGGTCATATAAGATCCCCTGTACTGAGAAGTCAAATCAATATTATATTAATAATTATTAGTAATCATAGGCGGTAAAGACTTAGGGCGTCTAGTTAGGCTAACAAACGCGAGCGGCTGTTAGCATGCTGTTTTCTACTTTGGTAAGGCTGAAGCTTTTGTAATTCGAGTAAAGTTTAGAGTATAATTACATCTCTTCTATGTATTTTTTTACTTCTATAGAAGACAGTAGTTTTGGCTTAAATTGAATATAAAATAACCACGTTACTATATATATTTTGTCGATTAAATGCCATCACCATAAACCAGGCCACACTTTATACTGAGAGAGGTGAAAGGCGGGGCAGGGGGGGGTGGGTGGGCTGCTTCCACAAAGTGACACGTTTAATTTAGTACCGGTAATAATTTTAGTATTAAAAAAAACTAATGTCGAAAAATTATATCTAATACATTTTCATAAGATATCATTGTTTTGTTACATCACAAATGTGACCCTTTAACGACTATAAGCCTATAAGCTATGAGAAAAGGAAAAAAAGTATCTTGTGTAATAAAATTTAAATATGTTTACGGCCCCTACAAGTTTTTTTTGTAGACTATATTATTTGGGATGACCTATAGTCCTACTTTAAATGTGAATCAGTGTGCAATATTTGTATTACGAATAACGTCTGGGTCTCATGTTTGTACGATTAATTACTAATACGGACCAATGTGAATAAAAGTCTATTAAATTCAAGATTAGTTTCATTTATTATATTATCTTTTATTAATTAAACATTTAACAGTGTGATATGTGAATATAGCATAGTATCTCTATATCCAACGACATATGCGTCGGTAACCACATAGATAGTTTCTGAACACATCCACAATTGATTACTTATTATTTATGACAATTTATTAAAACAATCATTTAGCACAATATATATAGGTATGTTGTTTATTTTATATACTAAAATGTGTGTCGAGAAAATATTTAAAATAGGTATTTAATATAATATACTTACAAAAACTCTTCACATAAAACTATTTTAGCAGTAGAGGAAGAAATAAGAAAAGGATCAAATAGCTCAATAAATTTTTTTTGCTATTTTTCTTTCGAGCTATCTTCATAATTTTAAAGGTGATGTACCGCTAATAGTAGCGGAGGGAGGATTAATGAAAACTATTCGACTCAATGCTGGCTATGGATTATCTTGAAACCATTTTGTATAATGTATTGGCCTCATTACTAGCTATGAACCGGCTTGAAATATTTTTTTTATAAAATATCCGGGTGTAATCGCCTCGATGGGCTAGCCGACGACGACTAACGGGCTATCGACTCAGGCTCAATCTGTTATACTCTGAGGATTGTTCGCCTGCGTATTCTGTTAGCGTAGACGAGTGCTCTGCCTATTCCATATACATCCATACTTTAAAAAAGTCAAGGCGAGGTTTTTATGAATATAAGATAAACATTTAGATACCTACAGGCATAATCAATCTTACTAATCATATTTCTGCATTATTTGTTTACAATTTTGTTGAAATACATTCATCCACTTCTCGTGACACATTAGATACTAATTAATTGTTTATTAAATTAAAAAAATTAAGCAAATCATTCCACATATTATATAATAGAATATTACCTTTAAATGAGTCTATATTTCTATCAAAAACAAGAATTTGTTGGCAATGGCAGATAAAGTAGCTACTTATATATATTATGGCAGTTAATTCAAAATCATTATACTTATATTTTTTTATACTAAATACAAGTATACGATCCATCTGATACAACGCTGATCAATGCTGAATTGTATTTATACCTAATCATTATCTACCATGTCCTAATTTTCATCTACACATTAGGTAAATTATTTAATTGAACTAGTGCAGTCCTAACTACTTAGGTACTGGTAAATATTGGAGATCAATAAAATTTTACTTAACAACTTACTGTACTAAAATTACGCAAATAAATAATTTAATTCATTATGCACTTAATAATATACCTACTATATTAATTTATATGAATATTATGATTAATTTAGGTATCTACTACAACGACGTTTCAAGCTTCATAATTGACTAACAGCTCTTATATACAAGTGTCTTATGTTCTCTTACCTTTCATAAAAGCTATATCTTTCCATAACTTAATTTAGTATGAATATCTATATTGAAAGCAATTATACAGACTACTATTCAAATAAGGCACTCGGTGCTTGATATGCTTAAATGCTAATAAATAATATCATTAAATAACAACAAAACGTGATATTTTTTTACATTCAGAATTTAATAGATATCTTAGTAATCACGTTGTCAAAGAATTTCTAGATCAGGAACGGACTAAGGCTTGTTCTTAAACAGAAATTGTACTCTTCACTTGCTACCCGCCCCTACTTCATACGGGTGTAGGTACATGTATTATACTTATAAATCTTCGTCTTGAATCACTCTATCTATTGCTAAAAACTGCATTAAAAACCGTTGCGTAGTTTAAAAGATCTAAGCGAACAGACAGCGGAAGCAACTTCATTTTATACTCGTACATATCTATATAAAGATTTACAATTTGTGTCATCTAACCTTATCATAATTGCCTATATTTTAAGGCCATTTTTAGTAGGTATTATTAAATTAGTAAGGATAAAATTTCAATATTTCACGAAATGTAATAAATATTAATTATAATTTAGCCACCACGACTACTAAATGAATATGACAGCTACAGGCATGATAAATTTGTTTATATATAACCGGCAATAGGCACCATTTCGGATAGCCACAAAGAATATAGCTAGCTTTCTGGCAGCACTGGTAGGTACCCAACTATTCTAAGCATCTACTTAATCCAGTTCTTAATATGCATAGCTATTTAACTATACACAGCTATAAAAGTTAGCAGGTATGCACCTATACTTATTTATATCTACTTAAGCTAAATTGACTTCAAATTATAACTTAATTATGATGGCAACTGAATTATACATGGTATGGAGGTTACACAAGGTACGGTAAGGTAAGGTATCACGAAAGGTAACACATTAGAAGCTCTGCAGATGTCACAATGTACCTACTTTGTGTCTTCTGTGGTGCTATTCATAAGTATGTATCTAGTCAACCATTTTCCATCAGCTTATTATCCATTCCAGTAAATAATTACATTAGCTTAAAAAATAAGTAATTATTAATTATTATTAATCACTCAAAGCGTCGATATAGGTACCTATTATTATAATTTTGTTAAATCTATTTGTTTAGACCAACCAACGGTTTCTATACTAAGCACTATTTTAAACGGGTGTCCTATTTACTAAGATAGGTACGTTTACATTTGGTTAAACTTTTAAATAATTGCTATAACAAATACGAAGTTAAAAATTATTATTGCCAATACTTGTTTAAAACTATTTGATGATGCACAATTCACGTTGAGTTTCTTGATTTTAGATGGCAGTTGTATGGGCACAGTCTTATTAGACATCCAGTAATATACATCGGTGAGTCCTTGCGCCTGGAGCTCTGGTCCCACTATTTTCCTTATCCGGTCGTTGTAAGAGTTCAACCAGTTTATCTAAATTTAAACATAATAGCATCAGTTATAAAGATTATATTTAAGTATATTAAATATCCTGGCATTAAATTGGTCCTTGCCACTATAGAGCAAATTGACATGAAAGAAATTTTGAATCACTTTGCCTTCCTAAATAATATTGTAAGTAGGTTTATTTTATTAGATTGCTATGTACCGAATATAGCAATCGACGATAAATCACCAAATTCAAATAGGTAATAACTACTCAGGAATATGATACCTACCTAATGATTTTGTATCTATAATTTCTCCCAATTTTTCTACGTATCTGAACGAAACTAAAATATTGGTTTAAAATTAGATTCAGTCCAAAATGTTAATAATACAAGTTACGTTTAATGCACGAAATAAGTTTGAGAAAATGAAAATTTAACTTACACTGAAGATGGATTGTCAAATATATGTTGTATTGTAGGTACAGTATCTATATGTATAGAGGTATAATAATAAAAGTTAGGTAATACCGAACTAGGTACTCTATTTCTAAAATCATTATGTATAAATCAACTGATAACAAAATGTGGAGTTACCTCATAATCTGTTAACATATTTTTGTCAATAAGTTTTGGCTCAAAAGGCAACAATGTTGCCTCACGGAACCCTATGTATCCGCTGGGTTTAGAAATCACTTCTAGAACGTTGCCTAACTGCACGCCAAACTTCATTCCTTCATACCAACCCGGTTCTGTGGACAAAAATAGTGATATATACATCTTAATTGTTGTTGAGCCATCTTTGAACGGACTGCTGGCTGACACTGACCGCTTATAACTTATATGGCTATTATAATAACATGAGAAACAAAAAAGAACAATTGACCCACTCCACTCCCGCTTCTCCCGCGCAATGTCGTTGTGCCCCCCTTAAGTTGTGATGTAATTAATAGAAGGACCTCAGACACAGGGTTTCGCCTTTTATTTGACATTATTACGACAGTTTAAAGGTCCCAACCGCCTAATAGACCGTTCCATTTCATTAAGAAAAATATAAAATTTATAAATTTATACAATGATCTTCCTTGAACGAACTGTAAAAGTGTTATACAAATTTACTAAGTAGGTATTTTATATTCATGTTAAATTATTTTAACATAAATAAACCATAGTTTAATGCTTACAATTTAATTATTCGTGTATATAAATAATCTGTCAAAATGTGACTATCCTTTGATAGATGGGCAGGGATGTTTGTATAGGATCTTAAAAATGCTGAGAGCTACATACTTACCAACAGTAATATAATAACCCTCTCGGAATGGGTGCAGGATGACGTCTTGTCTATAATCTATAACTACGGGATCTGAAAATAAAATATAAGTAGTAAAGTCAAAATAACATTATACATAATACAAACTCGTGAACGGATGCTGCTTGTGCTGGTCTGTCCGGGTTACGGTTACTCATTGAACTAGGTTTTTTCTTTTGGCAGAATTGCAATAGCATATGCTGGTGGTCACTATATTCTCCCAAATTTGAATTTAAAAATGAATCTGTTTTTTTTTATAAACATATACATGCTTATTTGAAAAGAATAAGAGCTGTGTTTCCAGTCAATTTTTCTCGAAAGCATTGACTGCTGTTTTCACATATCATAAGAATCGGTGATAGACCTACATGAATTAGAATATTTTAATTTTGACAAACTCTGCTTAGTTTTAAATTCCGCTATAATATATAAAAAAAAATTACAATAGTTACCCTCATGCCGGTTAAGCGCTGCTCCAACGCCATGCCCGGTAGGATGAGGGTAGTCCTGTTTATAAGCCCACAATGGGGCTCTAGCGACTGGGTCGGCGTGAGCAGCCGGCAGTGAGGCCGGCGACTGCAGCGTGGATAGCGCAGCCAGCGAGCGCAGCACTGTCGTGTACGACTTCGTCTCGTCTCTTGACGGCTTACCATAATGTAGGGTACGGGTTACTACGGTCGTGCCCTCTGAAAGATATACCAAGCTACTTAAACTAAAAATAGAATAATCAATCATACTCATCAATGCAAATGTTCGTAGCGTGGAAGGAATCGAACCCGCAACCATTGGAAGGAAAGCGGTGTCTAAACCGCTATATTCGCTATCAATCAATTATAGCGTATGCCACGTTCCCATGGAATATCAAGAAATGTATACAACATTAAGAAAGATTGTATGTTTTATTAACTATTACTACATTGATCGGTGACTTCGTAGTTTTATAAGTGTTGATCTGAATACAATATTATACATTAGGTTTACTTATCAATCTTATTTTTTTAGTGAACCAATTGGACCAATTGGAGTGAAACAAATGTTAAATAATACATCAGTGAAATCGGTTTCACTGGTGTGTTATTTAACATTTGTTTCTGAGACTAACGTGCACAAACGTATAAAATACAGGTAATTACGAAATATATAAATGATCATCGTAGATCCAGAGTGAACAACTATACTCAGATTGCTATTTTGCATGCAGATGAAATTAGTAAGAAGGTAATGTCAAGTAGGTATAGCATACGAACATACACCATACAAACGATTTTAAATAAGTGATCGCAATATCCATTTCAATTCATCCGTTCTAGATTTCTTCACAACCATTTTGTGCGGCCATACAGCTGGCATGGTTCCTTCTCTTCATAAATTGCATTATATCTATCCCTTTGCCTAGCAAGTATTCTGAAAGAGACGCTAATGTCCTGCATCTGGATATTCCATCTAGGTAACATATTAATGAAATTCGTACCATCGTATTGTCCTCCGGAGCGTATAATCAGCGTAGAATTGGAGAATACACGTCTATTTGTGAGTATGGTGGGGACGTAGTATGGGTCCGCACCGTTAGGTCCAAACGCTACACGAGTCTTCATCGATAGGCCTACGAACCCCGCCTGCGTTTCACGTGTAACTTCCACAGTCTTGGAGATCGACATCTCGGATTGTGATGAACCCTACAATAAGAAATGTGAAATTCGTATAAGGATAACATTTATATCTGCTTAATCTTGATCTATGATCTATGATCATGATCACACGTCACATCTTTGATGCAAACTAAACAAAAATGTAAATTAAAATGTTAATAATATGTAAAAAAACATAAGTGTTTGTTAACCGATAAAAATAAAACAAACATTTTTCCTATTATTCTCCACCCAAATCGATCAAATCGTTTTCGGAGATTAGGACAATAAGACAGATAAACAAATAAAACTTCTACTAATACTTAATTATTTCGGGCTCTGTCACCAATAATAGTTTTGTTCATATAATATCTTTCATGGGCATAGACAACATTCATTTATTTTGAAATTATTGGGCTACGGCTCTAGCCTTTCTGAAGCAAAAAGTATCATCAAAAAATTAGTTCGGATAACATCAAACAACTTCTTTTCTAAATCCGAAAGTATGACTAGTAAATTTTTAAAACGGTACAATACTCACACGCCGTCCCTCAAGATAGCTAAGCAACGTGCACATAGCCACAGCATCTCGCAAATGCGCCTTCTTCATACCATTACTCTCGGCCTCATTTTTTTGAGCTTTCAAGTAAATAATCGGTGACAGCAAGAACATACGTTTGGTTTGAGGAACGCTTTGAGCGATGGCGGCTGAAGCGCCTCGCTGGAAGGTGCCTGATGCAGGTATCAGAATTTTACTCTCTGTGGCTCTTCGTAAATCGGAGTAAATATTTGTATAGTCGTTTACCCTAAGTGGAAAAAATAATATAAATAAACAAATTAAAATCTATTATAATATAGGTATGTTTTAATAATTTATCGTTTTACAGACAAATGAGGGGTAAATTCTGAACGAATGTTACTTATAATTTACAAATTAAGAAGGTAACTTCAAGAGTAATATTCAAGTTAGATATTTGAATATCCTTCGGGTATCAACTCAACTCCGTTTAATTAAAGACTTGTTGGACTGGAGACCCAAAAATAAATTAGTTTTCATAGAATCCAAAATAGAGAGAGTAAGAATATGTATCTAACTCGCATCTAAGTACTTATTGTTAGAGGTATTAAAATCAACGAGATATGGCATACAACTTACCTAGTACAGTTATTGTTGAAACAATTGTAAACCGCCAGAGCTTCCCGGACGGGCATGGACAATTTTCCAGGCGGAGCGTATACTCTTACATCCCTTGTGCTAACTATCACGAAAGCTTTCAAGAGGGGTGCGTACGGCAAGTCCTTTCCGCGAATGTTGAGCAACCATGCGACTTCATCCAACGATGTTACCACCATTGCATCTGCACCAATAGCACGGAGCTCGTTTCGAACCGTAGACACTTTGTCTCGCCATGTCACTCCTAAAGACGAATGTAGAAAGATTTTCCATGACATCCAAATACATAAGAAATTCAATAAATTTTGTAAGTTTATTATATTGTGAATGGGGAGAGTAATCTTCAAATGAAACGAAAACAGTTTTAAAAAAATATAAAAGAGCTCTACCTGTATAATCGGGTTTATGTAGTACAGCAACGATCTTGGAAAAGTCTGGACGTCTACGTGCGGGGTCTAGTTCCTCATTCCATATTTGGTCCAGCATAGTAGGTGTATGGAACAGCTGTAGACCTATTTGCTGTAAGTCTGTGGACAGTGCTTGCCATTCCTTGACAGATGTTAAACGCGCGTCTGCTCCGATGCGGCCTGAACGGGCTAGACGCTCCTGGGGCAAATAATAATAATAATAAATATCTCAGGTCAATTCACACAGCACCATTTAGTCGCAAGTGAAGCAGAGATTGCGTTATGGGTACTAGACACCTGATATAAATACATATATATGTATATACATATTTTTTGTAAATATATACACAATACACCCAGAAAACACCCAGACTGGTACAAATATACTTATGAATAAAAATGTCTGTATCGTGTGAGGAATCGATCCCGAAACCATTAGAAAATAAAGCGATACGCTAAACCACTAGACCACCGAGGCCATCAATATACTTCGTCTATATTACTTTGAAATCAACTGCAACTCAAAATCAACCAGATGCAAATTTATCCTTTCGATCATAATTAATGCAAATTTATACAACTGTATTTTCTGTTAAGAAAATTAATGAAAGCTTTTCATTCATTATTTTATAGAGCATATGTTATAAGTATTTTAAAACATTTTGTTACAGCACTGCTTGTGTGTATACTTTCTATAGGTGTAGGATTTGCATTTTTTCTGTAATTCTTTGACGGTAGCCTGACTTTTGTTTTAGACTTATGTATGCATTACTTACCGCAATCCATTCAGGAATGGTTGGTTGATTAACATCGTCACCATCTAGCACTTCCCAGGCGCATGATAGTGTAGCACGCGCCCTCCGCAGGTCGCCGCTCGATACCCACACAGCTGCACCGCCATCGCTGAGTACCGCTGCTGTTCCCGCGCCGTCCCAACCACTGAAGTATTCTAACCGACGCTCCTCGGTTGATGGCTCTTCACTCTATGATAGAACATGCTATTAGTATTACTAGAAATAGAAATAATCTTTATTTGATCGATTACATTAATTTGAAGATTTCTGAGGGCGATCTAGTAAACCTCTCTATTTTTAATGTGTGTATTATCTTTACCAATATAATCCATCTATGAAAGCCAGTAAGAAAACATATTTCGTTACAGACTTTTTTATGAATAAAAGAGTAATTTTTAGACCATAGCAATTTTATTAGATTCGTCGGGTAATTTCTCTTGAAAAAGAGTCTAAATTTTATATAACGTGTAGAAGAATTAACTACCTATGCCTGCTGCTAAGCAAGTAGCTACGATTTTTAAATATAATAAACTTTACTTACCAAATGTTCATCACTGTAGAAAATAAGGAAAGCATCAAAGAAAAGGTTCATTTGTGTGTAGCTTTTATTTCTCATAGCGCTACGCAGCCTGCCGAGGGGAGTGGTGGTGCTGGTTGCGTCCGAGCACATCGCCGGTGCCAATGATGGCATGTCAACGTTGGTCGCTCTGGTGGTGAGAGCTGGCGTCATCAATCGTGACGATGGTGTAGTCGTCGATAACGTTGACGGCGTCATTTGTAACCCGACACATGCTGAAATAGGCGACATGTATTATAAATTACTAGCTGACCCACGCAATTTCGTCTACACTTTACTTCACTTAGTTGATATCTATTTCGCACAATTTTTATATATTCTAATGAATACACTATATTACGATTAAGTTTCATCATAATCCGTTCAGTAGTATTTGCGTGAAAGAGAAAAACACCCAACCGTCCTTCCATCCATAATCGCAAAATTGTTTATTTAAGTAAGATTTTAGGTAGCGTATAAATATAATTTCAATGATATTTGTTACACAACTTTTCTGTTACTTCCTAATTTACAAGCATTACATTGCATAAACTCACATACAAAAGTAACCAGTAATATCCGCTTGCTTGAACACTGTAGTATAATACTGTATTGCATGTGTGAATTAAGGAATATCGTCCCTTCTCTTTTACAGACCTATACCTATATAAAAGTTATATCAGAAAAAGAAAGCGGCTAGCGACAACAGCGTTTGTGGCGCGGGAATGTACCAGGGGAGCAATACGTCTAAAGAGGTTGAACGAGCTTTCAAAAGCTTGCACTGTACACTCTTGTGCGAGTGTGAAAGGGATAACAAGGGATACAATATCACCCTCCCACTACGTATTCCTTGAAGAGCTTTTAGTCGCACCGAGGGGCGTTTCCCTACTGACAGTTCACCTTTTTACAATAAAAGTATAAAGGAGGGATGATGTGTTACGATAAATATTATAAAATATATTAACAGACAAATTATTTAAATAATTTGTACTTACAATATTTATCTACCTACATTTACAGCAACTATTTATTGATTTCGAAATTAAATGATTAATAATATAATATAAAATTTGAAATATAATGTAGAGAACCAAACTGGGGTGAAGTAATGTGAAACAAATGTGCAAGTTCAATGTCCGAGAGGTACCCAAGGGATGTGGGTTCTATTGGAATGACGTCAACAACTAGCAGGACTTCAGAAATTGTTAGGAGTGTGTTTAGTCCTTAGCCGCTTTTGCATCAAACATTTTACCACACCCCCAGACTCGACTGACGCTAAATTGGAAGGATGAGAGAGAAACCTGGATAATGTGGTAATTTGTTACTCCGAAATGGTCGATATGACGCAGGATGTTATTAGGCTAACATAAGCTTGAAGCGATGATATCGATAGTCTCTGAACCAAGTTAAAAAGAAACAAAACAACCCCGCGTTTCCAAATCCATATGGCTTTGTTTGTGTGTGTTTCGTGATTTTACAGTTTAATAGAAACACTTTTATATATATTTCCGCACTATAAGAAAGAATAAACATTTTTTTATATATGTGATGTCACTACCACATTTTCTTAATTTGTCTTTTGAATTAAGTACATATATAATAACAAAACACTTTTATAACTTACAACTATACCTGCAGTGTATAGATATGTATGTATTGTATAGTAGTTGTATATATATTCCCTACTATGAATTATTAGTATTACACATAAGTTTGTCTACCGATATATGCTTCAGCAAAGGCCAAGTAGACTTCACATTTCACATAGGTACAGATTGGACATCAGATTTTTGGTTATTATTCGTTATTTAAACTCATATTTTTATTTCAGTATATAAACATTATATCTCTGATTACTTACTCCAAACTAGTGTTTAATATTTATGAAGGTAATTCCGAGGCATCGTACAACTGCGCAATAATGTGAACTCTTGTAAAAATATTTTTGTAACAGACTCATTGGTGCTAAAATAAAACTGTTACACAAACGTAATCCACATATTAAAGAAAATATATGTGTGATATCAGACTTTATATGTACACGTAGCTACAGGTCTGTCGTCGGCCCAATACCAATGACATTGCCGAAGTTCATGACAAATAGAAAAAAAAAACGGTAATAATTCCTATTAATACATATATGACGGCCTCAGTGGTGTAGTAGTTTAGTACAAAGCCTTACTTCCGATGGTCACGGGCTCGATTTCTCGCCGATGTAACCATTTTGTATTCATGAGTATGAGTGTTTGTATCGGCTAGAGATTTGCGTGTTATTGCTGAACAATATACTATTAATATGAAAGATATTATTATTAACTTAAAGTATATGTACGTATAAAACGTACAATTAATTCTTAGTACAATAATAAATTAAATATTAAATAAAGTTACATTGTACTGACTGATAATGCTCGACAAAATGCTGAAATTTTCACAAAGAAGAAATACATAATTTCATAATATAACGCGTACGAAGTGGCGGGCAGCAGTCATTTTCATAACTCATTTATTTATCAAGTGAAACCAAGTTATCTAAAGGCGTAAGGATAAATAAATGTCAATGTTAGTCAACATGATCCAGTCTGTAGGTATCCCTTACCAGAATCCCGTATTCCCAAAGGGACGAAATATCCTGCGAGTTACTAGGGCAACATATAATAACAGAGACTGATTATGACGCATTGTCCTGAGCAAGGACAATTCAAGGATAAAGGCAAACGCACGCAGAGTGCAATGGCATCAGCCGTTCACTTGGTCACCTACACCGAGTACAATATGCACCGACTGTACACGCATCTCATCAGTGGTAATTGCAACTCGTATTATTAACATATAATTGTTGCCGCGGTAAGAAATATCCTACCATTGATGAGATAAAAATACAAATATAATATATCTGTTAACATCTTTGGTGAAAATTATAGTATAAATAAAATATTAAAACTAGCAGTTTGTTTCCGCCCACTAGTAACATTACTTATGTTAAATTATTAGTCATTGTAGTATGTAAAAATTTGTATTGTATAATTTAATTACATATGAAAATAAATATTTTTTTAAGTTAATCAAGTTTTTTTGAGTTATCCAATAATATAAAAATGTAGTCTTTCCACTTTATAATATTATTATAGACTGTAGAAAAAGGATTCATTAAATTATTATGTAACGAATAAGATTTAAATAAAATAAAATTATTATAGTACAATAAAACGTTGAGTGTTAATGCAAGTGTCCAGGCTTTGCACGAATGTGCCAATATATGCGACATAGTCTATATGCATATATTATATACATATTAATCTAGAAGAAATATTCATAATGACAGTGAAAACCGTATAAAAATCCATTGCATAGCGGAAAGAAACAGACGAAACTAGCATCTTTAAAAAACCTTTACTTGCATGAGTATAAAAAAAAACTCTATTAAAATTAAAAAACAATTTTACCTATATATATATTTCTTAAAATAAATTCCATAAATAACTAATATGTTAATTTTTGAAAACATAATGTTTTATTTCTATTATGTATTAGAAATCATATAACATGTACAACACATCTATCTATTCAAATAACAAACAACTGATGAAATTGTCAAACAAAACAAGAAAAAAGTGCGTGTGCGTGAGAACAATGGTTTGCCCCCTTTTTATACCAGGAATATATGGGTCGTGTGGAGATAAAGCTTTTGAAACGACTACAGCAATATTTATGTGGGGGTAACATTGTAATAGTGGCTCGAGCGGCTCCGACTACGTCAGAGGCAGGGACACAGACAGGCAAAAGAAATAAAAAGTTCGAGCTAGCGCGGCGTATTGTATACTATTGTATCTACCGATTGTGTTTCAAGTTTGATCTTTTTTAGTAAACTCTTTTATTTGACTAAAAAATTAGACGTATTTAATATTAAACAGAGTTTTTTTTATAAAAAGTGGAAGATTGATGATTGGTTGGACGATCTTATTATTTCAACATGAATTAAAAAGGCTTTGATTTTGATTATCTTTTATAAATGTGTTCTTAGCAAATCCTGTGAGCCTAGTTATGGTTCACGACTGCTAACATAATCTCTGATTTTTTTTACTTTTGAAACACCAAGATTGTTTTATTCATCCCTATTTATTAAGTAAATTAATTATGGTATTTTTTATATGTAATGATTTTTATTACCTTACTACCATTTTAATTCTACTCAATGTACCATACCCACATTTTTTAAATTTTTTGTCAATGTCATAAAGAAATTATAGACACTAGAGAATACTTAATCACATTGTTTTTATCGATGTTGAAACTTCTTATGGCCAGTAATAGCACTGATAATGTACTTACTATCATGACATACGATTAATGCAATTGGTGATTGATGAATGTTCAGAATAAACTTAATTGTACAATTTTTATATGGTTATATTATTTATATTATTTTTAGATGGTTTACAACGCCTTCGGCTTCAGATTCCAAATACCAGCTTGCCAATTTAACATGGTTCGAAAGTTCTTCTTATTGGATGCCCTTATTTACGCGTAGATTATTCATACAATTTATATATTTCTTTTCTAAACAACTACTAGGAGCAACTAAATGCGCAGAAGGTGAACGATCATGGATCTATGTATTAGGTGTCTATTGCATATGAGAAGGTATTTAGATAAATATTGTTAGTCGTTAGTAACTACAATATGTTCTAGTGCAGTTTAAACTGAAGTGGCTAGCCGATCTGGACGGTAGGCATAATAATGATAAATACCATGCCCGAAAGGTATGAATATGTAATTATATTTTGTTTTAAGCAAGTTATATTTTGCAAGTTTACATAAAGACATTATTATACCACGATAGTTTCAAAAGGCAAAGAAAAAAGTTTAAAAAAAAATTTAAGCTTTTTGTGTTTTGTATTAAAAGTAATACAAAACACAAAAAGCTTAAATTTTAAATAAAGATTTAACTATTGTGGTAAGTCAAGAGTAAACTTTATAGTAACCTACATTTTGTCTTTTTAAACTACAACATGTGCAATTTATTCCATACTTAAATTTTATGATTAAAAAAATATGAATGTTCGTACTTTCGTTAAAGTGATTTCAAGTCTAGAAACATTCTCAAAATACATTTAATAATTGATAAAAGATTCTCCTTATTGTCATTAAATGTAAACCTGAAAGAAGACATTATATTTTATAGATAAATCAACATCTATAAATAATATTAATCTGTACTAGTA